TTGAGAGTTTCACCGTCTTTCTGCTGGTACCAGTGGATGTAGTCAGTGGTCAGATTGGTCACTCTGCAGCTGATAAACACTCTTTTGCCTGCTGGCTTTGTCCAGGAGAGTTCACTTTGCTCCACTGTCACTCCCAGCACAGCTACTGTCATCAACATTAAACTGGAAATCAGTCATTATAAAAGCTTATTGTTTGTTGAAATCACATGTGATGACCTTGTTTGATATTGTACTCACCTTGAGTCAATGAGAAAAGAATAATATACATATCAGTAAACATCTTTAACTGCAGTGTTAAATACAAAGCTGACTTGTACGTACTTGGATTTTCTTTTCATGCAGAGTTATCAGTTAAAATAGTGCTGATGTCATTTCCTGTGGGTGGAGCAGTAGTAACAGTGTGTGTTCTTTGATTGACCACTCCTGCACCTGCTGCTCTCTGTACCTTCATCTGTCCTCATATGAACCACAGTTCACAGACTAATACCTTCGTGACATAAAGCTGCACAAAGAAGCTTCGAATTGAAGTGTTTGTTTGATATTTATTTATTTAGTTATTCATTTATTTATTTGTGAATTATACATTTTATTGTATTTTTTTTTACCTTGAAAGGCCACAAATGTTAAAATAACTGAAGCAGTGCATGAAAGAAGTGCTTTCATTATTTTAATAAGCAGTCCACTATACATGCTTTGTGTGTTTTCTTTGCCTTCAAGTTACTTTTAACTAAATATTTATTATGTTTACCTCATTTTTTCCTAACCCTGAACTCAACACTGCCTTACCCCAACCTACAACTCTAACCAAACCCAAAACCTAACCCCAACCATGGTTCTAAACCTATCTTTGGTGCTAATAGTAATACTTACCTGAGCCCTAACACTGCTGAGAGTCTCACCAGAAAGTTTGTTAATAATTTGAACATCTGTAGATGATCTTTAGGAGGCTGTCCAAATAAAGTGGACTTAAGCTATTCTAGTTATTTTAGATATTTTATCAGAGTCTTTAAGCATCATTTGACATGTTATGAGATGGACTACATTACTCAACATTCATTGTGATTTTCACAACGTGGTTATACTTTTATTTCAGATCTATTAGTGTATCAGCTGTACTTAGAGCAGGTAGGAGAAGAATGAAAACTTGAAGAAAAAAGCAATGATACCTTCATTCTTTCTTTGTTGGATGAGTGCAGATGAATAAGAAGACAATAATTCTGCTGGACAGGGAGTTAAAGGTGACAAGCTAACAAAAGGTAAACATATGAAACTGTTTAGGTGTGGTGGTCAGTGTGATTAGTACTTCTATTTAAAATATGTAGGACTCATGCTTTTATTTCAAATCAACATTTGAATGAGTATTGAAGAACTTTCAGGTTTCACTGTGGCAGAGTTATTGTAGAGGATATGAGCAGTTTGACTCACTGTGGCTGCTCCAGCAGGCACAGTAATAAACTCCTGAATGGCTCAGCTTCAGTGCCTTTAATCTCAGAACATAATTATTACCATCCTCTAGCTCCACAGTGAAGTCTTTTGCATCACGAAGATCAGCATTATGAACAGGGCTAGTACCATCTTTCTTAACATACAGGATCCTTTTGAGAGCTTCACCGTCTTTCTGTTGGTACCAGTGGACGTAATTGCTATCACTCAGTCCGGTCACTTTGCAGTTGATATAAGCTCTTTTGTTCATTTGCTTTGTAAAGGAGAGTTCAGGTTGCTCCACTGTCAGTCCCAGAACACCTACTGTAATAAACATTAAACTGTAAACGAGACATTTTTTGTCTAATTATTCAGATTCTTACTAAAAAACCATAAAGACTCACATTGAGATGATACTTACCTACAATCACTGAGAGGAGAACAGCACACACATCTATAAACATCTTTCATTTAGTTGTGAAATGAAGTCTGTTCTTCATAAAATACTCTTGACTGCACCTTCACTGTGTTTGTGTGAACTGAGCTGTGTAATCTACAACATAAATCTCTCAGCTGTGACTCAGTGATGTCACTTCCTGGATATCAATTAGCATTCTGGTTCTTCCAAAGTAGTCTATTGAAGAGATTGCTCATAATAATAATAATAATAATAATAATAATAATAATAATAGTTGTGATGGTGGTTGTAATATTATTAAGCATTAGGTTGAGTTTTTGTACTAGACTAAAACTCTGTTTCCACTGTGTACACTACAGTGCATGTTTAATAATGTGGAATATTGTTGGCTGTGTTCTAGTTTGTAGTTTGATGCTGGCGTATGCAGAATATAAACTGGGACACTGGTGGTCCATCACCCCAAGTCCTAAAGACCTAAAACAGCATAACAGGCAGTGTTTGACACCAAAAAGAGTAACAGTGTTCTGTGTTATGGTTTAAGTTTCAAGGTTGGAACTTTTTGTTCTCAAGCAGTTTGAACTTCAATACCATTTAGCTGGTGATTCTTGTTGCACTGGGTTTGTCCTGCTCTGAAATCAGTACTATTTACTCAACAGGACATGCTTAAAGAGATATTTCAGTACATGTCGTCTTCCAGCGCCGCTGTGAGTGGCAGCCTTTCCAGTAACTCTTTTGTGTACTGTTTTTGCACTTTTTCCTTACTTTTTCTTTTTTCTGTATGCTGATATATTTTACTGATAATAATTTACTGACTGTTTTGCTAAATTTCCTTCGGGATTAATAAAGTATCTATCTATCTATCTATCTATCTATCTATCTATCTATCTATCTATCCATCTATCTATCTATTTATGTTAACAGTTAAGAATGGTGGCTGATGTCACTTACGTTTAAGTCTGTTTTCTTCCACACATACAAGTTAATGTCAGTTATTTTTATTAGTTATTTCCATGTATTTGTTACAGAGAGCTGGTAATGTGTCATCATGACTACAAACATTATCAAATATATATTGCTCTTCTTTCATGAAATAAAGCCATATAGAGTTTAGCACTTGTTTTATTTACTGCTGGAGTACAAGATGAAGCAAGTGAAGGTACATATATACAACCCCAGCCTGCACTGCATTAAAAACAGACATGATTCTGTAGTGGAAACTGCATGGGCTCAGAAACACTTCTGAAAAACACTGTCTATGAAAACGTTAGTTGCTGCATCTTCTATTGCAAATTAAAATGCTAAAATGCAAAGAAAACCATATATAAACAGGATCCAGAAACGCTGCCACCTTCTCTGGGCCCGAGCTCATTTAAAATGGACTGAGGGGAAGTGGAAAAGTGTCCTGTGGTCTGACAAATCAACATTTGAAGTTCTTTTTGGAAATCATGGACACTGTGTCCTCCGAGCTAAAGACAACTCAGCTTGTTATCATAATACAGTTCAAAAGCCAGTATTCATGATGGTATAGAGGTGCATTACTGCACATGGTATGGGTGACGTGCACATCTGTGAAGGCTCCAGATGGCATCTTTTTCAGGGAAGGCCTTGCTTATTTCAGCAAGACCATGCCAAACCACATTTCTGCATATATTACAGCAGCATTGCTCCGTATTAAAAGAGTCCAGGCACTAAACTGGCCTGCCTGCAAATCAGACCTGTCACCACTAAAAACATTTGGTGCATTATGAAATGAAAAATATGACAAAGGAGACCCTGAGCTGCTGAAATCCTATGTTAAGCAAGAATGGGAAAACATTTCACTTTCAAAACTACAGCAGTTGGTCTCCTCAGTTCCCAAACGCTTACAGAGAAGAGGTGATGAAACATAGTGGTAAACATGGCGCCGTCCCAACTTTGGAATATGTTGTTGGCATCAAATTCATAATGGGCAAATATTTTTCAAAAAGCAATAAAATTTCTCAGTTTCAACATTTGATATGTTGTCTTTGTAGTATTTTTTTTTAAAATATGGTTTACATGGTTTGCATATCATTACATTCTATCTAACTTTTTTTGGGAATGTATTTCAACAGCTAATATGTGTGTTTATATTGTTGATGCATAACCCTGAATTAAAGAACTGAAATGATGTAGATGCAGCTCTATAAGGTCTGGTGGGATCTGACTGAGCAATTTTTGTACAGAACTTCAGCTTGTTTTCTCAGTGTGTCACTCCAGTCCAGTAGACACAGTAATACATTGCTGAATGTTCTGTCTTTAAATTGGGAATTTTCAAAAGAAACTGATCATCTGCTTTCTTCTCTGATTTTAAGAACTCAAAACCAGGTTCATTCTCTATGGTTCCATCACTGATTCCCACATACTGAACTCTCTTCAATGTTTCACTGTCTTTCTTCTGATACCAGTGAATGTAACTCCAACAGTCTGTAGTGAATGTGCATTCTATGATGGCAGTCTTTGTAGCAGCTTTAGTCATTAAGAACTTCTGATGCAGCTCCACAGCACTGTGCACTGGTGAAGAGAAAAGAGTCCAGTACATGATGGCTAAACAAGTAAAACATGGAAAATATGTCATGAACACAACAAATAAGACATTATGAGACAGAATAGAAAACCCTGACCTGGCAAAGTTAAACTTACCTGCACCAATTATAAAAATGAGCAAAATGAGCAAAAATATTAACTGCAGTGGAAGACGCATGGCTGTTGTAAGTCAGTGTAGGGAGCTCTGTGTAGGGAACTCATCGTAAGTCAAAACAATTATTTTCTCATAATTGCTCACAGGGGCCCCCTAGTGGCTTGGGCCCCTGGTCACGTGTCCATAAAATCCATTGGATGATTTGGGCCTGCCTATAGTAAGCTAGTCAATGCTGTGGAAGAGACATTCCGTTTTCAAAGTTCAACTATGTTTTCCTTTGTTTTTTTTCTTAGTCAGATTAATGTTCAACAGAGAATACATTAATTAAAAAATATTGTAAGGGGAACTTTTACACTAAGTAAATTTGAGACTTTGTTCTTCAACTTGAGTAAAGAATTTCCAACATTTAGCAGGATATGTTTAGAAAGATAGCTGCTTTTACTTGAGTGATGAATGTGTGTACTTCTTCCTCCTCTGGTTTCTGCTTCAGGGTTCATACTGTCAGAGTTTTTGTACAGGATGTGAAGAAGTACTGTCACTGTGGCTGTCCCAGCAGGCGCAGTAATAAACTGCAGAATGGCTCGTCTTCAGTGTTTGCACCTTCAGATCATAGGAATTAGACTTCTTGTCCACCTTCACGCCAAACTCTTTTGCCTCCTGATGGTTGGGGTCATGTGTGGGGCGAGTTTCATCCTGCTTAATATAGAGTATTCTTTTGAGAGCTTCACCGTCTTTCTGCTGGTACCAGTGGATGTAGTCAGTGCGCAGATCGGTCACTTTGCAGCTGATGTAAACACTTTTTCCCACTGGCTTTGTCCAGATGAGTTCACTTTGCTCCACTGTCAGTCCCAGCACAGCTACTGTAATCAGCATTAAACTGGAAATCAGTCACTATAAAAGCTTATTGTTTGTTGAAATCATATTTAATAACCTTGTTTGATATTGTACTCACCTTGAGTCAATGAGAAAAGAATAATAAACATATCAATAAGCATCTTTAACTGGAGTGTTAAGTACAAGGCTGACTTGTACATACTTGGATTTTCTTGCAGTTTCAAAATATCTCTGCTATAAAAATGTGCTGATGTCATTTCCTGTGGGTTTAGCAGCAGTAACAATGTATGTTCTTTGATTGGCCACTCCTGCACTGAAAGAGGAGTGTGTTGAAACCTGCTGCCCTCTGTGCCTCCATCTGTCCTCACATGAACAGTTCACAGACTAATTCCTCCATAACACAGTGCTGCACAAAATGATTCAAAACGGTTTCTGAGAGAAGTATATGCATTATTTATAAATTATAATACATAAGCTTTGTGTGTGTTTCCCTTGCATTCAGTTACTTTTAACTAAATATTTATAAAATGTACCATCCCTTTTTCCTAACCCTCAACCCAGCACTGCCTTACCCTAACCTACAACTCAAAGCAAATGTAAAACCTAACCCCAACCCTGGTCCTAAACCTAACTTTGGTGTGAGTCTAACACTGTGAGTCTTTCTCTGTTGGAAGAGTGGGCAGATAAATTAAAAGCTAATAATTCTACTGGACTGGAGTTTTAGGTGAACAGGGAGAAAAACTGTTTAGGTGCGGTGGTCAGTATGATTAGTACTCCTTTTTAAAATATGTAGGTCTAATGCATTTATTCAAAATTAACACTGGAATGAATATTGAGGAAACTTTTCAGCTTTAACTGTAGCAGAGTTATTGCAGAGGATGTGAGCAGTTTGTCTCACTGTGTCTGCCTGACTCCCAGCAGGCACAGTAATAAACTCCTGAATGACTTATCTTCACTGCATCTATCCTCAGAACATAATTGTTACGGTTCTCTAGCTCTACAGTGAAGTCTTTTGTCTCAGAGACAGGGGTAGTGCCGGCTTCATTCACGTAGAGAATCCTTTTGAGAGCTTCACCGTCTTTCTGGTGGTACCAGTGGACATATGTTGTCCTCAGTCCAGTCACTTTACAGCTGATATAAGCTCTTTTGCCCTCTTTCTTTGTCCAGAGGAGTTGACTTTGCTCCACTGTAACTCCCAGCACACCTACTGTAATCAATATAAAGTTAATAATACAAGACATTTTCATTGTAACTTTAAGAAAGTCTCACACTGTTACGATACTTACCTACAATTAAAGAAAAAAAAACAGCACACACTTTCATAAGCATCTTTGGGTAGAAATGAAGTCTGTACTTCATAAAATGCTATGGATTGCTCTTTTTCTCTTTTCTTGCATGAACTTCAGTGTCATCTGTAGGGCGTAGTGATGTCACTTCCTGGTGTCAGTACACTCATATACACTGAATAGGCCTTCTTAAAGTGGCATGTAATAATAATGTCACCACACTTAAGCCTTTTACACTGAAACACTGCCTCAACACTAAAATGCAGTGCTAAAAGAAGTAAACAGCAAATCTAGCTTAAGATCAAGGAAATAAAAGACAGGAGCATTTTAGGACAGATCTATAAATAAAGCTAGGCGTAGACTCTTGTAATGTAAAGTAATGTAGGTATTCCGCTTTTTCTGTTTTTCCTCTGGTCCTTTTCTTGCACTGTTCCTGAGCTCTTTTACTTTTTACAACTCAATAATTAAAGTTGCTAAGGATCTTAAAAAACTTGCAGATTAGCAGGAGCCTCTTAACTGAAGTGATTTTTAACAGTTTAGAATATTCTTGAGCTTTATTACACTCTATATACATTGTTTTAGCATATATTGTCTCTTCAGTTTGAGCTCCCAGCTGCATCTCCAGATCTTGGCCGTGTTCTGCTTTAATCCAAGCTTTCCCGTGTGAACTGCGCCACTAGTGGAGCATTATGGTAAGCACTGTAAAAAGTGGTGCTTATTCTGACTAACACCAGAGGGTAACATTGTTCTGCGTTATGGCTTTGACAAGTCCAAAAATATAATTTACAGGATGCACTAGTCGGCTGCAACTTTAGGAGAAGATACACACTGTTTGTTCAGTAGGAAAAAGAAAATTCTAATTTATGTTGTCTGCTGTTAATTGACATTTGTGAGTGGCTATTCTAAGGTCGGGTGCCTATTCCTGGTCCTGGACTGGGTTGCTCCAGTTTTGTGCAAGTTTACACTTAAGTTTATGTGTAAAGTCTTTACTGAGTCTTAGTTTACACTAGTAAACTGAAGGCTGTCCATAAAGCTCATTTGGTTGCACTACAAATAAGTAAGTCATGTATTAACTAGAAATAATGTGGACGTCACTTTTACAATAACATTTTTTATTGTTTTCACTGTAATAGTTTTATGTAGAAGAATACAGCATATGAATCCATCTTAACACACAAACAAGTACATTTAATAATAGCGAATCTAGGAGAATAGAAATAAATTTGTTCAAGTTCTTGTTAAAATAAATAACCAAATCGATACAGAAGTATTGTAAAGTATTATAGAGCTACAAGTCTATCAAATTTAAATACTCTTCAGTTTTGTTCCACATTTTATACTATAATTTACATTTTGGACTGAAAGAATAGGGCACTCACTCCTGTAATACATTTTCCAGTAGAATATTTTTCTATGCAGTTAAAGAAGGTGGTTGTGGCTCTTTTCATGAATGTTAAAATGTTTTCTTGACTAGTAGTGCAGAGGATAAAATGAATTTAGCTAATACTTACTAATACTGAGTTTACATACAGAGGTGTCACCTAAAACCATTTGTTTTGAAGATAGTGACTATTAACTACTTTTAACCATAGGAGCCTCAGCTTAGACATTTGGGTCTCACTGAACTGGAGCTGTGGAGCTGTGGGTGTTAGCTTCATGTTCAGAGTTAAAGCCAGGATGATGATTAGAGCTGTAAGTAAAATCACAGCACATAGCATGCCATGTTTTTAGCTTAGTTAACCAAAAAATTATATTTTTGGTCTTCTTTGTGCTCTCTGTGTGTTTTCCAATGGTTTCCCTAATACACTTGCTGAGAGGGAGGTGTAAATATTTGGTAAGAACTAAGCTCAATGTTTAAACTTGTTTGTGTTCTGCAACCCGTTTTGATTCAGTAATTCATAAACCCAAACTCAGTAAACACTTACATTACAACTAGCCTACATTTGAACTTATGTACAGCTGGGGTAGCTGGCCCTGGGAGATCTACCCTGGAGAGTCCAGATTGAACACACTTGGCTCTAATGTTTGGATGGCCCAGAAGGCCTTTGTTACCTGGATCAGCTGTGCTAGATTTGAAGCTAAACCTTTTGCAGCAGGATTTAGAACCCCTCTTCGAAGGTATTTTTCTATCTTAGGGTGTTTTTACATATGTGAGTCCGCTCCCAGGACTGATTCTGGGCTCATTTGGGGGAAGGGGCTCATTATCACTGGTTTGCTTTCACATACAAGAATTCCATCAAAACCATGGATCAGTTGCACAATTCCATATGCCACTTTTCTGCACACACATTTGCAAAAAAGCTTAATCTGTTTGCTGCTTTTTTTATTTTCCTTGAATACAAAAACTCAAGCAGTAAAGAACAGTGCTTTTTGGGTACATGGTAGTCGGAGCTTATCCATGTATCTGCTCCTGGAAAAGGTTCAAAACACAACCCATGTTACAAAATGTTCTTCCGCAATTGTGTGCAGTTACACATTTCCTCCAGAGGGGTCTCCAGATCCACAAAACCTACACAGTGCAGCTTTATTGAAAACATTGTTAATTGCAAAAGGTTCAGTATATCACAAAGATACACTTTTTCTCTGTGCATGAAATATCACTACATAAAATGAATTAGTCAGTCACTTCTTAAAAGCATAGATAATTTTTGTAGTTAAGGGAGCAAGAAAAAGAAAGGCGGGCAGACATGGTTTACATGTTAACAATCGATTGCTGTTATGCTTTTAATAACTTGAATGCATCCAAATGTGTCAATCATCCTAACACAAAGTGTAGAGATATGAAACATGACAAACTGTATGGGAGATTTCAGTAAAAACAAAAAGTCTAATACATTTACAAAACATTAAATGTTTACTTAAAAATACTGGGGAAAAGTACAGTGTAACATTTTGTTTTTTACTTAACAATTTTAAAACTATGCAAGCAAAATAAATATTTTTATATGAACAAGAAACTTACACATCTCCATTATAAATGAAAGTATAAATTTTGTTTCTAGCGCTTTCAGTTTCTGTGAAATCCAGCTGAAAGTATAGCTTATGTGTGGGAAACACAGTCAACACGTCAAATCATAGATGATGCTATGAGACATAAAGTGGGTTTTGGAACCTAATTAACTACATATAACTTCCACATTACATTTTACCCCATGTTAGTTTGTGGCCCACTCTGCCAATTAAAACCCAAAACCTTTAAGTCACACTATATTGGTATAATTAATTAATTATTTAGGTTATTTTCATTGAGTTACACACAAACATACACTGTAAAAGCATTTTGTGGTTCAGTCTAAAGAATTACACCAAATTTGATAACAGGCAGTTTAACTGTGTTTAATAAAGATTGAAATGAAACAAATCCGAATGAAGCAGACCAAATCTAAAGCACTTCAAATCAACCTGTTTTCTACTTTTGACAGTGTAATATTAAACTAACATTCTGTGTGATCAAGAAATCAAACTGTAAAATCAAATAACTTTTGAGCTGCAGTTATTTTTTTAAGTTTTCATGGAAATACCACCATCAGCCCAGGTGCATCATCGCTGATGAACATTCATTTAGCGACACTGAGAGGAACTTCACAGCAGGTTACTCAGAAAAACACCTCTGCCTTTTGCGTGTGTTCGTAGGGCTGTTACTGGTTACTGTTTACTGATATTACTGTGACATGTTCAGCATTTACTTTGCCTTCATGTGTCTTATTTCCAATAACTTAACTAAAAGACTTATTAGATAAAATCAGAGATCCACACCAACCATATATGATCCATTTCACCACCATCAGATCTTATCCAGTTGATTAAGGCCTCAATTAGGAGCAGTGTTGAACTAGTAATACTAAAAAAACAATAATGATGAATAGAACTGATATCGGTCAATATGATGCCCCACTAAGTCATTTACTCTCAATTGAATAGCTGCATTATAAAATAAGATAACTTTATTTATTTTTTTTATCATTTCATCAGTGCATATGAAAAGAGAAGGAAAGCCATGCAGAGAAGAGGATGGGGGGTGGCGGGTGGGGGGTGTAAACCACTGCAGCCACAAATAAGATCAGAGAGCATCAGTCACTCTGCAGCAGCTAACGGCTAATCAGCTCATCAGCTCTGCAAACTGTGCTGAAGCTGCTCCGTTTGTTTTCCAGTAAACACATTCAGCTGCACTGCATGCAGACCTTCACCACACTTTCCTACCACAGAACTTTCCAGTAGATGCACATCATTAAAGTGCAACAGAGGGGGTTACAGTCAAGATTAGGTCAACTGTGCATTAACTATGGCTGTTTATTATTTACAATATTATATAAAGGCTTATGCAAACATTTGGGTGGCCTGGTCAAACTTTAGTGCACGATTTGTTTATCTGGTAAGTTTAACAAAACAAGAAATAAAACTTACACTATAAAATGTGCCATAGCTTCCACTATACATTCAATTCAGCAAATAAACAGTAAGAGAGGATGGAAATGTGCAGAAGTGTGTTCTCTGTAGAGGCTGTGTAAATTACTTTCACTTAGAAAATCAACAAAACATAATTTCACCAGAGCGCCCAAACTTTTGCAAACAACTGCATCTATTGTTGTTATTATTTAATTGCATTTCATTGCATAATGTTAATAATAAACCTGTTTGTGTTTCCTTGAACCTACATTAAGAGTAACTTCCCAAAGTAGCACAGAATAACATAAAACTAAATGATAAACTCAGTAAAACTGAGTTTAATAGTGTTTTAATTAAAACATTTTTGTACCTTAATTTAGATATAATAGTTTTGGCCAGCTTTAGTGTTAGTACTGGATATAAATATATTAAAATATATATATATTGATTACATTATTGTTAAAAATTTGGAATCACTTGGCATATTAATATTTTTGTTATTTTATTCAACAGCAATTTATACAGTCTAGACTGATGTCGTAAATTTGACATCAATATTTCAGTTTTGGCAACATGAGGTTACTGATAAATATACACTTCTTCACTGTACACTTCAGTTCTTCAAGTAAGGCTTTAAGTAAAGACAATGGTTCTATATAGAACACTCAAAGAACCATTTGCATGATTAAAGGGTTCTTTGCATGGTGAAATGGTTCTTCAGATTGATGAAGAATGTGTTGTATATGGTTCTGTAGAGAACCATTTTGAAAAGTATTCTATATAGCACCAAAAAGGGTTCTTCTATTTTTACAAGCTTGACATTGTAACGATAGAACAAGTCTTTTTGGTGCTATATAGAACCACATACAACACATTCTCCATTAATCTGAAGAACAATTTCATCCCTTTTATCATGCAAATGGTTCTTTGAGTGTTCTACATAGAACCACTGTCTTTATTAAGAACATTTGATCCATCCTTTTTAAGTGTGTACAGTAGTAGTGTAAAGGTTTTCTGCCTTGAAATGCGAATTCTGAATGTTCATTTTATAAAATGTTCATTCTCCATGTTCTACAGCTTTCTCACTCATTATGAGTTCATCATTTTGGTTTATTTTTTATTATTTATATTATACATTATTTTATGACTTTGTGTCTTGCAAATTATTTGAAGTTGTGCAGTGTTAGCATTACATTAGAATGATTTTAATCTCAATAAAAAACTTAAGTTAGGAAATTCACACTTGTAATTTTGGGAAGTCTCTGTAAGGTGATATAACCTCAGCACCAGATCACCTGTGTGAAATAAAGAGAATATGTATTACCAAAGGTTCAAGAACATGTATAGCCAAAAAAAATATGTGAAAAAGCTGCTGCTGAAATGAGTTTTGTTTTACTTGTTTTATGTCCAATAAAAAAAGACAATAATAAAAATAAAAATCCAACAGTAACTTTATTACAGATACCAGCAAGAAAGCTACAGAAATGCAAGAAAGCTCAACAAAACATCTACTAACTATAATGTGTTACTTATTTAGACTGATTTAAACTGAGGTATCAAACACTAACACTTTCCTAAAACAATGCAAACTTATTCCAGTATGATAAGTGATATTTTAAAAGTAGCAAATGAAAACATGACAAATGCAATCAAAGGTAATTTGCAGGTGTATTTATATGTATAAGAGCTGGTTGAAGCATGCTATTAAAAGAAATAACTCTGTTTAGTAAGTGAAATAAGAAAAACAAAAAAAAGGAAATACATGTAAAAAAAATCTGAAACTCTTCATTTGTCCTGGTTTGATGTTGGACTGGTTTTGCTGAAAGTCTTGTTGTTCTCAGCTCTCCTCTTGTAGAGTAAGAACCCCACAGCACAGAAATACAGCACGTTCTTCATCAGCAGAGACACGTACGTGAGATTGAACAGATACAGTCTGTGCATCAGCTCCGACGAACCTGCCGAAGACATCAAGAAGTCGTATGCAAAAGTTTAAACACCCCTGGTCAAATGACTTGTTTTGCTGATTTTCCAAGTTAAAATGAGTTAACACATCCTGTATAGTGAACACACCTAAATATGACATTTTTTCTGCACCATTTCTGCATTTTTGTGCACCATTTTTATATATGTATATATATATATATATATATATATATATATATATATATATATATATATATATATATATATATATAATGTATCTTTTATACTTTAGACCCCATCATGTCAAATTCAGTAAATGATCAGTAATTGTGTATTAAAATGTGCAGTGTGTTCTCTATAGAGGATGTGTTTTGCTTTGTCCTCACACTAAATGTCTAAACATAATTTTACAACATAAAATAGGGTTTTCCAAATATGTATTATTATATAAGCTAAGTTTTTTTCTCTTTACCATGTTTTTGATCATCCACTTCTTTTGGGGGTGGGCAGGGTTGGACAGGGTCAGAATCAGAGCCCTTCGAAGGTTCTAAGAAGATCCAACAGTGTAGATGTAATTAGCAGAAACATTAATGCAGAATCCTTGAGTGAATTTAATGTTTATTATCTAAATGTTCATTTATTTATTTCATATAACTACAAGAGCTACAGCACTTCTGAAATTAATAATAGCTAATGAAACTATTTTGATAGTGGTTTTAAACACATTCTAATCCTCATTGGTTTACCTGCTGAAATTTTGATGGGATGGTGCTTATCCTCGTGTTGGACAGAGCAGGTGTAAGTTTTAGAACTTGCTTTCTGTTGGTCTATGATGAGCATGCTGGTCACTCTGGCCTCCTCACCCTCATCTTTCTGCTCCAGCAGGTCATATGTCTCTGACAGCGTCACCTCTGTGTTACTTTCATTCTTCCATGTGAACCTCACCAGGTTTGGAAACATGCCTCTGGCCTGACACGCCAGTACGCTCTTTCCATTGTTTGGTTTGAGGACTGAGTACGCTGACAGCTGCAGGTTCCCGTGGTGCATCAGCTGTGTTTAACACAGAATGATCCAGACATTGAAAGGCTGGCACATTGAGCTAGTAGTTTATAGTTATGTTCAAAGGTTTATACACCCAAAGGGCACATGTTGGGTATACTAGCGCTTAACCCTTCCTCTCAGCATTTAAAAGGACACCCTGAGAGGCAGCTGTGCACTATAAGTGACAAGAGATGGGTGACAAACTAAAGCCCAAACCAACATAAAGTAAAGTGTTGAGTCATCACAAGCTGCCCCCACAGCTTCAGTCCACCTTGGTGTAGATTCTACAAGTCTCTGGAAATGTGCTGGATAACACACAGATAACAATGCTGAGCACCATGTAACAAGATTGCAGCACTGACTACTGTCCCATAATGTTTAAGCTTGGAGAACAAGGGGAGTCATTTAAGACCTTTAGTTAACAGGTTTCAGTGTGAATTGGATCAGAAGACGGTGATGGCCATTGCACACACACAAATCCTTAATACAGTTATCTTTGAGCCATTTATGTGGCTGGTATCTGATTGAATGCTTTCAATGAAAAGCCAGTTTTGAACTCTTGAATGATGCTGATGGTTGATGCCGTGTACCTTAAGAACTAAATAGTGAAGTAATGGTGTTTATGTCCAGAAACCACTATCTGATTTACTCCTATCTGACCATAGATGCTTGTTCTAAATATACAATCCTGTTAAGATGTTTACATGTAGTTTACTTGCAGTAGAGTCTTTGTTCTGGCTTGACTTTGCAAACTGTTTTCATGAAGTTGATGTAATACTTTTTAAAACACAGGCATGGATTTCATTCAGGGTGCAACAGTCAATCTCTCTGGCCTGCCAGTTCAGTGGACTGTGATGGCTACTGGCATATATTCCTGTATATTAGGAAAATTTTCTTTAGACCAAAAACATACACTGTGATTTCTTGTGTCAGCACGTTGGCTTGGAGGATGCTCAGACCTTTCTTTATGTTTTACTATATTTAAATTTGTTTGTATTTATTGTAATGTTATGTAGAGTTTTACTGGTAAAAAAACAAATTTACTGCCAAGATAAGCATGTGTAAAGTGTAAAGCACTGTAATACAAAGCAGGGAAGTACATGCTGTACTGCCTGATATTTTTTTGATGGTAGTTTATCACAGTGTACACACTGTACACAGGGCTACGCACCTAAGATTTATTTTCACTCAGCTTCATACCTGTGTAAATGTGATGTGACAATAAATGTGATTTGATTGGATTTGATTTGATTCATTCAAATACTGATGTATTTGATGTATTTCATATATATGTATGTATATAATATGTATAATGTAGAGCAAATGCACAATATAATCATTTTCTAAAAATCTCACTGTATAAAAATATATTATTATATTATTATATGTGTATATATATAATATATATATATCAGCCATTGTGACTTGGTGGCTTCAAGATCTAACCAGCCTCCTTATTCTCTAAAACCCAGAATGTTCTTCATATGAACGATCGTCCCGCATGGTGGGAACAGATTTATGTCCTTTTCCAAGGAGTAGTTGTTTTTTAGTTTTAAACTCAGTTACTACATTGATAGTTATATAGTAAAGACATACAGTTTATCATATTTTATGAAGTGATGGATGATTGCCTAAAAATTCTTACAAACTCTGATAATCTTGAACAAAGCACATTAGAAGTTAATTCTATTGGAATTTGTTCATAAGAACTTCGAGGGCCAGTAATTGAGACAAGTCTTGTTTTTTTATTTGAATTTCTTAATGATTTTGTAGTTGTTGTTTTGAACATTTTTACATTTTTATCACTTTGAGCTAGAGGTCCAGTGTAAGTCAAGACTCATAAGCAAAAAAAAAAAAATGCATGGCATTTTTGACCGTCCTTACCAAAAATGTCAATAATTCTGAAGGCACGGCATTTGTATCAATTTTGTTGATATACGTATGAGGAACTGTGAAGCTTTTCATACATACAAACAGTACACTGTATTGAAATGTTCATGTCATTTTTCCTAACATTTGCATTACCATGTTATTTCAGCTGTTGATCCCTTATTTGAGAACAAACAAGGTAAAGTTTGACTGCAGCACCAAAAAAGCATGAGTGTTAAAGAAGAAAAGGTTTATTTTTTTCAGGTTTAAATGCTGGTTTATAGATTACAAATGCGTCACGTTTTACAGATTTACAGTGTGCACTCAAAAAACATTTATAATGACTTAAAATGTAATTATAAATACTCGTGCTTACATAGTAATTAATCTACATTTGTGTGATATATACATAAACAAATTCATATTCTGTTAGCCTATTTTAGGCTAATTTTCATTATGACTTACCTGATTTTTCAATGACACACGTATTATTAGAGATTTTGATTCCAGTTTTTCTAAGCAATGTATAGTAAGCAATTTCTCTAGAGAATTTAAGGTTTGTATATGGAAGGAGGGCATGTTCATTTGAACTGAGCTTTAAAAATGAACTACTAAATGAATGTAGGCAATAAAATGATTGAGAAATATACTCATACCATCAGCGATTAGCCCTGTTCCATATACAAACACTCTGTAGACATATCCAGACTTAGAACCAGACTACAACAGAAACGTCTTAACCACTAACAATCTGGCAAATGTACAAAATAGAGCCTCATCTAGCGTGTACAAGCTGCAGATCCAAATCACAAACAATATTACTTTTCCTGTTCATGTTGAAGACACTGATGCAAAGAGTTAATTTATGTGCTGCCATATGGTTAGTCCAGTTTTTTGACTATGTTGTCATGAGGTTGTTTAAAAAGTTCTTACAGTTTCTGAAAGAGTTTGAAAAGACATTTTACTTACCTTCCACATAAAGTCTTGTGCCTGATCCAAAGACTTTCACACCTCCCACTGTATATTATTCAGAGACAAAAACACCTCACAGTCTTCACAGATACAGGTTCCTGTCAGGCTCACTGAGAACATACACAGAGAGTTTATTTCAGACAGAAAGTGAATCTGAATTTCAGCTTGACTTCAGTCATGTAACTGCAAGAGATTCAGTTTAGAATTAAGAAATGTAGGATTTTCAGAAAACAAGCCTGTCCTGATCTTACCACCAGGAACTCCTGTGGTTATCATGGTGTTCTCTACAGCACATTATACGCCAAATCCTAAATGATTTTTTTCTCTTCATAAATACTCAGAGCTATTTTGCCCTAGGAGCACAGTAACAGAACATGAGCTGAATAGGGGAACCAGACCTTTCCTAAGCTATATGGCATGTTTGTTGATCTATGGTTGTGAGTGAAAGTCACATACGTGAAATGTAATCATTCATTCCTGTTTTTATTGAGAGTGGGGTACATTAAAAAATATACTTTGTTAAATTGCTAAATTTCCTTTGAGATCAATAAAGTATTTATCTATCTATCTATAACTACAGAGAGATCCACAGAGGTGCTGAGTGAGCTTTTAAAGATCCTGTGGTACAGCAAGCTATGTAATGGCCAGGGGGCCTTGTTTCAACTGTATCTTCATTAATAGTAACTACACAATACCTTAATATGGTACACTACACTATGCCTACTGTCTCACTGTGAGATACTGATTTACTACTTAGGCTGAATGTTGCTGATATTGAATTACAATTAAAAATTCAGCATGCAATGTCCTGAAAAAAATGGAAAACAGGAACTGGTAATACAGTATGTTGTTCTAAAATGTTGAGTCACTTTTTGACGGTCATCATCAATAGAACTGGTCACCTTAAAAGGGGTTAACCAGTGGGCCCAAAGTTTTCTTACACACTTGGCCACGAGTCTGAATTAAAACCTGTGTAGTTACTGAATAGTAAGCCTTTTATAATAATAAGTATGTAATAATTCCAGGTTTTTAAGCGGTCAAAGGGGAATTTCACTGATTTGAAATGTTCTGCATAACACAGTGGTTGAGATGTAAATAAAATCATTCAGAGTGGTTTGATTGAAATGGTTCACTTTAGAGAAACTTACAGACTCAGGTTTCCCAATGTCTATAAAACAAATATAGACATTTCAAATCAAATCAAATCACGTTTAATATCACATCACATTTACACAGGTGCAAAGGTGAGTGAAAATCTCTTGCACTCTCTCTCTCTCTCTCTGTCTCTCTCTCTCTCTCTCTTTAGTTGGTGTATATATATATATATATATATATATATATATATATATATTCAGATTTTTTTTATGTAATGTTGATGATGGCAAAATAATGGTAAATGTGAAAAAATGCATTTTCTTTAGGGATCTTTTTGCCTTAGAACACCCTTCTTGTTTTTAGACCTCATCACAAAACTTCTGTAAAACAATGTCTCAGACATCAGGCTATGTATTCATAACTATTTCTGTCTTTTCTGTGATGGAGCTTTTGGAGACATTAAACTCATCAGATGTCTGGTTCCTATCACAAACATTGTAAACAATACAGACTGCAGATTAATTAATGCTTTGTGTCAGCCTCTGCGTCAGGTTAACACAGTTACAAAAATGTGTTAATGTGTGGATCTGTAAGGTATTACACCAAGTGTGTTAGACCCAAACAGTTTGTGTAGGGTAACGTAGAGCATTCTCCATGTAAGGTTTGATTTTACCACTAACATGTTAAGGAGGCTCCCAAATGTTCATTAGTTGATTTATTTCTTTTCTTACTAGGATAAATAACTTGGAACATACAGGGAACATGTTAAAATATATTGTTTTAGTAATGGCATCAGGGCGTAGTGTAGTTTGTGCCTGAAAAATCCCATTTAGAAAGCTGCGCTGCAGAGTAGAGAGTCTGTGTTTACACTGACCTCCTGACAGTCATTTTGTAAGACATTTCCCAGTGTCACATAACTCCACCCCATTTCTGTCTGCTTAGCTAAGAAAATATGGTGGAATCTGGTTAATGACCTGGTTAGTGGCAGGAGTAAATTTCAAGGTTCAGTTTGCATGCAAATTTGTCTTATCCATCCAAAACAGCAAACCTGGTGCTGCTACCAACCTAGAAGGCATCATATGGAAGGACAGATAGAAAAGAAACAAATAGAGAGCATCACATGGAATGACAGAGAGAGCAGAAAGACTGTCACATGGAATAACAGAGGGACAGGAGACACTTAGTGACCATCATACTGGATGTTGGAGGGAGAGGAAACACTCAAAGAGCATCACACTGAATCAAAGAGAGAGAGAAAACACCCAAAGAGCATCACACTGAATGAAAGAGAGAGAGAAAACACCCAAAGAGCATCACACTGAATGAAAGAGAGAGAGGAAACACTCAAACAGCATCACACTGAAATAAAGAGGGAGAGGAAACACCCAAAGAGGGTCACACTGAATCAAAGAGAGAGAGGAAACACTCAAAGAGCATCACACTGAATGATAGAGGGAGAGAAAACACTCAAAGAGCATCACACTTTATGAAAGAGAGAGAGGAAACACTCAAACAGCATCACACTGAAATAAAGAGGGAGAGGAAACACCCAAAGAGGGTCACACTGAATCAAAGAGAGAGAGGAAACACTCAAAGAGCATCACACTGAATCACAGAGGGACAGGAAACACTCAAACAGCATCACACTGAATGATAGAGGGAGAGAAAGTAAAATGATGCTCTCTTGGACTTCCAGCCACAGATGGCTGTGGCATTGCATTCTCTGGGCTCTATCTGCATTCTCTAAGCTCAAATTCTTTATGGCTAGAATGAATGAGGTTTTCAAAAAATCACCTCCATCACGCTTGGTGGTAAACAGAAATGACACATTACCCGATACATTTTGTCCTGTGTACATTACAGGAGTTGTAATGATAATATTGCTACATGCAAGTTAATGCTGCTGCACATCAATTTCACCTCACTAAGCTACACAAAAGTAAGGCTTGTCAAAATGTCGTACCATAGTGGATATTTATAGGTAGTGCACACACAAAACCTCTAAGCAGGATATTTTGATAACTTAAATCATCTTTTTAAAAATACTACCAGCATTAAAAACTATGAAGCTGAAGGCTGCTTCTTATTCACCAGCTTTCTGAGCTCTCTTTGAATTTCCCCAATCCTCCTTAAATGATGGAGCAGTTATTATACCTTTGTTCTGCCTCTGCTTTATAGTGTAAATTTGTAAGAACTCTTTTTTAAGAAACTTTTTTCATAACCCTGTTATTGTTTCAAATGCCACACACTACTATGAACTGTTAGACTCCTTTGGAACTGGCTATATGAGTAATCCATGAGTTTTGTGTGATTAAAATTGATTTGTTCTGCTTCTGGTTGCATACTGTCAGAGTTTTTGTACAGGATGTGAACAGTTGCTGTCACTGTGCTCCATCCCAGCTGGCACAGTAATAAACTGCAGAATGGCTCCTCTTCAGTGATTGCACCTTTAGATCATTGGAGCCGTTTGGCACAGTGAAGTCCTCTCTATCAGGATGGTCAGTGTCACGAATGATGTTTGTACCATCTGTATTAACGTACAGAATCCTTTTGAGAGCTTCACCGTCTTTCTTTTGGTACCAGTGAACGTAATTGCCTCTGCTCAGATCGGTCACTTTGCAGCTGATATAAGCACTTTTTGTTTCTGGCTTTGTCCAGGACAGTTCACTTTGCTCCATTGTCAGTGCCAGTACATTTTCTGTGACCAAAAATATATTAGAATTAGCATTTTTTTATTGTCAGTATTTAATTTTTAAACTAATTCGAATAGCCTCTCTTTGATTTGATACTTACCTGCACTCAAAAAGAAGAAAACATCTATGATGGTGAACATTTTCATTTTGTTGTAAAATAATGGATTTGCTTAATACAGCACTCTCTGTTACACCCTTTCTGTGTGTTTGCATGAACGTGTGTTGCAGAAATCTCTCAGCTGTGAAACAGTGATGTCATATCCTGGGGCAGAGATTGGGTTCTTTGGCAGCCTGTACTGTATGATTAGTGACTAAGAATAATAACAATAATACATAACAGTAAGGACCAAGATTAATAGTAGCTAGCAGTACTAATGGTGGCAGATATTATTACTAGTAGTATTAGTAGTAATAGTAGTAGAACTACCAGTAACATTGATAGTTGCAAAAAGTGTAGTAATAGTATTTTAGGTGGGAGGAGGTAGTTAAGACATGCCTTTGTCCGCAACTTATTTTAGTCCTGTATTGCTAATTCATTGCTATACCCTTTTTTTTTCATAAACTTTCTTTCACTTTCTTTCATTTTGCTTCATTACTGCTCCCATGACAGCTACTACAATCTTCATTAAACACTGAATAAGCCAGTGTAATATTTATTGCACTCATTTATTGGCTAATATGATATTTAGTGGCCAATAGTGGCTTCGATATGGTACTTACCAACACTAAAAGAGAAGAGAAAAGTATATGAGACTATGAACATTTTCATGTGGCTATAAAGTGAAATATATGGTTAATACACCACTGTCTATGACACCCTTTCCCAGTGCAAACATTAGCACTTGTGCAGCATAAGCCTTTAAAATATTGATGTAATTTCCTGGGGTGAAGAGTGGCACCCACTAGCTGGCCATTGCAGTATATCAACTCTCACAAGTCCAAAAGAACTGTAATACAGCTTACACTGTGTAAAATGCCAGGCCAGTGACAAAGTCAATGTTTTCTGCTTATTGATTTCAAGGTAGTACATTGTCACTGTCCAAAAAAGCTCGACCTCATTTGAACGCAGCAGCCGCACTTTACATTGTGTGAACATTTCATGATGAATGGACTGATAGAAGGGCTCCAACATTGTGTGGAATAAAATCTCTTTAAAGTAACTTACATGAAAAGTAAAGGATGTACCCCTTCTCCTTTAAAGTGATTCCGTAAGAGATAGTTGGGTTTTTTCTTTTTTGTTTTTTTTTTTGGACAGCAATGCAGCACGCAATGTTCAGTGGGATATAAGTTAAAGGCATAAAGATGTAGAAAAAAAAGTGAAGTTATCCTTCACCATAATCCCCAGAAGTGGGCAAGTGCATGTGCACCAATGCCTGGAATCTGGGAATGAAGTCTTTTTGGGATCAACTCCCATCTCTGGGCTGCAGTATGAGATGGTTTTACAAATGTTTGTTGTTGAGATACAACACCGAGTAGGGTGACTGTCTACACTCACTTTTAAACAATAAGACCAAACTAAAATAGCTTAAACTACTTTCAGGGGTTAAATTGCCAAACACTACAAGTGTCTGGACAGAAAGGTTTACTCTGGACTCCAAGTGCTTTTTTACCTGGTGCTCAGTGGTGCTGTTTCTCCAAAACCAGCATAAAATAAAGCAAGGGATAGTCTAAATTCCTGCATTTATTTATTTATTTGTTTAATATTGCTCTAATTCATTCATTTAATCAGTTAGTAAGTTGGGTGGTTAGTTCATGGGTGGTCATATACTCATGAACATGTGCCTGCCGTGCTAGAACACATAAATTTCATTGTATAGCAGTGTTTTATGTTCACTTTGTAAGCAGCCTTTGTTCATCCTATTAGCACCACTGCCATCTTGCTAATTTGGCATTTGTTTATCCAATTACAATTTTATGCTAGCACCAAGCTAACGATGGTGTACATTACTGTGCTAAAACAGTTTGATACTTTACATTAAGGCTACTTATGGGATCTTAAAACTTCTCTGGTTGAAAAAAATGAAGCTTCGAAGCTTGAAGCTGCCATTTCTTAGTGAGTCATTTTGTATATATTCTGATCTCTTTGAACACTAACTTTGAATAGCCTGTGAATTTGTTAGCTCTCTATTGCTTGTTAACCATGATGTTGTGTTCTAAATTTAGTACGGTGTTCGGCATTTAACTTTGAATACCAAGTGCAAATCTGTATATGTGAATAACCAAGCCTATCCTTCTCATTCATTCTCAAACTCAGTTTTCTCTTTGGTCTCGTATATGTGAGGTTGGGTGAACGTAATGCTGTTTCTACCCTGTGCTACATTTGAAGCAGAGATCTGGCTTGTTGTGTTTGATGCACACCCTGTCAATACATTTGTGTTCATATCCACACTGCAGAATGAGAAAAGTCAACAGAGAAAATTCTTTTTAAGGCCTAATACTGGAATGTAAGAAATGGTTGCCATCTGTGTTGTTGACAGAAATGCAAAGACAACATGTGAGGCCTTTAACGGTGTTAAGGGTAAGGTGTAAACTTAAGTCTAATATAGAATGTATAGTAGCTGATATCAGGTATGCATGCACTGCAATTTTAGCCTATTTTTAAATCCATTTTGGTCTTCAATAACTAAACTTCAGTATTGGTCTAAATTTCGCTGTAAACGATAGGTGATTCAGATGTGCAGTGTGAATCTCTAAAGAACAAGATTTATAAAATCGCACAGTGTATGCCTGGCTTACATGATCATAGGCGAAACCTCTTTTAAGGCACTGTATGTGTATTGTGAGCTTGAATCAACCATTTGCTTAATACAGTTTCCTGTTGTGGGTCTCTTGGCTCTGCTTATGGTTTCATACTGTCAGAGTTTTTGTACAGGATATGAATAATTACTGTCACTGTGCACCACTCCAGCTGGCGCAGTAATAAACTGCAGAATGGCTCTTCTTCAGTTTCTTCACCTTCAGATCATAGGAGCCTTTTGTCACAGTGAAGTCGTCTCTTTCAAGATGGTTACCATCTGGAACTAAGCTACCATCTTTATTGACATACAGAATTCTTTTGAGAGCTTCACCATCTTTCTGTTGGTACCAGTGGACATAATCGCTGTCACTTACACCCTCCACTTCACACTTAATAAAAGCACTTTTTCCTTCTCTCTTTGTCAAGGAGAGGTCAATTTGCTTTATGGTCAGTCCCAGCACAGTTTCTGTAATCAACAAAAAACTCAAAGATCAGTAAATCTAATATGCTTTTTTTTAATTTAGAAATTTGAATGGCCTCTCGTTGGCATGGTACTTACCTATGTTCAAAGAGAAGAGAAAAGTGTATACAAATATAAGCATTTTCATTTTTGTGAAACAGAATATATACACTCAATACAGCTCTCTGTTACACCTTTTCTGTGTTTGCATGAACATTATTACTGAAGAACTCTTTCAGCTCCAAACTAATGATGTCACTTCCTGGGGTGGAGATTAGTGCGGCTAGACTGGCAGCCAATATTGTATTTCTTATTTTTGTAACTTACTCAAGTAAAATACTGATCGATTTGTACTCTCTTGAGTATTTTCAAATCATAGTTTTACCTCTACTCAAGTGTATTAGTGAATAAAAGAATCAAATTTTTACTCAGTTATGTTGTAGCCATTCCTATGTAGTTACTGATTCCTTTTTTGTCTTTAATTTAATTGTTTTGTTGGTGACAGCATCTGTACTGCTTTGTATAGTGCTACCCAGCTGTGTCCTGATAAGGAGTCATGGTCAAGCTCACACAATTACACACTCAGTTAAACATGTTGAGGAAAACATGAAAAACAGTTACCATTGTGTTTTATGCTTTATGTTTCTCCACAATGCTCTCTCTCATCAACATCTTAAAAATCATCCTAAAGAATGAACAATAGAGCGGCTTTTGTGTGCAAAAGTTTGGGCACCCTGGCCAAATGATGTTTTGTTGAGTTTTTAAGTGAAATAAGTTACACATCCTCTACAGACAACACACTTCTGCACATTTTAATGCACAGTTATGTGCTGGATTTAATGCATTGGAAAAGAAAACATAAATTGGGGCCTGAGCAAAAGTTATAGCATATAGATTTCATATGTTCCCTATATAGGATGCGTTAACATTAAAGGAATTTACAAAAGATTAGCATAATATTAGCATCGCTAATATGATAAACACAAACTTATTGTTTCCAAAAAATGTAAAAAACTCACAGCTGGCAAAATGCAATTAGTCAACAGACTAAAATCTTTCATGTCACGCTGATAACATGTCTCCATAGATCCATTGACGATGAACAGTGTCAGTGTTTGTTTGGCCCTGCACTTCGCTAAGTTCAGCCTTAGATAGCAAACTCTGCTAGTTAACATCTCTGAAGAACATCAGGCTATTTTCAAAACTAGTTCATTTTCTAAGGTCCGCATCATTTTTGGAGGGAAGCAAGTGCTGTTACTCTCACATTGGCCACCATGACAATAGAAAAATACACAAAGAGACACTTATTATCTAAATGTATTACAATCATAGCAACAGTACTAAACCTTAAACTTTACTTGATATCTGTTTATTAATGATTAATGATGAGGAATAAATTGAATTTCCTCCTGAACAGTTCTTTAGTGCAGGCCTGAATGCAAGTGTTTACACACTAAACAGACCAAACTAAAGAAAAAAAGTTCAAAAGGGCCACACCAAACAAGGTAAGAGTGAAAGAACCCTTAGTTTAGTGGTAGCAGTAAGAAATATTCAAACTGACATTCAAAAAATTCACACAGTGTAGTAACACATACTGTGACTCCTGAAATGGGGATTTTGATTGGTCCTGCTGGGGAGTTTAACTGTTTGTTTGTGCCACTGTTGTGTTCTGTACAGTTAAGAGACAGCAGTTTTTATGTAAGCCTCCTAAACTCAATCAAATAGTGGTGGGTAGTCACCCCAGTACTTTAAAAAGTGGTGCTTAAAAAATACCCGCTCGCACCTGTGGTTCCGGCAACCCTGGGTAAGCGTGATGCTGATACAGTAATACAAACGCAATGTGTGAGGCCTTTAAAGGTGAATAGTGTAAAGTGTGGAGCTACTTGGAATACAAAATGTACATTTGCAGATATCAGGTAACAAACGTATTTATGCACTGAGTGAATTTTCTGTTTTAAGGCCTGATTTGGTCTTCACTGACTGAATTTCATTTTCAGCCTGATTTTCACCTTCATCGTATGTCATTTGATGTGCATGATGTGAACATAGGTGTAACTGTGAGTTTCTTGTGAATCAACCATTTGCCTAATATAGTTTCCTGTTGTGGGTCTCTGGGCTCTGCTTAAGGTTTCAAGCTGTTTTTGTACAGGATGTGAATAGTTGCTGTCACTGTGCACCACTCCAGCTGGCGCAGTAATAAACTGCAGAATGACTTTTCTTCAGTGAATTTATTTTCAGATCATAGTCTTTTGTCACAGTGAAGTCATCTTTTTCAGGATGGTTACCATCAGTAACAGTGCCACCATTTTTACTGAAATACAGAATCCTTTTGAGAGCTTCGCCGTCTTTCTGTTGGTACCAGTGGAGATAACTGCTGCCACTCAGTCCCTCCACTTCACACTTAATATAAATACTTTTTCCTTCTGTCTTTGTCCAGGAGAGTTCGCTTTGCTTTATGGTCAGTCCCAGCACAGTTTCTGTGATCAAAAATAAAGTCAAAAATCTAATATATTTTTTTAATTTAGAAATTTGAATGTCTTGTGTTTGGCATGGTACTTACCTATGCTCAAAGAGAAGAGAAAAGTGTATACAACTGTAAGCATTTTCATTTTTGTGAATATATACACTTAATATATATATAACAGCTCTCTGTTACACCTTTTCTGTGTTTGCATGAACATTATTACTGAAGGACTCTTTCAGCTGCAAACTAATGATGTCACTTCCTGAGGTGGAGATTAGGCTAGACTAGCAGCCAATATTGTATTTCTTATATTTGGTACTTTATGATAATATTGACTAATATGTAGTTAATGTATGGAATTACTGGTTTTCTTATTGAGGCTATGTTTATTATTAAATAACACTGTAATCTGGGGCAACCCTCTTTTATTACTTTTATTCCTGTAGAGAGGTGGGTAGAAACTAGTTACATTTATTCAAGTACAAAACTTCCAAAAATGTTGGGACAGTAGGTAAAGTGCAAATAAAACAGAAAGCACTGATTTATAAATCCACTGTGGCCCATATTTGAACAAAAACAGTACAAAGACAAGATACATAATGTTTTATCTTTTCAACTTCATTGTTTCTTTTTAATAAATATACACTCATTCAGAAACTGATGCCTGGAACACATTCCAGACTAGGATTATTGTGAAATGTTCAAAAAACATCTCAAACAGGTGATGCAGTCATGCTTGGATATAAAAAGAACATACAGGAAAAGTGTAGTCCTTTCTTAACAAGGGATGGTTAAGGACGGTCTCCATTTTGCCAAGAATGCCTCAGAAACGCTCTACAGTGCATAATATCATCAAAACATCCAAGGAATCCAGATAAAAACCACAACCACATGCAGGTATCTTTGATCTCTCAGAAGGCACTGCCTTAAAAACTGGCATGCTTCTGTGAAGGATACCACCATATGGACTTAGGAATGCTTTGAAAAACCGCGGTCAAGGGACACTGTCTGTCACTGCATACACAAATGTAAGTTAAGACTACTATGCACAGCAGAAGCCATATATCAATAATGTCCAGAAACACTGCCGACTTCTCTGGGCTCAAGCTCATCTAAAATCATATTGTGGTCTGGGAAGTCAACCTTTCAGATTATTTATGGAAATTACAGACATTGTCTTCTCTGGGCCAAAGAAAAAAAGGACCATCCAGATTGTTAATACACTCAAGCATATATTTTTTACTCTATTACATTTTAGCCGTTTATATTTAGGCACTGATTCCTTTTTGTGTTTAATTTGACTATTTTGCTGATGCCGATATCTGTACAGCTTTGAGATTTGTCACACCTCTGAGCTTTAGCATTTCATTTTAGACCAAAAGAATCCCAGAAAGAGAAGAAAAAGAGAAGAATAGAGTGCAACATCAACATTTTTTGACATGGTCCTTTACGTTTAGTAGTCATTATTTTACTCCAGTATAAATACTTTTATTTGTGTATGGGTTTGGCTGCTCTACCCACCTCTGATCTTATATCTATTTTGTGACGTGTTTTTATATCAGTGTGTAAACTGCGCCACTGATGGGCCATCATCGACTCCCACAAGAGTCTTAAAGCAGCTTAACAGGCGGTGTTTATTCTGACACTAGAGGGTAACAGTGTTATGTGTTTCGTTCCCAGTGTTTACTCCCTTTTTCTTCTATAGTCTGATCAGAGGAGCAGTAAAAAGTTCATGAGTAAGAATGAACAGTGTAGCACTACACAGATGTGCCCTGATACAGAGTCATGGTCAAGCTCTCATGACACACTCGGTTAGACATGTTGCAAAACATGAAAAACTATTATGATTGTGCTTTATGCTTTATGTTCCTCCACAATGCTCTCTCTCATCAACATCATCTTTCAGAATGAACAATAGGGGACCACTTTCCACATAAATAATAATTCATGTACCACTCACAACTGACTTTTTGATTGCATATATAATTTTGCACTTAAAGTCGTAGGCAAAAGTTTAAATTTAACTGGGAAATATGCTGAATTTAACTGGAAAATAAACGTGTTCAAACTTTTGCATATGACTCTGTGTGTCTGACTGACTGTCTGTCTGTTTGTCGGTCCAGGGGTGCAAATTTGGTCTGACAAAGCTGTGGCCTACATATAATACTAGCACCACAAAAAAGCTGCACATTTCATACATAGGAGCAGATTACATAGAGGTACACAGAGCCATGTTCCCATGATGTCTAATGATTTATATATTAATATTAAAGCAAATCGCTGCTGTTGGAACAAAACCTCATATCTCTTCCTTCTTAACTTTTAATGAAAGTTATTGGAGATAACTTATATCTCCAATATATATCCAAGATAACTTATATCTCCAATATTTTGTCCATGTAATTTTGGGCCATTTCTGTTGGCCCATTCATCATGAAATTTTGACACAACATAAGGGGCAGCTGGCCTTTTCAGATTATGTCAAAAAATGTAAAATAAAACAAAAATGGAGATACTAGGTTTTGTCCCGACAGCAAAAAAAAATCTTAAAAACATACAAAAGGTAGTGAAGCTGTTTTAGTTCGTAATGGTGATGCCATATAACTAAATGGAAAATTTTCAGTAATAGAAGCTATGTACTAATTAATGTTTTTATCCTTCTATTTTAATGTTCATTGCTACTAGACAATGGTGATGTCACACAACTACAATATTTTAATCTAAATAAAACCATTAAATTTATTATATCAATGAGCTGGGTACTGACAGGGTTACTACGTAAAACATGATTGTGTCTTAACTTTTGCTATACATTAAGGCATCTTAGATTCACTACTACTGTTTAGGTAACTAAGTAATCAGTTTTTTGCTGTTTAATTTACTGCTTGAGCTTCAATCTACATAAAAGGTAACCGAGTTGCTGACAACAAATCACGTTTTCAGAGTATGGTTCTGTCTCTGGGATTTTTTACTGAGAACACTGACCTTACAGGTCGAAATACAAAATTACTGTGACAATATTTTATATTAACAATGATTAATAAGTTAAAAACAAAGAGAAAATAATTAGAACCAAAGTATCTCAGGTGAATATTTATAATAAATGATATACACTAAACCTAATTATTATTGTGTATAATTCTCTGTTCTTATGAATTTGCTCTAACCTTGACAGAAAATAAATAAATAAATAAATAAATAAATAAATAAGATAAAAGAGCACATTTTATTGAGTATAACAGTAGTCAAACACCTGACTTCACTGAACCACACAAATTTTCATTAGTTACCGAAGTATTTACGGAAAACCCAAACGATTCTCTCAGGCACGTTTCCTCAGGTTACAGTTAGATAGATCACAGACATAATCTTCTGTGTGACCAAGAATACACGCTGTATTATTAAATTACTGTTAAACCACAGAGATGATTTCATGGAAACCCCAGCGTGAGAGTTCAGGTGCACACGCACTGATCAACATCCGATCCCTGAGAAGAGACGTTGCATCAGCTTTACTGAACACGACGCTTCAGTGTTTTCTTTGTTCATAAAGGAGCATTTATTATATTATATCTCTTAACTTGAATGGAGATTAAACTTAGATCTTGTAATGTAACATTTAAGATGTCGTCAGTTATGATGAATGTATGCTGAGACAGATCCTCCCTTCAATTTCAGACGTCTTTCAAATCAGAGGAACTTTTCATAATTTACAGAATGGAGGGCTTTATATTAAATACAGTTATATTCAAAAGTGTAGGCACCCCTGATCAAATGACATGTTTAGTTGATTTTATTTGTGAAAATAATTTACACATGCTCTGCAGAAAACACACTTCTGCACATTTTAATACACAATTACTGCTTAATTTAGCAACCAAAAAAAATAAATCAAGAGTAATAGCACATTTTATATTTTATGTTTTTTTCTAATATGTTAAATTCAGCAAATAAATAGAAATTGTGTACCAAAATTAGCAGAAAATATCATATTTAAGTGTGTTCTCTGTAGAGGATGTGTAACTTATTTTCACTTATAAAATCAACAAAACATTCCATTTCACCAGAAGTGTTTTTCAGACTTCAAGGCCGGGAAGTATTTCCTCTTCTGTTTGCTTCTTGAATGTTAACTACTTCCAGAGCACCAGCATTCATTTAACCATATTTACAAAGGCCTTATTCCCTAAAATCTGCTTGTTTTTGCATAATTGAGAATTTTACAGGGTAGAATATTCATAGTGAAACATGAAATCTATGTTTTGCACTGTAAAAGTGATTGTTTAAAGACAAAAAAAAACCTTATTGACTAATTTACATTTCATTTAACTTACAGTTAACTTCAACTCAAATAAACCCAATTATAAGGCAGCCAGATTGCTTACTATGAGTTATAATAGCAAGTTTTTATTTAAAGTATGGACACAGCTATTACTTCCAATGTTGTGCATTACCTTTATAGATTTCCACAGGTAATGTTTAGAAACATTATGCACAATTATACATTACTTTTCAAAAGATTGGAATCACATAGTACTGTAATATTTTTTTCAGTAATATTCTTTACAGTGAAGATTTAAATCATATGAATCTGACACCCCAGTGTATTTTAGTTGTTCGAATTTAAAATTTTGAACTGATAAATAATACTCTACTTCTCTATGGTAAGCCCTCACCTCACTATGAAGTTTCAATATTTACTCATCACTTTGCAAATAACAGATGTTAATTTTCTTATCATATCATTCTCAAATTTCTTCTTTTTTACAGCTTCCTACAAACTTTTTGAAACCTAGGATGTGTCGTTGCATACATTGCATAGCACTAGCATGATATTAGAATCAGTTGATATTTGTGTCTGCAACAAAATTAGCTTTATATTCTTGAATTTTTAATACATATTAAATATTAATTTCAAACCTTGCAGCAGTAGTGTATGTTACAGAGTATCACTCACAAAACAGAAAACAACATCTCAACTAAAATCAAATTAAAGGAAATGTCTATCTTTCTGTGTTGGTCACACACATCTGAACCCTGTGAATTCATGAGAACTAATAAAGGTAAATCAAATTATTAACAAATATGAATGTTTAATTGAAGAACTGATGAACGCATTTACACATTAGCTTTACACATATCCACATGAAGTATAAAGTTAAAGTTTAGAAAGTTTAGTAAGTTTCTAATAAGACCACACACATACACACACACCCACACACACACATAGTCGTGTGCAAAAATGTTGGTGCCTGCTTGTCAAATTACATGCTTTGTTGATGTGTTTGTTGACATAAAAATAAGCTAACACATCCTCTACAGACAACACACTTCTGCACATTTTGGGAAAAAGGTAAAACATAAAATGTGTCCTGTGCAAACATTATAGCACATTTTATATGTTTTATAGATTTTTTCAATATGTTAAACTCAGAATCTCTAAATAAATAGAACAGTGCACTAAAATTTGCAATAAAAAGCCATATTTTAGTGTGTTCTCTGTAGAAGATGTGTTTTTTATTCATAGAAAATTAACAAAACATGCCCTTTGACCAGAGATGTTTAAACTTCTGGATATGACTGTATGACTTTGAGGCCCATTTCCTTTTGCTTTATGATTGCTTTTTTTCTTTTTCATGTAAAATCATTTTCTGCTGTTATTTGAGGAGATTGCACTGAATGTTAACTACATCCAGAGCTTCAGCACTCATAACCATGCTCAATATGACCTTATTCTTTTTTGCCTATATGAGAATTTTACAGCTTAGCTGTAAAAAAAAGTACTTGAAAATCTTAAAATTTAGATTGTGACAGAGTGACAGAATGCAATTATTGTTCTGTTAAATTCTGTTAAAGTTCAAAAAACTCAAATACACTCAATTGCAAGCCAGCCAGGTCACTTACAGCTTTAATGTGTATTAGAATTAGCAGAAAAATGTCATAAGTGTGTTCTCTGTAGAGGATGTGTAGATCAACAAAACATGATCTTTCTTGAGGTGTTCACACTTTTGCATATCATAGTATATAGGTATGTCCACTTATACACACACACATATATATATAATAGACAAGGTAGGTCAGCTGTTTTCTGCTCATTATATAGCAAGTATGTTTCTTCAGTTATGTATCATTGTTGTTCATTGTTCTTTATGGAGCTAAATTCTATAGAGTTACCAGATTTTGAATTAGAATTAGACCAGATCTAACCTCATTACAATAGCGCAGAACGAAACTTTACCATGAGGCCAGCCTGCTTTTTGGTTTTACCATAGTAATTCTGGCTATACTGCAGGGTAAGGTATGCGTACTGTATGTGAGTAGGACGACTGGGCCACAAATAAGTTCTAAAAAGCTGCTGTTGAAGTCATACAGTCAAATAAACATTGGTCTTTTTACTGAGCATTAGAACCTAATTAACATCCTCCACTTAGTTGTGAATTAGTCATAAAACTGGCAGTAATTTCTGTTATTTTTAGAATATTAGTGCATGCTGAAGGTGAAGGAAAGTCATGCAGAGATGTGTGTGTGTGTGTGTTATGTGCCGCTTGCTGTCTGTAACCACTGCAGCCACAAATAAGATCAGAGAGCATCAGTCACTCTGCAGCAGCTAACAGCTAATCAGCTCATCAGCTCTGCAAACTGTGCTGAAGCTGCTCTGTTTGTTTTTACGGTAAACACCTTCAGCTGCACTGCATGCAGACCTTCACCACACTTTCCTACCACAGAACTTTCCAACAGAAACATAATTAAAGCATTAAACTGCACTCATAATTAATAGAATAGAGATAGAAGCAAAGTACAGTATTCATTAATGAGACAGCAGACAGATAAGTCTACTAAAGATATTGATTAATCTGGGGGAAATTTAATACATGATGAGTTTGTTTATACATGTATGTACTTACTTACATATTTATTTTTTATATACATATTTTTTGTATTTAAAGGGATTTTTGTGCTCCATAAAACATAAAAAGTAAGTTGCTGCAGGTGTGAAAAGTATTGCCCTTACACTGCAAGAAAAATAAGACAGGCCTGGTAAAAAAGTATGTTTTATTCCAATAAGTTGAGTCCAAATAAACAAATCTGAACCAAGCAGAGGTTAACGCTATAAACCTACATCTTTTGAAGACCTAAACAAAGACCCCTTACCTGTGTAGACTCTACTGTACTTAATAAGACAAACTGCCTCCCCTGTGTAGATTCTACCATACTTAATGAGACAAATTGCCCCACCTGTGTAGATTCTGCTGTACTTAATGAGACAAATTGCCTCACCTGTTTAAATTCTACTATACTTAATAAGTAATCAAATTTTTTTTTTCCATTTATTCATTTATTTATTTATTTATTTATTTATTTATTTAGTGGTGTCATTTTTGTATTTTTTTTTAAAGGGAAAGAACAAAGCCTTAGGTTTTACTTATTCATTTATTCCAAGTACAAATACTGTCTCATAGATCAGTGTAAGGTACACAATATACAGAATAATAATAAAAAGTCAAGTAGAAAAGGCCTTTAACGTACACTACCATTCAAAAGTTTGAAATTAGTCTTCTAAAGTTTTCACTGACTGATCTCTATTGTAGGTACTTGTTTAAAAATATTCTAATGTGATATGATTGATAGCAATGTGTAGAAACAAAATTTACAAAATAAAAAAAACAAAAATTAAGACAGTTTAGAGTTGTACAGCATGATGAACAGCGCTGTCGAAAAGCTGTATTATATTGAGAATGAAATTACCATAACATCAGCATCAAGAATGCCTCATATGTCAAAAGAGGTGATTAAATCTTGATGCACAACAGCTGACAAAAAAGTGTTGTTTTTAATAAGTATCACTGACTCCTTACCTCGTATTATTATTATTGTAAAAGCTCCCCTCAAATTAACAGAAAATGTGTTTTATGATCATACACATATTGCTATATGCTTACAATTTACTGCTGAAAGCCAAAAATCTTTGGCGCTGTTTGTATTATTTTATAAAAATAGTTTTTACAGAGCAGATCACTGAAGAGACGTCATCTGTTTATAGTTTATAGCCCAGATTTGTGGAAAAATTGAGTTCAGCTTCTTCTATTATAAGGGTTTAAAATTACATCACCCATCTATTTGACTGGAAAGAAAACAGTTACAGCTCTCATATGACACCCACTTTTTGAATGTAGCTTATGAAATATGAAAGTTATGAAGAATATGACAAAGTACGTTTTGGAACCACCGGTGGTTAAAGCAACTGTGAAAGGTGATAAATGAGATTTTTAAATGTAACATATAAAATGACTAATACAGGAAGAGAAAATCTTCACTAGTTTGTCATGATATACTTTATATTAAATGTAAGAGAAACTTAAAAAAAACTGTAATCCAAAATAAACAGTCTTAGCTCTGGCTAATCAACTCTGGAAAACTTAGACAAAAATATCCCAATAAAGACAAGAAAATATATTCAGTATAGTCATATGCAAAAGTTTGAGCACCCCTGATCAAATGACACGTTTTGTTGATTTTCTAAGTAAGAATAAGTTACACAGCCTCTACAGAACATATTGAGATATGGCATTGTTATGCATATTTAAGTGCATAATTTCTATTCATTTGCTGAGTTTAACATATTTTGAAAAATAAAACATAAATGTGCAGTAACTTTTGCACAGGCCACATTTTATGTTTTATTTTTTTCCAGTAGGTTAAATCCAGCAAATAAACAGTGATTGTGCATTAAAATGTGCAGAAGTGTGTTCTCTGTAGATGATGTGTAACTTATTTCACTTAGAAAATCCACCCAACATGTCATTTAGCCAGGGATGCCCAAACCTTTGCATACATCCGTATAGCTCTCTTTTATGAAGCTCTTGGTTTGTTCACTTGTCCTGGTTGGCTGACAGTCTCGCTGTTTCCGGCTCTCTTCTTGTACAGTATGACACACACAGCGAAGAAGTACAGCACGTTCTTACCAAGCAGTGTCAGATACGTAAGACTGAACAGGTACGTTCTGTGCACCAGCGCCTCTGAACCTGCAGAGAAGAGGAACACAGGACTTCAGTTCATTTTCAAACAATGCAAATGCAGTTAAAATAGTGTTTAGGAACTACACTGCAAGAATTAAAGCTGCAGTGTGTAAGATTTAGTGGCATCTAGTGGTGAGGTTGCAGATTGCAGCCAACTGAATACCCCTCCCTCACCCCTCCCTTTCCAAGTGCAGAAGAACCTATGGTGGCCATCATATTTTCACTTCTTTCTCAATGAGGATTCACCCTCCCTTGCATTTTCTTGTGCTAAATAATAAGTATGATTCTCCACATGTGCAGTTTTAAAATGGTGGCCAAGGTGTCCAGCGCTGATGCTAAAATCTGATTGGTCACCCCAAATGCCACCCTAAAATTTCTGCCATGTGATTGGCTTTCACCTTGCTTTTTGCTATCAGTGGAAGAACTCTCTGCAAAACACAATGATTTGTAGTTACAGGTGATTATACACTAATGAAAACATGGTTTTGTACACTTTATTCCATTTCTACTAGTATATCCCTCTAAATCTTACACACTGCACCCTTAACAGTATATAAATTAACACTGAGGCGAACACTGAAATAATATTTCACTCATTATAAACATGCCAGAAATGTAAATCATTACATTAGCTGTCAGTTTTTTTCTTTTTACCATCATTTTCCTCTTGTTCATGTTCTTCATTTTCATCTTCTTGGTCTTGCTGTTTGTTTTGTGAGGGTGCGCAGGTTGGGGCAGGGCCAGGACTTGGTTCAACATCATCTTTTTTCTCTTCATCTAAGAAATATTAAAACAGCAGTGTCATTTTTGCATACAAGATGGTTCTTCACAAGTTCTTTAGTAAAGGCAATGGTTTTATTTAGAACCATGAGTTCTATGTAGAACTATTTGCATATTTATGTGGTTCTTTGCATGGTGAAATGGTTCTTCAGATTGATGGAGAATGTGTAATATATGGTTTTCTATAGCACCGAAAAAGCTTGACGTCGTAACAATAGCAGAACCATTTTTGGTCCTACATAGAACCATTTTCAAAAAGGTTCTTTAAAAAACACAATCTTCATCAGTCTGAAGCACCATTTCATCATGCAAAGAAACGTTTAAGTGTGCAAATGGTTCTATATAGAACTCATGGTTCCAAATAGAACCACTGCCTTTACTAAAGAACCATCATTTTAAGTGTTATGAACTTCTTTCTCAAGCTTGGAATGCTTGAATAACCTAAATAACTGGATTACAGTCTGGCTAAAGTTATACAGTTACTAATTAATAGGAAGTTACAGAACTTGCAAACAAGTCCAAGAGAAAATAATATGACAAACTATTTGTCTTAACAGGAATCAGTAAAAACTAATAGTACAGTACAGTGTTGGTAACACTTTATTGTAAGGTCTGCTTCTTAACAGCTTATTAACTATTAGCAAAGACTTTATGAATGCCGTAATAAATAGGAACATATGTGTAAAAAGCTTAGAAATGTGGTCTAAATGTATTTATATAATGCGTTACTGAGAGCATCTCAAAAATAGTTTCTCAAGTGTTTGTTGACTAAGGAGTTAATTAATTGTAATCTTTTGGTTGCAAGCATAGTTGAAATGACGTTAATGAACAGGAATGTTCAGGTTTCATACATTGCAGATGCCTGAACACTGTAAATGTAACAGTAACCTATGATACACTTTATGACAACATTGTTTTCTTAAATTGCGGTATGTCATTGTATTTCCCCATAAATACAGTCTAGGCACTAATGTCTATTCTTAACAGTTTACAACATGGAGATCTTATTTGTTAGCACTTATTAAGGCAGTGGTTATTAAGATTGAATACGTTTTACCTTAGTTGCAGTCTTGCAGATTAATTAATGAACATGTTTTAAATATATCTAGGTCTTTGGAAGCTGTTATGTTACAGGAAACACATTACAGGAAACTGTAATGTGACCAATTACTAACATTTACTTGTTGGTTTGGTCATCATGAATTCAGATTTGTTCAATTATTACCTGTTCATATATCTTATTTAACATATCACATATATTTAAAGATATTTCAAGTATACTTGCAAATATTACCATTAATTAACATCTAACATATTCATCAACACAGTTAACAACTATTTTACAGAAGACCTTATTAATACATTATTTAAACACATAACAAATCTCTAAGCCTGCTTACAAATGACATTGTTCTATTTACTAGGCCTTTATTAATTGCTTGCTAATAACTTAGTAATTGTTAAGGAGCAGACTTTAAAATGAAACAGAATGAAAATATAAAAAACAGTAGTTCGGCACAGTACTGTAAGTACTAGTAATCTTTCACTGCCTTTCATAAATATTGGCACCCTTTTTTTCTTTTAATTTTACCTCACCGAAAGGTTTGATTTTACTCATACTTAATGTTTTGCCCATATTTAGCAGGGGTGCAAACAATTCTGAAGAGCATAGCGTACTGTAATCTGCTAACAGGGTTGGACTGATTGAATATATTAAGATATATGTGTTGTTTCTGTGACAGTAGTTACAAATCCAATGTAATGAAACACGTCATTTACCGGAGCTACTCGTTGAGATGACGATATCCTTCTCATGTTCGTGTTGGACAAAGCAGGTATAAGTTTTAGAACTTGCTTTCTGTGGGTCTATGATGAGCATGCTGGTCACTCTGACCTCCTGACCCTCGTCTTTCTGCTCCAGCAGGTCATAGGTGTCTGACTGCTTCACCTCTGTGCCACTTTCATCCTTCCAGGTGAACTTCACCTGATCTGGAAACATGCCTCTGGCCTGACAGAGCAGTGTGCGCTTCCCATTGTTTGGTCTAGAGATGGGGTACGCTGACAGCTTAGGTGGCTGTACTAGAGAATCTGTCTCAACACAGAATGTTGCAAAAACTGAGTGATCAACAACTGGTTTCTGGCCTGCTGAAATGTTAAGTTCCCCAGTCACTTCTTTAGATAATGTACCCTATACAGAGAAGTTCCCTAATCACTACATTAGATAATTTACCCTATACAGAGAAGTTCCCTAATCACTACCTTAGATAATGTACCCTATACAGAGAAGTTCCCTAATCACTACTTTAGATAATTCACTCTATACAGAGAAGTTCCCTAATCACTACTTTAGACAATGTACCCTATACAGAGAAGTTCCCTAATCACTACTTTAGATAATTCACTCTATACAGAGAAGTACCCTAATCAGTACTTTAGATAATTCACTCTATACAGAGAAGTTCCCTAATCACTACATTAGATAATGTACCCTATACAGAGAAGTTCCCTAATCACTACATTAGATAATGTACCCTATACAGAGAAGTTCCCTAATCGACTTCTTTAGCTAATTCACTCTATACAGAGAAGTTCCCTAATCAGTACTTTAGATAATTCACTCTATACAGAGAAGTTCCCTAATCACTACTTTAGATAATGTACCCTATACAGAGAAGTTCCCTAATCACTACTTTAGATAAGTCACTCTATACAGAGAAGTTCCCTAATTGCTTCTTTAGCTAATTCACTCTACACAGAGAAGTTCCCTAACCAGTACTTTAGCTAATTCACTCTATACAGAGAAGTTCCCTAATCACTACTTTAGCTAATTCACTCTATACAGAGAAGTTCCCTAATCAGTACTTTAGATAATTCACTCTATACAGAGAAGTTCCCTAATCACTACTTTAGATAATTCACTCTATACAGAGAAGTTCCCTAATCACTACTTTAGATAATTCACTCTATACAGAGAAGTTCCCTAATCACTACTTTAGATAATTCACTCTATACAGAGAACATGGTCCTAATCACTTCTAATTGGACTCAAAATGTTGTGGCTCCCAACGTGGTTTGATTTTTATTGAAAGGACAAAATGACTTTTATTAACATTTGGGTTACTGCACTAGCTTTTAATGCAGTGTGCCGCCACAGACTGTCCGGGCGTTGCACTTCCGCACTTTGCAAAGTTCCGCCTTTTGCGTTCCGTCAACATTGCGTTATCAATTAAAATTTAGAAAATCGATTTTTGACATTTGTGAATCAATTCAGAATTATCCACGTCCATATTGCAATGCATCTAAGAATCGATTTTTCCCCCCACCCCTATTAGATACTTTTGCACAAATTATTAGTATTATTGTTATTTTCTATATTTGTTCTTATTGTTGGTATTATAGATGATACTGACAACAATTTTTGTTACTTAACTCCATATGAAAAAAAAAAATTCCAGGTTGTTGAATGTTTAGGCTCAAATTTGCACACCAAGGAGGAAATTAATGAACAACAAAATTGTCAATGCAATTTGCAAACTTTACAATCAGATTGAACCTTATGTCTCTGTGAAAAAATAAGGTCCAATATGATTTCCAAAAACATGATATGCTCTGAAATATAGAAAGAGAAGACAACAGAGAAATAGATAGAGGAGTTAGATAATAAAGGAGTTAGTAAAACAAAGTACAGATTTTTACAAATCATAGAGAAACAGAAGTAATGTATTTTATTATGTCCCACTTCTGGGGAACTGTGAGTGTGTCAGGATGCTACAACTGAGGTCCCCAGTTCAGCCTTGTGTTTTAATCAATTTTTTCAAAAAAAATTTACATTTTAAACATTTCAGGTATATACTTTATTTAAATTTTGAAATAAAATCCTGTTTGATCATATAAAAATATAATTTACCATTCTGCTCGCAGAATGAAAACATTTACTAACAGACTGAAGCAATGACTATTACTAACAGACTCGGCTGATTAATAAAATAAAAAGTATATATACTACCATTACCGTGGATTTGTAATCACTTGTTATTAATATATTAGTTAAACATATTAATTCATAATAATCTGTTATTTTATATACAACAACTTTAAATCTTGTAAACTACACAGTGAAAGTATTTTAGACATTGTATTCACTATTTCACTACTATATATTATAAAGCAGACACCGTAATTCTCTATGTACAGTAACATTTCATGGAATTTTCTACAAGTTTCACCACTTTTCGCACAGGTGGCCCTCTGGTAGTTACATTTATTATAAATTAACTTCATTATTGATATGATACAGCCTCCTGCTAATTTTTTGAAAGTTGTGAAATACAAACTAGTATACTGAATTCATTTTATATGTTGAATCTTGGTTTTACGTAATTAAAACAGTGCCATTTCATGCAACAGTTTGTGCATTCTTTTCTTTATTAATTTAATTTATAAATACTAGGCCTGTAAATTTTTCCTTCATTTGATAGCACTTTAATAAGTCAAGTAAAGACTATTGCAACAATAAAACTTCCAATCTCCTGTGCTTACTTCGAGTTCAAGCTCAGATGGAAATTCTAAGGTAAAGAACGTTACACTGAAGTGAACTCAATTTATATATATAAATGAAATCATGTATAAATATGTACTTGTAAGCCACCTTCAGCATAGTTTTACACAAAGCTTTGTTTGGAAAACTTACACAATTTTTTTCAGTCCTTTGCAATCATTCATGGGGTTTGTTTTGTTTTGCTGACTTGCTTAGTTTAACTTCTATTACATTTTTGCTTGTTTTTTTCCTTGTTTTCTTTCTAACTTTTTAAAAATTATTTTCCACTTCTTAGAGGACTGCATAAGTATTCCCATATCCAGTTTTAGAAGAAGCCTTCAGATGAATTCGTGTTTTTTGTTATTTTACAATGTAATGAAGTCATTCAGAGTAACAGTTGAACTGGAATAGTCTTTACTTTCATCATTACAAATAAGTATATACACATACAGTCGTATGCAAAAGTGACATCCCTGATCAAATTACATCTTTTGTTGTTTTTCTAAGTGACAATAACACTGTGAACATAACGCATTCTCTACAGAGAACACACTTAAATATGGCATCTTTCTGCACATTTTAGTGCACAAATTCTATTTATTTGTTGAATTTAACATACTGCAAAACATATTATATAAAATGTGCCATAACTTTTGCAAAGGCCACGTTTTATGCTTTATTTTCTCACAGTATATTAACTTCAGCAAATAAACACTAGTTATGCATTAAAAGTGTGTTCTCTGTAGAGGATGTGTAACTTATTTTCACTGAGAAAATCAACCAAACATGTCATTCGACCAGGGGCGCCCAAACCTTCGCATTTGACTGTAAACAGTTGTTTTGCTCTACTGCAAAAGTGCAATAACGTCATATTTGTTTCTTTGCCATGTTGAGAATGGACTATACATTTAGAAGTAAACTGATACTAGTTCTGATCCAGAGCTGATTCTGAAAACTATTTTAGTATTAAGTCAGAAAACATACATTTGATCAGTTTTGCAGGAACACTTTGCACATAAATCATGTTCATAATTAGTTGAGTTATACTTTGAAATAGTTTGATATATTTATATAGCAATATCAGCCGTTACACTTGTTCCACCCATATTCTGTAAGAAACACTTTTGGTCAAAATACTAATCCTGCAAATGAAATAAATACAGCCTCATCCAAAGTGACTGAAAGATTCCAGCTTTAGATTTAGAGTCAGGTGCAATTTTTTTTTACTCTCAAGTTCTCATGGTCTCTCATTCACATGAATAAACAGTATAAATAATGCCATTTTCTTACCTGAGACATAAAGTCTTGTCCCTGATCCGAAGACTTTCTCATTGCCACAGTGTGACATTCAAGAACAAAAAGTGCTGAATTGATTTTCAGTCGTCTTCGGGTCCCGTCATGTTCAGTGAGTATATTCATTGAGACTTCTTTTCTTATTAATTTTTTTAGAAAGCAAGAATCAAAATGGATTTAAATTTCAGGTTGATTTGAAACAAGTGTGTCTTAACAGAAGACTAAGAGTAGTCAAAAACCAAACACATTCCTGTTAAAATAAATATTAATCTGACCACTAGGTGTTGCCATACAAGCCCTTAATCTGTGCACAAAGTGTATACTCTTCTTCTTCATTGTTTTTTTCATCTGTTTATTGCACCAGGAATGGATCAGAATGTTTTTATGGTGGTACAAATAGAAATTGTTCTGGGACAACCCCCACCTGGTACAATGAAACATCATTTGTCTGATTAGGGATTACCAGTCATTCTGCTTTACCCCTTTTTATGCACACTATAATTAAATTAAAGCTCTGAATAATCAAAAAACCTGCTTATGAGTCACTGGTTGGAGTGCAGAACCTGCCCCAGGATTACTAGCATCAATTTCAGGCTTATCAAAGCCATGAGCAGAGAATACTGGGGAACTACTCAGCAATAACAATGCAATGACTGCCAAGCAAACGACTAAACAAAGACCCCGTTTACACTTCGTGTGTCTTGAGTATCAGGATATATATGGATAAGGCCAAACCACATAAAAATGCAAGTGTAGACGCATCCAAGATGCATTTAAAACTGATACAAATCCAAACGCCACATTATAGCAGTGTAAACGTATACGTCTCTCCAAGACATATTCAACAAAAAAAAACCTCCTAGTACAACCAAAAATCCTCCCGGTACAACTGAGACTCCTCCACATGGAGCATGTCACTGGGCACGTGATCCGTGTCTACCAGGAAGATAAACACGGAAGACACACATAGTTGGGGACCAGACACAACAAAATGCTTAATAGCAATATAGACAGACACTACTGTGCAAAACGAGCACGAAGAGGCTAAACAGAAAAATAACTGGTAATTGGTTGCCATGTCACCATGAGTGGATTTGAATATTCCATCCCGACAAAGCAACTGAATTTCAGTCTGACTAACGTGAGACGCATTTGACTACCAAGTGTAAGTGGCTAAAATTGTACTAGGATACAATCCAGACACTAGTCACGTGAAGTGACCAGGTGCAAACAGGGTCAAAGACAGCATCCTTCCACAACCGAAATGTTCTAAAAGGTGTAGGTGTCGATCCCAAATATCTGAATTAATCACCCCATCACTCAGGTAAGCAAGAGTTAAGGGCATCTCCAGATGAATGGTTCAAGAGACTTTGGAACATCCCTCCATCCAGCCATCATTGTATGAATCTGTCTGTAATAAGTACAGAACAGAAAAGTTACCATCAGGTTTTTGGGATGAGTACAGTGGGGAACATCATGGGCTGGGTGCTACAAGACAATCATTGTCTGAATACTCTGTTTCCTGTTGAAGTACAGGGCACTTCTGAAAATTGTTGCATTGTGCTGTTGCATAAAAGTATGATTGCCTACATTGATATGTTATTGGATCAGAAAGGTATGAGATGCAGGGGTGGAAATGGGCCTTCTGGTCTGGTGGGAAAAATAAAACAGCATTTTAACTCAGATATTTTTTATAGGGGAACCATGTATAGTTGTTTTTGTCTGTTCTAAAATGTGTGCATGAGGCAAAGTGTGAAAATGCACCTCAGGTTGAGCTTGGAAAATCTTATCTTATTGAAAATGGTTCTATATAGCACCAAAACAGGATCTTCTATTTTCTATTGCCTTTTTGGTGTTATATTTGGTGCCATTTTCTTTACTAAAGAACCATTAAAGAACCATCCTTTTTAAGAGTGCTTACATTTTTAAATACATATTGCTGAGACCACAGTTGTGTTGTAGTGGTTTCATTCTTTATACTGTAGTGTTCCGCTATTGACCACATATGGCTATTGACCGCACATGGTGAAAGGCTTGGGTAGCGTGGCCACTCAGAGGCTCATGGGAGTTGCACGTCCCCCATAAAAAGGGACATTAATGTCATTTATGTTGTTGTCCGTCAGTTAAAGCATGTGGTATGTGCTTCTTGTGTCATTTGTGTTGAGCAGTGGGGTTAGTTAGGGTGAGTTTGCATCTACCATAGAGTGAAGAGCTATGGCTGGTAGTGACCTTGCCTTGAGCAGCTGTGTTTATGCACTTTGCTGCTTGGTGTTTTAATAAAAGATCACTACTGGTTGCAGAATCATGACCTGTCCTATGTCTTACTCTGCACCAATGTCACAATACTTTTACATGCACCCATTTTCAAATCCTTGTTCTGTGGGTTCAAAAGAACAAAAAGCATTATGAATCATTGATCTTGGGTCAGCAAACATTTTCTCACATGTAACTGCTTGGTTTTTTATTAAAGTTTAATATTATTTGAGTTTTTGTGCAGGATGTGAAGAATTACTGGCACTGTGGGCCATCCCAGCAGGCGCAGTAATAAACTGCAGAATGGCTCTCTTTCAGTGTGACCACCATCAGATTGTAAGCATTAGACTTCTTATCCACCTTCACAGTGAAGTCTTTTGCCTGGGGATGGTTGGAGTCATGCGTGAGGTCAATGCCATCTTCCTTAATGTAGAGAATTCTAGTAAGAGCTTCACCGTCTTTCTGCTGGGATGTAGTGGGTCAGTGGATGTAACTGCCCCTGGACAGACCAGTCATTTTGCAGCTGGTAAAGGCTCTTTTACCCACTGGCTTTGCCATCGAGAGCTCGGTTTGCTCCACTGTCCGTCCCAGTGCAGCCACTGTGATCAGTGTTAAAACGGAAATTAGTCATGGTGGATTATTTGCTATGCATTTTCAATACATTGAAAGAGAATTTGGTAAGAGAATGACAACAGTTGTGCTTATATGTTTAAGAAAGGTAATATATACGTTTAATGAAGCGCTCTCTTATACCCCTGCTGCGTGAACTGCAGTCTTATCACTGTCTCTAGCCTATAACATCCTGATGTCATTTCCTGAAGTGAAAGTCTTTACACTCAGTGCTTTTTGCATGTGGTATATGTGCTACATCTCACTGTGGTAACCAGTCCAGCAGGCGCAGTAATAAGTTGCTGAATGCTCTGGCTTTAAATCAGGGATTTTCAAAACAAAAGTGCGGATTCCTTTCCTTGCGGATTTCAGGTACTCAAAAACAGGGTTGTTTCTGGTAGTTCCATCGTTGATGTCCACATACTGGACCCTCTTAAGTTCATCCTCCTTCTTCTGGTACCAGTGGACATAATTGAGACAGTTTGCCGAGAACCTGCATTCTATGATGGCTAGCTTAGCTGCAGCTTTGGTCATTAAGACCTTCTGCTCGAGCTTCTCGGCACTGTGTACTGATGGAAAGAGAAAACTCTGAGTGAAGCAAAGCACATTAAATAACACATGTAGCATCACTGAACAGGTAACAGACGTATGCAAAAGATGAATTACTAAACTTTGTTGATTTTCTAAGTGAAAATGAGTTAAGACATTAACACAGTTTAACATGACAATGAAACATAAAATATGAAATGTTCCATAACTTTTGCCCCAGCCCATCTTCCTTTTTTCCATTTGGTAAAATTCAGCAAATAAACAGTAATTGTGTATTAAAATGTGCAGAAGTGTGTTCTCTGCAGAGGATGAGTCACTTATTTCCATTCAGAAATTCAACAAGACATGTCATTTGATCAAGGGCAACCAAACCTTTGTGTATCAAAGGGTAGTTGTTCTACCTAATGATAAATCACAGCATCCATACTCAGCACAATATCAAAGCATAGTGCAAAGACAAAGCCATACCTGTGGTAATGACTGTAATAACCAGCAAAGATGATGAGATGGGTAGAAGAAGCATTGTTGTGGGAACACTGTGACGCTGTGCTCATCAGAGGAAACACACAGCAATATTTACAGACAAGCAAGGGAGAGGAAACAGCACAGGAAAGCTGACCAGTCCTCACTGGAAGATGTTCATCTACAAAGCATATCGCTGCTGTCGGAACAAAACCTTGTATCTCCATTTTTGCCGTTTTTCGGTTTTTGGCATAATTTGAAAATGCCTGCTGTCCTTTACATTGTGTGTAAATTTCATGATAAAGGGACCAAAAGAAATGGCCTTGGAAAAGTAAAGTAAAGTAAACCTGTAAAGTTACCATTTTGGAGATTTGAGGTTTTGTTCCGACAACAGCGATATGCAGTACGTTAAACATGCAATCAATGCATGACTGTTTCAAAGTTTGGAACACTGCTCGAAAGTCTGAATCACTGTTTCCAATAATATAAAAACAATTTGGTGGCATGTACATGTATAAAATGATTCTATTACGATGCTACTACTCAGTAGGGTTCAACTCATTTGTAGAAACCTGTAATGAAGAAAAGGTAGATGTGTCCAGAATGATAAATAGAGCTGTAAAGGGTTCCATAATAACTGAGAAAGCTGGAGAACACAAGGAATAAAGTTATAATAAAGTGAACATCCAGAATTCCTCTTATTTGAAACGTGATGAAATCTGGAGGCTGATGCCCTGACAAGAGTGACTGTACATAAATAGATATAGAAATACAGTGGGGTCCAAAAGGCTGAGACCACCAGTGAGAATGCTTTTATTTTGCATTCTCCTCTCATTTAATACAAAGCTTTTCACTATGAATTAGATTATCTCAGTGGAACTCTCCTTTACATGTGCTGTAGCTGGCTGTGCATCTACCATCAGCTGCCAAAAGGCAGTATTAGAAATAGTAGCTGTCCTTCAGTTATGACGTTAATATTCCTGCCTTTGTTGGCTTTCTGCTAGGAATGTATTGCAGTTGACTCTATTGGAATCAGTGAACAATGTAGTGCTGGGTTTGCACATAAATTGCTTTTGACTAAGAGCATGATCTACAATTTGTGACACTACTGCCATACAAAAGGCATGTAAATGACTTGTTAGCTAAATAAAGCCAAGGTTACTGTGAGGATTCATAGTACTTGCATGTATTTCAGACCTTTATTTGAGTTTGTGTTATTAATCCTCATAATTTCCTTTGTTAATGGGCAACGTCAGTTTCGCTGGTAGTAATGCAGAGGGGGTGTGGTGGAGCGACGGCTGGAGTGGGTAATGAGTAATAATCTGCACCTGTGTGCTGTTAACGGCAGCTTTACTTATGTGTGTTTCTCTCAGCAGTCTGTGGGAGACTACAGAGACAGAACAGTGCAGAGCCACAAAGAAAGCTGATCATTAATTTATTTATTTTTCACAAAGTGGAGACAAGAAAATAAATAGCAACCAAAATCTTAGGACCAAAAAAGAAACATACGAAACATATGAACATATGAAAAAAAAACAAAACAAAATGGATTTAAAAATTATAATGTAAATAGAGAGAGGTGAGAAAAGGTGAATAACCCTCTGGGGTTTGAGGGCATTTTCTCGATTTTTGCATATTTTCTTAAATTCACATGATACTCACGTGTTTCATGTCAATATGCTCAATTTGAATTGTATTTCTGTGCTGTATTGTCTCAGAGATAGAGAAACATATATATAGAAACTTATTATAGAACATACATAGAAACATCAAATTTAATGCACAGACGAGATCCCCAGAGAGTTGGTAGTGAGGGAGGGTTTTTTAAAGGGAAACAAGACTATTACAGCTTTTTATACGTGATGCTAAGCCTTTCCAGATTAATAGTCTTTGATGTGACTTTATAATGATGTTCATTTCATTCACACAGTATCAGAAAGCTTTAATATAATGGATGAGCAGGAGTGGAAAATAAAGTAATTGTATTTTGTAATTTGTATCTATAATGAAAGGTCCATTAGCTGATTTCAATTATTTTATTATTAGTACAAAAATCTGGAAAATGTGCAAAGCATGACAAAAAAATAAGAAATTTATTCGCAAAGTTGGGCAAAATACACTACAAAAGTAGTGATGGCTGAACTTGGAGTACGTACACTGTTCTAAATTTGTTTTGTACTGTATTCTGTTACAATACATTAAAAAGATATTAAAAAGATATTCAGAACATATTCAGAATACATTTAGAACACATCTACTGGGGAGATTCCAAAGATCTCAGCTGAGGGACGGGCATGCTGAGGTAAATACCTGATCACATCACCTTGATTTATCAGTCTACTCAGACTTTTGCAGGAACTTCATGCTACATATTACATGCCATCAGCAGATTTTAAAATAGTTAGCCTCATAACGTTACAAGTTTATTTCATACAAAGGCTTATTATTCAGTAACTACAGGGGCTTTAGTCTAAATGAACTGAGCTATTCTTAGGTTATGGAAGTTTATAATAAAATGTAAAGGGTTAACAAGCAAGCACTGATGATGTTTCTTTTGAAGATTGTATGTACGTTTTTTTGTTTGTTTGTTTGTTTGTTTGTTTTTTCGGTGGGTGCTCCGAAAGTATCCTTTTAAAAATATAAAAAGTAACTGTATTCTGAATACAGCCTTTCCAAAATGTAACTGAATACAGATACTTAGTTTAAATATTATGAACATGCATTCCCAATACTTGTATTTCATTACATCCCAACCCTGTTTATTCATCATATAATGCTTTCATACAAAATCAAAATCAGAATTGGTTTTTAATCTGGATAAACTTTCCATGCTGCCCTGTTCACACTCTTTATGGTGCTAATATAGCAAGATGTTAGCCTTCACCTGTTTAATCCTAAACTTTATTTCTGCACCGAGAACATGTTACAAAGAACATACGAACATATGAAACATTGTTGGCTAAGCAAATCGAGCATTGTGTTTCGCTACACTAAAAAGTACTTTCCTAAATCGGTTCATTGTTCAGTCACTATCCAAAAGCTGTAACCTCTTGCAGGCATCAAATTCATAATGAGGGTGCATTTACAAAAACAGTAAAGCTCATTGGGTGAAACATAAAATGTTTTTTTGTACCGTTTTCAATTTTCAAAATCAAATAGAGCTTATTAATCACTGCTTTCTGTTTTTACTAGCATTTCACGTACTGTCCCAACTTTTTTGGAATTGGGTTTGTACACACACTGTAATATCCAGTACAGACAACCTATCTAATGGAACTATATATTTTTTTCAAAGTAAAATGATATATTTAACTACAACAGGAAAGTGAACAAATTTTAAGTTGGATTGACAAAGCCAGTTAATAATGTTTCAGAAGTTAAAGCAGTTGCAGAACACTGTTAATTGTTTTTGATTATTTTATTTCTTTTATAATTCAAGGTAGTTGTGATGGTGTTTCTACAAAATTGCTGTGGTGCTTCAGCTTGCTGTTAGGCTGTTGCTTGGTGGTTGTTTGGTGGTTGCAAAGGTGTTGCTCGGCTGTGGCAATGGTATCCTAGGTGGTTCACAAGGTTTTATTAGACCATTGCTGTGCAATCCCTGGTGGCTGCTAAGATGTTTCTAGGTGGTTGCTATGGTCCTCCAGGTGGTTACTAATGTGTTGCTAAGATGTTGCTAGGCCATTGCTATCGTTTCCCAGGTAGTTGCATAGGTGTTGACAGGCCGTCGCTATGGTATCCCTAGAGGATGCTAAGATGTTTCTAGGCCGTTGCTATGGTCCTCCATGTGGTTGCTAAAGTGTTGCTGGCCCATGGATATGCTATACCAGGTGGTTGTCAAGATGTTGCAAGAGCATTGCTACAGTGTCCCAAGTGGTTGCTAAAGTGTTGCTAGGCCATTGATATGGCATCTGTTTGCAAGGGTGTTGCTATGGGCCACTGTTATTATCTCTGGTGATGATGGGTGTGTGTGTGTGTGGGGGGGGGGTTGTGTGTGTCTGTTATCAGTGTGTGCTTGTAGGATGAATTTAATACATTTTTGTTTTAACTGTTTTATTACTGTGTATAAGTGTGTGTCTGGGTGTGCAGGTGTGTGTAGTGTGTATTCACTGTGTAACTACTGTTTAATTACTATGCAGTACTGTATGTCTGCATCTGCATGTCTGTGAGGAGAGAGGTTTCCATTGTGACATCATTTCTGGCAGTTAGATGTGATTCTGCCATTAATTTCCTACAAGAAAAAACTCTGTCTTTGGGCGTCCACTGCATGATCACCGCACATTAAGCCACTCAAAAGAGCACAGGTTAACTAGTTGGGTATATTTGTCATTAATATTAGAGTTCTCTGGTCTATTGTAGCCTGTCTGAAAAGTCCTACATTTCCCCAGATGCTGTGCTGTAGCCTAAGCCAGGAGAATAGTGCGTCCCACCATAGAGAGTAAGTAGCGAGAGTAAGGGTGTAGTGCGCAGTGTTCGATTTGAGACGCGCCCCCAGGTTTGTGTACTGCTTCCCCGCCGCTCTTCAGCACGGTGTCGCCCTTCCACAGGGCGCAGTAATAAGTGGCCTCGTCCTCTCTCTGTGCGCTAGAGATAGTTAGAGACACCGTCTGGCCCCGAATCCTCCCGTTTAACCTGCTGGGAATGTCATTCTCGTTGGTGGCCGATGTAGCCCCAGCTGCAAAGTGCATAATGCGGCGGATAGCTTCTCCCGGCCTCTGTCTGTACAGGTGGAGAACAGTGGAGCTGGGGGACACCGAGGAGTCCACGTTGCACTTGATGATTTTGTTTCTCCCGGCCCGCACGGTCTCCAGCCATTTCTCATGGGAAATCTGCGCAGTAATACAACCTAAAAGGAACAAAAAAAGCGCATGAAGTGCGCCCGAGTGAACCACATTCCTAGTAAAACTCTTAACTACGATTAACAAACACAATCTCACCGAAAAACAGAAGCGCAATAAAGCAGGTTGTTGTTATTTGGGACATGGTCAGATTTTTCTTCCAACTTTCTCAAGCCTTTTTTAACGTTATGAGCTGTTCCGCTGTGCTGGAGTTAAATAAACTGAACTGCAGATTTGGGGACAGGTAGAACCGTTAATGAACAGAAACAAGAGTGAGGTTTGAAAAAACAGCTCACTATATCGAATACGCTCACAGAGACGAGCAGTCACTTTCCCACCCGTACTCGGACAAGCCCCGCCCCCTGCGCTACGACTGGCCAGAAATTAATTAACACAAGCAGTCCGCCATTTATTTTATCTTAAAGGACAAAGAGGGAGATTATAAGCGTGTATGGATCCTCTAAAATGCGCCTTTTTATTCATATCTGGTAAAATGTGATTTCCCCCTTATTATCTTCTTACTGTATGTGGCGCAACAACGTGTATTCCAAATAAATAAGATATAAATAAAAGGACCAAGAGTTAGTTGTATGTATTATATACTGAACTATAATGTAACAGTATACTTCATTTAAGTAATCTTTTACATAGACTAAACTTTAGTGTTCTCTATAGAACTGTTGCATAATAACTATAACTGTATATAATAATAAATGCCTGTACAAGCCAACTAAGTTTGGTTTTATATATATATATATATATATATATATATGTATGTATGTATGTATGTATATCACCGAACGTCTATACATGCTTGGCAACAGACCCTCAACTCTGTTTTTGAATTTGAGCCAGTTTGTTGTTCTTGAGCCCTAAACTTTAATCCAGATTGGACTTTGGTCAAAGGCTGACTGGTGTGACCACTGCAGCCTGTGACAATACTGAGAGCCAGCAGGTTACCACAGGCCTATTGGCAAACTGAGGGATTTGCTGAACAGTATGTGACAAGACAAAAGCCAGTGGCTCCCCCTGGTGGTCGCATTTTTGCCATTGCACATCTATGTTACAGCATAGAGCTTTACTGAAGGATTAGTTTCCACAGACCCTGGTGGTTCCAACACTGATCGTGTACAACACTGATTATGTCTTCAGCTCAGTGTCACGGGTTATTCTACATCCCCAAGGGGGTTTAGGTGGAGGGGTGGATAACAGCCATGTGTTAATATATTGAGGCCTCAAATTTACATATTAAGACCACATAGCCACACTTAACTCGTGGCCTCAATATACTAACTTGTAGCCTCAAAATATTAACACGTTGTCTCAAAGTATTAATTTCTAGCCACACCTTATTAAAAAATAATCACCATGTCACCTTAGGGGCTCCATAGATCTGCCCTCAAGAGATGTCCAAATGAATTCTTCAACCAATAAACATCAACAAACAAATAATATCCAGTTAAGCCATCATGGAAAGGATCAATTAGATCCTCAACCAGCAGTGCCTTTCGTTTAAACATGTAGGGAAAGGGCTGTTTTATTCTTTTTAAAGGTGTTGTTGATATTCAGCAATGATAATAAAGTTTAGTTTCCAGTTACTTCAGATGGAGACATTGTACTTGGGTGGTCTCAAGAATGATTTCCACCTTACTCTGACACCGAGACAAGTCGAGTCCAAATGATACTGAGACATGACCGAGACCGTTCATTAATGCTCTAGAGCCCATGTGTCAAACACAAGGCCCGCGGGCCAGATCACAATTTTCTATTAATATTAGCCTGTTTCACAATGCCCTGCAGTTCAGTCCCCAGCATGCACTGCAACGTAATGTGCGCTCTGACCCTCTTACTCGGTTAATGTCTACTACAAGTGCCTGTATTTTACTGTGGAAGTTTTTATGTATCTTGAATTAACAATGGCCAGTTCGGGTTACAGCACAACATTCATTAAACATGAAATAAAATCATAGGCGTTCTTTGGCCCACAGATTTGTTGAGATTTTTTAATATGGCCCTTTTGGTGGTTGAGTTTGACACTCCTGCTCTAGAGGCTGAGACCAGACTCATGTACTACAACACTATTGACAATATCCACGATACACTCAGAAAAGCACTGTGTGACCTATTGCAATGAGTTTATTATATAATGGTAAATATTGTCAGATTGCTGACCCTTAAGTGTTTTTATGTCTTTTCCAGTTAGCACATAATAACTATGCATGTTTAGATACTCATGAGCCATTTAAACAGTGAATTGTGGAAATTTAAACTAATTTTTATTGGTAAGTCACCAACTGACGTGTAGGTTGTCAAAAAAATTTTTTCTAACCGTGCTTTTTACCTAGATATTATCAGCCACTTGAGCAGAACTGTTAATGAACAGAAACAAGTGTAAGGGTAGGAAAAACAGCCCACTATACTGCATAACGTTAACAAAACAACGCAGTCACTTTCCCACCTGTACTCAGACAAGCCCTGCCTCCTGCGCTACGATTGGCCAGAAATGAATTAACACAAGCAGTCCGCCAATTATGTTTAATTTCGTTCTTTTTGAGCATTGTGTTGGGATCCCCTAAAATGAGGCTTTTCTATATTTATCTAGTGAGATGTGATGTTTCCTACTTTATGTATTTAACATATTATTTTAATGTTTTCCTATTTCCTATATTTTTGTAGTCATTTCCATATATGTGCTTGTGTCTGATAAGAGCAATCTTTCTCCTCACTGTAAGTCATGTAACTGTAAATTCCCAATAAAATAGAATGAATAAATAAATAAATACACCAATTTAGTTAGCAGTAGTAGGCATATGTACTATTATGTAGCAACATACTGAAATTAGGTAATCCTTGACATAGATAGCTGTGATCTTGTAAGAACATGCTCTACAGTCTTAGCTAGAACTACAGAACAACTTTAACTGTATAGAATATAATTAAAGTTACACAAAATAAATGCCTGTACAAACCAACTAGTGTAAACAATTAAGTTTGGTTCTATATGTCACTGAACGTCTACACATGCTTGGCAACAGACCCTCAACTCCATCCTTCAGTATTTTTTTTATTTGAGCCAGTTTGTTGTTCTTCAGCCCTAAACTTTAATCCAGATTGGACTTTGGTCAAAGGCTGACTCGTGTGGCCACTGCAGCCTGTGGTAATACTGAGGGCCAGCAGGTGACCATACGCCTACTGACAAAACTGAAGGATTTGCTGAACAGTACGTGACAAGACACAGGCCAGTGGCTCCCCCTGGTGGCTGCACATTTGCCACTGCATTATTGAATGCACTGGAGGGTCCCCACGTGTTCAGAAACGGCCCATGTTGAGCTTTAGAGGGCCGAATCAGTCTGTAGGTCTGTTGTGTTGTGCCAGGTGATGCGTGATTTTGCTAAAAACAAGCTTCAATCTCTTAAGATGAACATATAACCATATGAAGTATTCTTTATTCACTTTATAGATAAATTAACACGGATATGTACATCACGAAAATCTCTACAGTGAAGAGTAACAGTACAAACACAGGAGTGACCTTTACCCTCTAAAACTAAACAATCAAGACAATGGTTACCTTTTAAACCAAATGACATATATTGCATATTTTGCAGATACCCCACCCCAGAACTCTCCCAGTGAGCTTCAGCTTAAAAAATATAAAGTTAAATAAATAGAATTTCTCAACACATAAAATTGCATTCAACATCTTGTTTTTTCCATACATGTTCACAGGATAATTTCAGTATTTTATCTAATTGTGGATATACGGACGTTTCTGTAGTAGGGAACAACGTTTAGTATTTTGCAAAGCTGTATTTGCCAAATGCCAGGTCCCAGCCATTCTTCTTGAAACATTTTGCATGCTCATAACTCAACATACTAAGGATTTAATTCATTTGGCAAAGAGCACTCTTGTCAATAAACAAGTGTCGATGTCAGTTATGCCAAATGTTTTCACCACAGCTGTACACGCCCAGCCAGGAAAACTACAGAGAACACTAACAATGATGCAAGGTAACATTTAGGTCTGAAATGTCTCAAAGAAAACATTGAAGTCTCGCGTTAACACTTAGAACGGTTAAATAGATCATATCACTACAAATTCTGATAAAATTTGCTGCAGAGCAACAAACTCAATACAATACACTTGGTGCAGAGAAGATAAGGTTAATTTTTTTGTCTTTAGAGGAGAACTCCCATTTTTAGTTTTCCTTTAAACAGATAGGGGTTACATGTGGAGGTCACCACAGTTCCAACAAAGCACACATCAATTCGCTGCTGCTTACAGGTAAACAAACAAAAACAGAGAGGTCTTGGTTCGAGAGGAAGGTAGACCATACTATCGCATCATGCTCTGTTATTTTCTTTAAGCTCTGAGTAGGGGTTCGTGTATCCACTCGTTTTGTTGATTGTGTTTTGTCCTCTTGGATATAGTTTGCCTTGTTCGCTCCGATTGACGGTTGTCAGTCAGGGCGCCAGACTCCATGCTAGTGGGTCTGTCTGTAGCTCTCGGCTGCTGCATGCCCTGCTCCGGCATGCTTTGAGGCTTTAGCCCACACGCTGTGTGAAGTTCTCTGGAAACAGTCCTTTCTGAGCAGAGGCGCCGTGCTGTAGCCAGTCACTCTCCTTAATGCCAGTGAGCCAACCAGCATCCTGCAGAGCCAGCAGAGAGAGAGATAGTCAGTACAAGCCAGTCGCTCTGAGGACACTGATAGTGTGAGCCAGGGATTAAAAAATACACAAAAGAGAGGAAATAAGGCCACCTTCACATTTCAAGCCTTACTGCTGAAATCTGAGCAATTAACATGCACACAAATATGATTATTATCTGACTTCTGCGGTTATCTGATTACTTAAGTGGTCATGAAAACAGCATACTCATTTTTCCTGGGTCGGATTAAAGCAGTTATCAGATTTCAAGAAATCAGATTAAGAGACTTGGATTGTAGCTCAGTAAAAATATCTCATCACATCCATCACCCTTTTTTTTAGCAGATTTATACTCTTACTCTGATTTCTTCCGTTTTTCTACATCTGCATATGTGCGAAAACAGAACCAGACAGAGAAGAGCTGACCAAAAAACACTAGCATCAACTTTACAACTGCAAAATGGCGACATAATGAACGCACTGTTTGCAGTCTGAAGCCATATAAAGCCTCTCTAGTAAATATTTACCAGTAAATAAACTCAAGAATGGTTTCAGTAGAACTGCATGTCAGGTACTATGTGATTACTGAGTTTTGTCATTATTACTGTAAACATGTTGAACAAAATCAGATTTTCTTTAGCTATCTCATTATTATGTACATGTAAATGTATTCGTGATCAGATAACACTCAGATCATCAAACCACATTCTTAGGCAGATTCAGAGACATATCTTGACCACATTCAGTACAAGTGTAAATGGAGTGCGTCTTCAGTATCTGCAAACAGTAAGGTAAGCAGAAAAGTGCCTTTTCTGCACTCTGGGCTGTTGAAAGTGTTCCAGCCAAGCTTGTCAATTCGTATCGTAACAAGAGAAAAAGTAAATGGAAGTAAAAACAGAAGTGATATCTGTGATGTGCTTTTTACAGGAAAGTAAAATCAGATCTCATGTGGTCAAACAGGAGACACATTTTAGCACAAAAAAAAGGAATCTAGCCAGATTTTTTTTGTTCACACAGCTTTGAAAACATCAGATCTGTCTTATTAGGGCAAAAAATCAGATTTGTGCCACTTCAACCTGGTAATGTGAACATAACCTAATTTTATTCTCATGAGAGTGTACTTATAGTCTCTTAAGTCTCACAGGGTATACTTAATAATCCAGGTACAAATGACTATGTATTTGGAAAAAAAAACTTGTCCATATATAAATGTGTCAGTAAATGCTTCAGAACAGTCAAATGGATTCCCTAACAAAACTGTTAATACCTGATCTTCCACTAGCTCTGTAGGAACAACAAGAACTATGTCTCCTCTCTTCAGCTCAAGCTCATCAGGGTTTGCGGCCTCAAAATCGTGCATTGTTTCAACCTGCAAGAAAGAAGCCAAGTATGAGTGAACGTGTATTTCAGGTAGTTGCCACTTTATTAGGCGACACCTACAGCCATCACACAAATTACATATCCAAAAAAGTCATACATTATGTCACTGCAAGGTGTGGTATGAATCATGTAGACTTGCATTTCTAGCATCTGTTAGTGTTCAGGTGTGTGCTGGAACAGGCAAAACTAGTGACCCTGGCCACTTTGAATGTGGCATGAAAGAACCAGGCATGTAGGTCCTAGCATCTCCAAACATCCTGCGCCTTTCACATATAACCATTTAAAGGGTTTAACAAGAACGGTATAAAAAAGCAAAAAAGTCAGCAATCTGTGATCCTGTGGATCAAAGAACAGTGATAATTGTGCAAGCAAACTGACACCAGCCACAAAGATGGAAATCTCTCCCAAATTCAAGGCTGATTAACAACATCTCAGAATGCATTACTTGTCAGACATTGTCTATAATGAGCTACAACAGTTTGACAACCTCAGAATCCAAAGACATTGAATACATGGTGAATTCAAGACCCTAAGAGGCACAACATGCTATTAGACAGTAAGGCTGTTATTCGCAGTCTTTATAGCATTTTTATTGATAAATAAAAATTCCACAATGAACACATTGGTAAAGACTGCCACACTAGTACAAGAGGGACATACTTAGATTGGGCATGAAGCTATGCCTATTATTAGAGCAGAGGTGTGCTTCCCTGAGCTGGGCTCAAACATCACTCTCACGAGAAGAGCAAGTGACTTAACCACTGTGCTATAGAGTCACTTACAAAACACACACACATGCACAGCTCAAAAACTACTCTATCCTTAACTACTAGACAGTAAAAAATGCATTATTACTATAAACATGATAACTATTCATAACGTCAGGGTTGGGGGTGAGATGTGAGAAGCAGTAATGGCTACTGTTACGTTAGCTAGATTTCTGATTAATTATAAAAAAAAGTCTGTATTTTAAGTATAATTTATCATTTCTTGAAGGCTTCATCACCTTGAATATGAAGCCTGGAGGCATGCCAGAGGAAGAGATGTCTTTGGCTATTTGGCTGTCTGGTGTCACGTCATTTCCACTGGTTGCTGTTGGAGATGTTATGTCACCATCACGGTCATCATCGCCCTCATTGCTGGATGCAGGTTCAATTACTACAGAAGGAATAGGCATCTTCTCCTGAGACAAAATAATAGACAACAGTACATTACCACACAGTGTACTAATCTGTGATCACAGAGCAAACTTACACTTCCATTACCTTTTGTGGTGCAGAATTTTCAATAAATTTAAGGTAGTTCTTGACCAACTGAAGTGATATACTAAACTCATAAACACAATTCATAAAAATATAGTCATAAGATGAAAGAAAAACATAAGTTTGTAAACAAAACATCACATTGTATAACTGAAAATAAACAGTCACACAAAAAGTTCATTAATGAATATTCATCGGACAGTCTTTAAGCTAAGTCCAGAGCACTTATACAAACAAGCTGGTTCTCATCAGACATTTGTACCAACGTACAAAATCATGGCTGAATATCTACCTCCTTTTCTGCACCCTCCTTACTGGTTTCATTGGCTGGTTTGACCACTACTGTACCAGCCTCATCTTCTGGGTTGGTCTCTACTGTACCAGCCTCATCTTCTGGTTTGGTCTCTACTGTACCAGCCTCATCCTTTGGTTTAGTCTCTAATGTACCAGCCTCATCCTCTGGCTTAGTTTCTACTGTGTCAGCCTCATCTTCTGGTTTGGTTTCTACAGTACCAGCTTCGTCTTCTGGCTTGGTTTCTACTGTGCCAACCTCATCTTCTGGCTTGGTTTCTACTGTGCCAACTTCATCTTCTGGTTTGGTTTCTACTTTACCAGCTTCATCTTCTGGTTTGGTCTCTATGGTCTAAAAGACGCATCCAGATGTGAGAGCCAGTAATTGAACACTCAATAACAGCCACTCATTTGGATGGATCGCTGCAGAGCAGCACATGGGAGAGCACTCAGCGTGAATCACGATGAAGGGAGCAGGGACCAGTTTAACTGCTGTGGTTGAAACTGTCCTCAATGAGGAGGAGATGAGTGTCAGTTTAGTGGTAAACTGACTAGTGTTTCACCAACAGTCAAGTCATTTGAGTTGGGAAAGGTTCACTAGGCACAATGAAGGGTTCTGGGGAGCACAGATGTCATGGTAGGTGCCTTGCTGAAGGCAGTGTGGTCATCAGCTTGGAGGTGTGTGACCTCTAGAGCCAAGACTCCTGACTTCAGAGCTACCTCTATAAACATAAACTTAGGGTATGATCGATAGGCTTAACCCAATAGTAGTTTTTGTGGTCATTCCCATCCTCAATTCATACTTCTACATATACATATCTAAATGTCCTCTGTTATAATGACATTTTCAATCAGTTCACATCCCAAAAATGTCCAAGTTTGGGTTGCTATGCTATGTTCAGTTCATGTCAAATAACCCCTATAAAAAACCAAGAGACAAAATTCTGTTCTTTTTTGTGCTTTAGAAAAATACACTTCATGCACTTAAGAAATACTTTTTTTACTCAACACTTTAGCCTTAAGCTGCAGTCACACTAGATATTTGCAGTTTGGGTCGCTTTGCAAATTGGGTGTGATCCTCACTAACCATAAATATTAACTACACAACATTGAGGAAATTATGTTAGATAACTATATGTTTGCCACAGCACAGTGTAGCAAAAAGTGTAGATAACTGGCCAGGTTGGCAGCAGTGGGGTGAGTTGTGTGCAGCTGCAGTGAGCCAGGCAGCTAACATTGCAGTTAGCAAGCAGAATAACTCCTCTAATACATACAGTAAAACAACAAAAGTAATGACAATAATACAGCCAGTGGGGAGGAAATAGTAAACAGTTCATGTTTAAACTCTGGTTTAATAGTGTTTTATCCAATTTGGATATTTAATGTTGCTCTGAAGTGCTGCTCCTTTAGAGATCAACACAGCCAAAGCTGTCCTGAAGACCTGAATTCACCTGAATTCAGAGTTCACCAAATTGAAGTCAGCATGAAATTTCGCACGTAAAATATATTCACCCCAGAAGTCTGACACGAAAACGCTCATTGCCGCCAATTCCATTTAAATGAATATACTTGCACCAACAAAATCACAAAAAGTGACTGGGCCTTTATACCTGAAGTATGTTGTCACATTCTTCTTTGAAACTGACAAGCAAAAAGCAGCAAAATGTACCAGACATTTACAGTTTTTGAATGTCTATATCTTAACACAACATAACAGCAAATAGTTCATTACAATGAAAAGGGAAAAGGGTCACCATTGAAACCAAAAAAGGTCATCAGTGCCAACAAATCATATAGTTAACAGTTGAGTGAGAATCAGAATTTGACCTAGTAAACAACATAATTGCTTTTCAAATTTGAATGGCTTTTCACATTATTTCAAAATTTTTGGCTTCAGCCTTTATTGTCACACTTGACCTTGTGGTGTCATGGTTAAATAATTTGGGTAATATGCACCTGGGATAATTAAAAAAAAAACTATATAACCAATAAATGACAAATAAAGAAAAGAAATAAAAAAGAATGTTCATATCAGTAAGGGCTTAGCTCAGAAAACTCAAGTGGATTTTATATCCACTTAAAGTTTAAAACTAAACTTTAAATGGTTTTCTGAGCTATAGTGAATAATGGCGCAATCAGAAAATTAAATATACTTTAAATGAATGTTATATAGTCTCCATCCACAAGTGTTGCAAATGAAATAAAACACTCATTTTATCAAAAACACAAAAGTATCCACTTTAGTCTGTTAATATATACTGTCTCTGCTGAAGCTTTATTTGAATTTGAAGTTTCAAGCAAAATCTTCTATTTGATTCATGAAAAATTTCAGAACTGTACTCCAAATAGTTTTTTGTTATGAATTTTAAAGTATGCCCTATCCTTTGACAGTGTCAACTATAAGAGCTATTGTTGTGAAATCGAAGAGTAATGGCAGATAAAGTGGTATACAAAATCACACACCACAGCCAAAATACCTATCCTATGTTGCATCACTTGCTACAGCATTCCAAGCTGCCTCTGGAAGCAACATCAGCACAAGAAAAGTGCTCCCTACCAAAATGCATAGTGCCAACATTAAAGTTTGGTGGAGTAGGGAGAATGGCCTGGGGCTGTTTTTCAGGGTTTAGGCTAGATGCCTTAGTTCCAGTGAAGGGTAATGTTAATGCTACAGCACACAAATCCATTTTAGATAATTATATGCTCTTTGCTGCAACAGTTTGGGAAAGGCCCTTTCTTTTTCCAGCATGACTGTTCCCCTATACCCTGACCTCAACCCCACTGAACACCTTTGATATGAATTTCAATGTTGATTGCAAGTCAGGCCTTGTACTCTAACATCATTGCCTGACCTTACAAATACTTTGACTGAATGGGCAACAATTCTGATTCCCAGACTCCAAAATGTTGTTGAAAGCCTTCCAAGAAGAGTGAAGGCTGTTACAGCCGCATAGACATCACGGCATGACCTGCCAGGCCATGTGGTACAGCCTTTTATCTCTTTATATACAAAGAAGACATGCCTGACTTGATGCTGAGACAGTATATACAGCAGACAACAGCTAAAAGTGTTAATTCTCAGTGATATTTTCTGAGCAACACTGAAATAACACTTTAGAGCTGTGGGCTGTTTGTACCGGGGAAGTAGTATTGAGATTAATCAGTGTTTAGTTACCGGAGTCTCTTCAATAGGAGACTCTTTATCTTCTGCAGAGGCCTACACACAAAAGAAACATGTGAATGATCATTCCATACACACAGTCAGCAGAATCACAAATGAAAAGTGTGGGGATCCCTCTCAAATAAATCTCCACAGTTTAAGTGTGTTTTAAATGTTTCAGATTAAACACTTTAAATGGTCTATTTCTAAAACAAACAAAAATCAAACAAACAAATACAACAATAAATATATCTATATAGTACATAGTGCCATGAAAATATATTTGCCCTCTCCTGAATGCTTTTATTTTTGATTAAATGCCACACTAAACTGCTTCAGATCCTCATACAGAATGTAATTTAAGACAAGAACATGAGGAAACTCCCATGTCAAAAAGTAATCCTCCCCCTAAACTTAATAACTGGTTGTACCAGTTGCTACAACTACTGTAAACAAATGCTTCCTATTACGAGATCAATCTTTGATATCGCAGTGGAGGAAATTTAGCCCACTCTTTGCAGAATTGCTTCAATTCAGCCACACTGGAGGGTTTTCAACCATGAACTGCCTGTTTATGGGCCTGCCACAACAACTCAAATTTATTTCTTTTGGGCCAAAAAGGCTTTGGGGGAGTCATCAAGGTTACCACAGGTTTTCTTCTTGCAGCTCTGCCATTGATACCATTTTTGTCCTGAGTGTTTCTAATGACGAAATCATGAGTGCTGACCTTATCAGGGGTGAGCGAGTCCTTTGGTTCCTTAGATATTTGTCTGGGTACTTACTTACTACCAATTAAGTGTGGCAAATATGCAAATACAGAACAAATCAGGTGGGGGCAAATACTTTTTCATAGCATTATATATACATACAGTTGCATTTAGCTTGACAGAAGGAAATAATATTTTTGTTTCAACACTTTTAACACAATAATGAAATTCAGCACACATAAAAGTGAAGAATGCATCACTTTCCCAAATATCCTCATTATGACATAAAAGAATAAACTAGATTGCTTTGCTTTGTTATTAGCTACCCAAAAGAAAAAGTAAACACTTGGAGAATTGCCTATAGACTGTACTGGGGTTGTACTGCATCATACATAAGATTTAGTGAAGTATTACCAAAACCTCTGCAGGTGACTCCTGTCCTGCTTCTGCCGCTGGAGCAGATTCCTACATACAGCAAAAAAAGAAACCTCACACTGCTATGATCTACATCTACACATTCTCAATAAACAACATAATCTGTTCTTTTACTTAGTGCATAAGTTGTTGCTGTTGAATTCATTTGCACCAGCAAATCACAGATGCACAAAAACTGTAGGAATGCTCCATCACATAGAGGATTTGCACTGTATGAAGCCAAGTTCATATGAAGCAGTGCTACATATGATTTGAACTTCTCTTAAGTCATTCATGACATCATAAATCATAGTTACCAGCGCCTCTTGACTGACTTGCTCTTTCTCTGTGTCTTCAGCTGGAGTTGTCTACACATAAAAGGAGGTCAAAGACTTCTGTTTTTACCCCAATTACTACAGGCTTCCCCAGATATGGAGGCAATTATAACGTATGAAATACAGAATGATGAAACGCAAATTAAAAAAAAAATTAAATATTAAAATGTTGTGTGTGCACCATAAAAATTACATATCTGGACACGGTCTTGTGATAATGTACTGCACATCTAATACCATTTTTTCACAGTAGGCAATGAGATAAATACAACAATGACTAAAATGAATACAATTAGTAATCACCAAGAAAGTTTGCTTATCATTCTTTGGCATCTAACTGAATTAAATTAAAACAAATCACATAAAAAGAGACTAAATATATATTCCAAATATATTTCAAAAATTAATTACATCAAAATATGCATAAATGAAAAAAACAAAACAATATATATTTTTACACATTCATTTTCATATATAGTAAAAAAGAAAAGAAAAAAGAATGTTATTGCTGTAGCATATCTCTTAAAGCATAATAATAGGGTTCAAATAAGCTTCGCAGGCTGTGTGAGGCTGATAAAAGGGAGAAATGCACATACCTCAGTCTGCTCTGCTGCCTCAGTCTCAGCAGCCGTAGGAGACTCCACTGTGCTCTTAATAAGCAGCACAGCACACAGGAAAACATCATTAGCTACTGCTCTCAGCATTGCACTTTGATCATTTCATTTTTAAAATACAAAAAAAGTAGTTTGTGGGTGAAAAAAATGTAGAAAACAACAAACAAAACAAGAAGATGAATGGGAGGATGATCCAACAAAGATGATATAAAAGCAAAAAGATGATTACAGTGACACAGATGACCATGGTGATGCTGATGACATGATGGAAGTAATGAAGATAATGGTGGTGGTGGCAGAATGAAGAAGGCGATGATGGCGATGGTGACGATGATGATGATGAAAAATTATGCCATCTTATCGATGATGATAATATTTGGGGCGCATTAAAGCACTCACAGGAGCTGTCTCTGCAGGAGGGCTAGAAGCAGCAGTGGACTCTGCTGGTTCAGTTGTGGTCTCTGCAGGAGGAGTAGTGACAGGGCCCCCCTCGCCAACCTCAGCGACTGGTGCAGGGGCCCCCTCACCCTCTGGTGCTAGGACCCCCTCACCTTCTGGGGCTGCCTCTGTACCAGCCTCTGCCCCCTCTGGGGCCTCAGGCTTTACATATACACAACACATGCAGTACAGGAATTAGAATTAGAGAAGTCTCAGTCAAGCTTTTCCTTGATCCCATTTCATATTGTGTATCTGCGTAATAATATCCTAATCTGATATTTGTATTGTCATAGATAATACAGCCACACACAAGTATTAAAGTTAGCAAAACAAATTTAGATATAATATGCTAGGCTGACAACTATTTTAAAATGCTACAGAAAAATCACTTCTCTTTTAGTATGTGCATTGTGTGTCACATACTCTGGACTCTTGTTTTTTGGTGTATCATGTTATGGTGTCTCAAAAAAATTGCTTTTATATTTTAAATCAGTTTAATAAACTGCAAAGCAGTCTTTTTTGTCTCTCTTCAACGTGCTGTTACAAATGTATGAAATTTGCAATAGAGTGATATGCAAACATTTTAACACTCCTTGGCAAATTACATTACGTTAATCCTCTACAGGGAAAATAAAACTTCTTTTGCTAATTTTACTTTCTGTTTATTTACTGAGTTTAACTTATTGGAAAAAATAAAAACATAATGTGCAGAAGTGTGTTCTCTGTTGAGGATGTGTTAACTTATTTTCACTTAGAAAATCAACAAAACATCAACTTTTTCATGTATATATTACTGTATATATTATAAACATAACATAAAAAATGGACAACTGTTTTTTAAAAAAGGTAAATAGCTAAACCACAGCTGAAATACTGTAGATTTGAAATGGCTGTTGGGCTGTTTTCACTTTCCACTTACAAATAGTTCCACATAGCATACATTTAGTGGATACTGTTTGTATGTTAATTCCACAACAGTAGCATAAATAGAGCATAACAGAGAAAAGCCAAAAATAGCTGATATGGTGTAAAGTGTGGCTTGCTCTAATACAGAACATTTCAGGATCTTTAAGGTTTCAGGACACTCCCAATTAGATTAGCAACACTGCATTGTGAGAGCAGACACACACCGGTTCCTTTCACAGGGAAGCAGCATTACAAATTGGCCACAATGAATGTTTAGGTCAACACAAACAAGTCTAAATCATGCACTTACCTTTACACCCAGGTATTCATTTCAGGTCAAATATTCTACACAAAGTTGCACACATGCATCTGTGTAATGCTATCTGACTGTCAACACAAATGGACGCTGTACTAAATAAATAAGATGACTATACTATATTTGCACTACACAAAATAAATAAAGAATATATGTTTTCAATTGCAGCAAGGTGTTATATCAAGCATGAATTACTATATGCAAAGGACAGGATAATTAATACACTTCTACTTGTAATCATAAAACAGCAGTCACTCACCATTTTATCAAAGTCTGCCACAAATGGTGCTGACGCATCCGTCTTTGGAAGCCACAGGACAGAATATAAAAGGAAGGCTTTTTAACAAAAGAGGTATGTTTTTATGACATCTTAAACATATAGTATTAACATCAAGGTTAGTTGTCAAGCTTAGACATCTTCAAAATAGTTTCTAGAGAGAAATATTTTGAGGGGATCATTCAGGAAAAGGTATTAGTAGGGATCATTATAGCAGTAATCTAGACCATGGTTTTTCAATTCCAGTCCAGGGGACCCACTGCCCTGAACAGTTTCAGGTTGTCCCTGTTCTAGCACTCCTGATCCCACTCATCAGCCCTTTATTAGTTCGATTAGGAATAACAGAGCAGGTAATACCTGAAACTATGCAGAGCAGTGGGTCGGTAGAACTGTTGAAAACCCCTGTTCTAGACAGTGCTAGGTGCATTAACTAAAGACACTAAGACACTAGCACAAGTTCAAATATGTCCAGGAGAGTGCCATATAGTTATAAATATACAGACAGATATAGATAGATAGATAGATAGATAGATAGATTTATTAGGAATTAAGTTTGTGCATTAATGCTGGACTATGCAACTTATGTCTCTTTGCAGACAGGTTACCCTGAAATTAATCAAGAAACATTTTTACAGCTGTCACTATGTCTTAATTGCCTTACATGCTTAATCAATACACCCAATAGCCTAGTTACCTGAGCAAATCCATTAAAAGCTTTGTTGGTCACCTAAACCAAATCAAAGAAAGGGTTAGCATGTCCCTCAACACACTTGGATTGTATGATTAAAAAGGGAGTTGTCAAATTGTCAACAAAACTAACAAATATTTAAAGCAAGCGCAGGACAGAGAGGAGCAGAGGACTAGGGTCTGTAGACTGTGGGGATTTACGGGGTCTGAGGGGGTTTGTAGCAGGAAATCGGTACTGCATCCGCGGGCAGGAAAAGAGGGGATCTCTCACTGAGATCTACTCTATGCTACACTACACAAGGGAAGGAATTCAGGTACCTCGTCTCTCTCTGTATCTATTTCTTGGTACAACTTTCCGTATCTCCGATTCGCAACCTCATCTTCAGACAGGTCAGAGTTCTCTGGCTCTTTAAGACCGGCTGGGATTTCTGCAGCTGTAGTCTTTGGACCAGGGACGTTGTTTTGACCAGGAAAGGAAGCAAACTGGTCTTGAGTCTGACCACTTTCACCAGGCCAGCCTGCAATGAAGTCCCCTTGGCCATCAGAGGAGAAGAAGCCACTGCTACCACTCACCTCCTGCCAGGAACCCTTACTGGATCTCTCTATATCAACATCAGGGGGAGGGAAGGCTGCCCACTGGGCAAACCCATTAGACTGTCCACTAGATACTGTCCCTTCCCCACCTGTTTCCCCAATGCTTGCAGACTCCCAGCCCCCTGCCCATCCCTGGTTGCTCTCACTGGCAAAAGGATCTTGGGTACTCTCACTAGCAAATGGGTCTTGGGTTGTTTCACTAAAAAAGGGGTCTTGGTTTGTGTCACTGGCATTGGGATCCTGTCCGGCCTCACTTTCTTGGTTAGGCTCACCATCAAAAAGGTCTTGTGTGACCCCACTTGCAAAAGGGTCTGGGTTTGTCTCACTAGCAAAAATGTCCTGTGTGGTCTCACTTGCAAAAAGATCTTGTGTAGTCTCACATTCAAAAGGATCTTGTGTGGCCTCACTTGCAAAAGGATCTTGGTTAGTTTCATTTGCAAAAGGGTCTTGTGTGGTCTCACTTGCAAAAAGATCTTGTGCAACCTCACTTGCAAAAGGATCTTGGTTAGTCTCATTTGCAAAAGGGTCTTGTGTGGTCTCGCTTGCAAAAGGATCTTGCGTAGCCTCAGTTTCAAAAGGATCTTGTGTAGCCTCAGTTTCAAAAGGATCTTGTGTGGCTTCATTTGGAAAATGATCTTGGTTAGTCTCTTTCGCAAAAGGGTCCTGGCTACGGTTGCTAGCAAAGGGGTCTTGGTTAGTCTCACTAGTAAAAGGGTCTTGTGTGCTCACACTGTCAAAATGGTCTGGCGTGATCTCATCAGCAAAAGGATCTCCTGCCCACCTTCCTGCATCTCCTGCTTGGGATGCAAATGGATCTGAAGCAAAACCAGTTGTCTGGTCCTCTGTGCTTGAACACCGAGGGGCAAAAAGATCACCCTCTGGGGCACTGGCATCTTTCTTAGGCAACTCTGATGCATCTGCCTCTGATTGCCCAAATGGATCTTTTTCTGAGTTGGCAAATGGGTCATTCCCAGTGCCAAATGGATCACTCCCTGATGTGGCAAAGGGATCATTACCAAATGGGTCACTCTCTGAGATGCTGAATGGGTCTGAGCTCAGAGTGGATTCTGAAACATTTAACAATGAACTGCCTACACTCTCTTTCTGCTCTGTAGGATCTGATGTGCTGGACACTGAACTCTGTTGAACAAACCCTGTAACTTCATTAGGTTTCACTGGCTCTGTCATAGCTGGCTGGTCCCAATTAACTGTGAATGTATTCCCACTAAAGTCTACACCAGCTGGAGTGCTCTGTTCTTGGAGGGGTGAAGCAGTATTAGCTGTACCCCAGTCCACAAAACCCTCTTGGGTCACACTGCTTCTAGCAACACTCTGATTTGATATTGTGTTTGGCCCCTCATTCTCTGCAGAGTCAAGCTCGTCATCCGCACTAATCCATCCTCCATTTTGACCTGGTGCATCCCCCCACTCTTCAGCAGTCTCATACTCAGATCCTGACCCATCCACATCTGTCTGACCTGATAAATACCACTTGGAGCTGTCTCCCCCATCCTGTGCTGTGTACAGTTCCTGCCCACTACCCTCTGCGGCCTCTGGTACCTCTTGCCCAAACTCATTTGTGAATATGATCCCTGGCATGGACTGTCTTCTCTCCTCTAACACTGCAGTTGGTTCTCCTTTGTCCCCACCTTTCTTGGCCCCCTGCCCACTGAGACTGATCTGTGGTGCAGCCTGCCTCTGTGACCTTCTGACCCAGCTGCTGCTTGGCCTCGCCAACCCCCACAGCACAGGGATCAGAGTCTGGGTTTGTCTCTGGGTTGTGTTCCATATCCCAGCTTCTAACCTCGTCTGTGGTTGCTTCTCCTTGAGGTGCTGCCTCTGTGGGCCATCCGTCTGCTGGAGGCCAGCCTTGCCCATCAGTCGCAGGCTGAACAGCTCCCGAATCTTCAGCACTGGCTCCAGCAGAACCAAAGTCAGCTGTCCAGTTGGCAGTGAAGCCAGCATCAGGAGCCTGATCAAGGAAGGTAATTAGTGAAGGGTTACTGTCTGAACCATTATCCCTCATGGCCAAAGTACCAACAAACCCAGAGTCTGCCTTGAGGCAGAGGGCGAAGGTAAAGAGAATACAAAGACTTTACATAATCTCAGATCATACAGTATAGAAACACATACCAGAAATCATTATCATTATCATTGCACAAAACTGTAATTACTTGCTCTGTGACTGCACATATAAGCTATAATTCTGTTGTTACTTACAGGCTGGGCCTCAGTATTTGCCTAAAAAACAGAGACGTTTCCGTCAAACTCTTTTAACAAATCATCTACACCAGAAATTTAATACAAATTGTTATGAGAATCTTACAAATGTGATCTCAAAGCTGTTCACATGCATTAGAACTACTTGAATTAAGTAAGTATCAGTAAGAACAAAGGTGAGTCATTTGGTTCTTTTGGAACCAGAACAGAGGAATTCCATTTATTTCAATAAACACAGAACTAAAAAGCTTTCTCACCGCCCATAGATCCCAGGGTAGTGCCTGCGCAAGAGCAAAGTACAAAAATGTATTGTATCAGATTCACATTATTTCATAAAATATATTTAAATCATTCATTAATTACAGCCAGAACTAATTAACATGTGCTACTAAAAGCCTAAGATCACAGAATAATTCATCATGAGGTTTATTCATAATCAAGGCCTTGTCCATTTATGCCATTGACTAAGAAGTGAGGCAGATAAGGACCTGAGATGCAGGTGATTGGGTTTGACCAATGGGTGTATTGCTGTCCGGTTTGAACGGATCAAAGTCCAAGTCCAGGAGAGATTCTCCAGGTTTCTCATTCGGCTGGAGAAAACAATGAAAAGGAAAAAAAAGTGCATGGTGAAACTTCATGGAAATTTCAAAGCAGTTATTCTAAAACAACTGCTGTTTATAAGGTTGTTTCAAATGTGTAAGCACCTGTGGTGAAGTGACACTGATCTCAGGAAAGCCTCCGTCAAACAGGTCAATGATTTGCTCCTGTGCCAGTTCCTTGGTTGGAGTGACTTTGGGAGGAGGAGGCTTTGGAGGCCCCATCTTGAGCTGGTAATGACATGTCATGGACACATACATATACTTAATTAACTTATCATCCAGCTTCAGCCTCATGTATTATCACTACACAAATTCACAAACGTACAAATTCACAATACAGCTCAGAAATCTCTAAGTGTCCACCTGTAACTGCTACGTCTACCAAAAGTTATCTAAAAAGAAACAGATGGCTACATTTTAAAGTCTGCAGGCTACAGTTCCACTTACATCTTCACTCTGTACCATGCAAGAGAGAAATAAAGCAAACATGATTAGCAGAGTCCTTTGTCTGTATTCATATGCACTAAGACTAAAACATAGTGATTTAATTGGAACAATTTTTTTCTTCTATACTCAGTAAACCACAAAAGAAACTTTTTTACAAACCGTTCCTGAAAAGTAATTGAATAATTAATACCATACTTAAAATTGCCATCTTTCTTTTTTACCACCAAGTATTAAGCATAAGTGTCTGTGTATAGGAAGGACTGTGATTCCTCTGAGGTTCACGTAACATGAATTTACTTTTAAATTAGAGTTTTTCAAATTCAGTGTCCTAGAGCCAAAAGAACAAATACTGTGCCATCTCACATCAACATCCTGGATGTATTTATTCAAAGGACATTCGCACATCCACATGGGTATAGTGCAGTCTGAACAGCACTGTACTTTCAGATTGTGTTTTAGCTTTTAATTGTTGACACAGTAGTGTTCTTTAAGTAAATATTTTCAGAATGCTGACAAGTTTTAGAGCTTGAGTTTGTACCCCACAGTGAATGTTGTTTGGTTCATATCGTAGTGTACGCTGACAGCACATTACAGGGGTTCCAGAACCCACCTGTGAGGGGGATTTGGGTCGAGGAGGACCAGGTGAAGTAGGTCTCAGTGTGTGGTTGGGACTGACAGCAGGGCTGCCCTCTGGACTCTCATCCTCGGGAGGCGTTGGAGTCCTGGCCAGGCGCAGGGGCCCCGAGTCACTGTGAATAAAAACATAGTCTGCTATTAACTACAGCCATTACTAGGGTTGTAAAAACTGGATCAGTCCTCCATAATGCGTTAATTAAGATGACAATTCAACTGCACTGATTTTGGAATATGAATGTTGATTTTAATTGATAACAATAATATTCTATAAGATATGGTGTATTTTAAAAAATAATTCAGAATTTTTCCAAAATAATCAAATTGAATCGAATCATAATGAAATTTGGCATTACATGATACATTAATTGTTTCCTAAAGAATTAAGTCAATTTGTTGTGAAGGTAAAGATTTACAGCACCCTAACCACTTAATTAATTTCATAAATCAAACATTCTGTTTTCTGATTTTTGTTTTTTCATCCATGACAGCAGTTAAATGCCCCTGCTGACATTGTGTTTAACTCATAAATACAGCACAGTACAGAAGGGAAAAATGTTATGATTTCTGCTTACAAACTGATCAATAACTATAAGAATACTATACTTAGGGATCATTATAACATTATCTAATTAATCTAATATCTACTCTCTGCTACAGCGCACACAATATACAACTAACCACTACAATGCTGCTAGCATTTACTATAATGGAGTATATTGCAGAGACAAGCAGTACAAGCACTCTACACTACAGCCCCAAGTTATCTGTCTATTGTCTGTCACCTACTTTCTCTTTCTGCTATAAGAGAAAAACAAGAACCATAGTATGAACAGTTGATTCACAGGTAGAACCACACATTTTCAAATATTTTGGAAACAAACAGGTTCCTACAATATTTTGTTTCTTTTCTGATCTAAAATTCTGAAATAAATGCTCTTGCACAATGTTTCTCAATCTTTTCAGTTAAAAAGCAAACATCATGACACCATTAATTTCACATGACTATCTAGACTTGGACAATTTTATTTAGGAGAATACAAATTCTATTCAGGAATCTATAGATCATAAAAGCTCACCTGGGTGCTCCTTGTATGGTGAACATTTTGTCTGAGTGTTGCTCTGCGAGTTTGTTCATCACCTCATACAGCTTGTGACAGAGCTAGTGAAACAAATGAACAACAAAATGGGGAAGTCAACCATAAGGGAATTCATGAAAAAGCAATGGGCTGAAGAAAAGAACAAATTAGATCTGTCACTGGCACTTGGTTTTTGATTTGACTTTTATGACAGTGCCATAAAAACCCTCTGTCATAAATGAAGTATACCCAGGGGTGGAAATGGACCATTCTGGGAGTGAAAGTCTTATCTATCTATCTATCTATCTATCTATCTATCTATCTATCTATCTATCCATCCATCCATCCATCCATCCATCCATCTTGTCCATTTCCACCTCTGAGGATACCAATTTGGCACATTGAATATGAATACATTTGATCTTCAATGCATGATTAGCACAAAAGCATATTGTTAGTGCAACACATCAGTTATCCAGCAGAAGGCAGCAAAGAGGATGTTTGTCACTCTTAAAGTCAAAATGGAGGAGCAGCAAAACAACTCAGAGTAGCCCAGTCTACATTGTACAGGCTGCTGTGACAAGAATTTAAAGAGCTCTGACATCAGATGGCTGTATAAGTGACCCTGAGTTACACCGCCAATACCAGCAGACACAAACATACATACACAAACAATGTAAAACCCCTCTCTCTGCACTGCTGTTATGTCTACATGTGGAAAAGCAAACACAGACAGAGAGAGAGAGAGAGTAATAGTGAGTGATAGTGTGATAAAGCAGATAAAGCAGTGTCTGTGCTGAGCTTCACTTCAGCTCCCTGCTGGCTATGGCAGTCTTTAGCCATGCACTGATGCCCACGGCACAGACGCCCACTGAGCTACTGCTAAAATAAGCACAATGCACCACGTGCAATCATCAGAAGCTACATCATGACCTCTAGAGCTAATATAAAGGCTGCTTGAGTGACAGGTGAACTGACTGATGAGTGTTTTCCAAACTGAAGGACCTAAATATAAAGCTCAATATATATAAATGCAGATCTATAAGCCAGATTATATGCAAGGAACAGCTCTCGAAAATGTGCTTGTTGCACTTCTCAGGGTCAAAACTAAGGGAGCTACCCAAAGATATGTAAGACTTATGAGGACAGATTTACTAAAGTTTTGTACCACTGCAAACCTTATTAAAAAGTAAATGTTGCAATTTACTAGAGGTGCAATGGCTATTTTAGTGCCCAAAATAAGATCAATGTAGCGGCTACAACTATTCTGCACTTTTGCCTAATTACATATGCATTTATGGTTTCCCTCTCAAAGCACAAAATAAAGAAGATTATTATAATGAATGCTGATAATATAGGTGTGTGCAAAAGTTTGGGCACCCGGGTCAAATAACGTTTTGTTGATTTTCTAAGTGGAAGTAAGTTAACATATCCTTCATACTTGTGACTTAAGAAGTAAAAATATGGACATAAACACAATGGGGTTGTATATCTGCCCTTTAATGTATTGTCTACCTATGACATATGCTACCCATTGGTCTAATATAATGGGTTCCTAACCCTGGTCCTGGGCCAAAACAAAAAGTGCAGAGCACGAACTAATCCAGGACCAGGGTTGGGAACCTGTTGTCAAATTAATAGTGGTAATGAGATCTTTATGAACTGTTTGACTCACCCTATATTAATGACATACATATTGGGACTCATCTCACAGAGCTTGGCACACTAATGAATGATATCTAATGGATCATAACATACTTGTGCCTTTAATCTCCACTCAAAATTCTACATGAGAGGAAATTAAAATAGGCCTTTTTCTTGCTTAATGTAGACTTAGCAACGTAAATAGCACATGCACTGTTGCTGAAGCGTGTCCGTTCCTTTTTCATGGAAATTTCAGCAGATGTGCAGCATTGTTAGAGAGTTAAATAGGCCATAAATATCTCCCCTGGGCTCACTGATGCCTGCTCTGCAATTTAGTGAACTCACACATGCCAGAATGCCAGCCTTTCATTTCTAATCATCAGCTGCAGAAACCAGCTGAGAGGAAGATGAGAGTGAGTGGGTAAAAACAGTCTCTTAACAGTCTCTGGCTCTGTGGAGAAAGACTCCCTGTCCACAAATCAAGTAGGTTTTTTTTCTTTACAGCATGAAAGCAACGCCTGTCAAACTCTGCTTGTAATTCAGTTTTTTTTAATCTGATATGTTAATAAACAGCTTTACAGGGGGAATATTACATATGATATTATGTACATATAAAGGATTCAGAGTCATATTTCAAAATAGACAAATGGATAATCTGCAGACAGTTATATGTACACGTACAGTACATGTGCTGTTCTGAAGCATGTCTGTCTATCTTTCATAGAGATTTTAGCAGATGTGCAGAACTGTTAGGGAGTTAAATAGGCCATAATATCTGCCCTGGGCTCACTGATATACTGTGATCACTGTAGGTCATTCAGCAGCAAGCTTGCCACATAACACAGTGTCTGCCTGCAAGCAAGAATATGGCCAATATTCTAGTTCCTGGGTTCTAGTTCCTAATTGTTTTACACGATTTGAAAACACTAGCTTACATTGCGTGAACCTTTCAAGATAAATGGTTTAACGGAAACTTTGAAAAATAAACCATCCAGGTTACATTTCTACGTTTTTTTCCTCTATAAAGTTACTGATTTAAGGGTCAAGTTTTTTTAACAAGAGTGACAGAAAGTGGCAGAGTGACTTACAAAGGAGATTTCCCTGTGGAATTTGGCTTCCAGGCTGCTGACACTCTTGAAGGTGTCCACATAAAACCCCACTCGACTGCAAAGACATGAGGAGAAGTCTGTTAGAACACATGAAGCACTCATGTTTGTTATCACATGTCCATTAGAATACATCCATCATTGTAGATGATACATTAGCAAATAAAAGACTTTTCTTGAATTGATCTTGTCTTGTCTTATCTTATCCAGTAAGACTGCATAAATAACACACCACATGATCACCCAATGCTAGAATTTAAGTTAAGGAAACACCTCTTCTGTTTTAAAGTGCACATTTGGGGTGACAAAAATATTACAGAAAAGTAATGAAGTGAAATATTAATGCACAAAAAAGCTCTGTTAAAGAAAACATAGCCTTGTTACAGGTCATACACACTTAAACTCTTATAAATGTGATATGTGACACTTGTGAGTGTTAAGAACCTTTTTAAAGTTTATAGAACCTCCATATAATGTACAGGTTCTAGGAAGATCCCTTTACCTTGTGTGAATCTTTAAACCTTTAAATGGTTCTTCACAGTCAAAAATCTCAAAATAGTCCAGATTTTTGCTCCACTCTAACTTGCAAAACACAGGCATAGAGCAAAAATGCAGACCATCTGGGGGTCCCTGAGGACCAGTCTGAGAAGCACTGCTTTAGGACACCAAAAGTGGTTCACCTACGGCACTGCTCAAAGAGCTCAAAGAAGTGGCACTTTTTCAGCTCCTGTTTATACTGTGTGAACATTTCAAGATGAATGGTATATATATGGACGTATACAAATGATCACACTAGGCAGGCTAAAAACTACCAAAATCATTCCTCTCAGATTGTTCTAGTTCTAGTTCTATCTTGTTTTTTCATGAAAACATTTCAGGATGTTTAATGTAACATTCAATTTTAGTATCATAAAAATTATATAATATTTTACATTCCATTCCCTGGGACTTTAAGATTAGTAAATGAAAAAAAGCCTAAAGTTTAAGTGGTTAAAAATTAGACTGTGAAGCTAAAAGTGGAGAGAGCTGATACTATACACTGCTTAGGTCTAAACAGGACTGAGCAGGGTTAGAGGCACTGTAAGGCCACTCATGATTGGATAGATTATGTAATCAGACTGCTGCTCCTTTAGTGAGCAGCCAGACGTGATCAGCTCAGCACTGTACTCAGCATACGGCTGACACAAATGCTGCACTTACCAAAACCCATCACTTATTAAACATGCTTCCCAGCACAGCAACCTACTAAACTACACAGAAAGATTCCAAACATCAGTGCAAACACATTTTTTCCATACTAGTGTCTTAAATACTAATAACTGTGCATATCAGACCGCATACCAGAGACAGTGATACTGGTGCATCACTATAATATTATAATATTACACATACATTAAAAGGCGAGAGACACTTAGATTTTCAAAATGTTTTATTACAAATTTGCATGTTTTATTTGATTTAAGTTGTTTTCAATAACTCACAATATATAGAGTAGAGTTTATGCAAATATATGTATAAGTAAATATTTGTGACAGTATAGGTGACAGGGTTTATGACAATTTTGCCTTGGGACTAAGGACAAAATCCACACATTTCAGACCCTTGTTATGATGTCTGCACTCATCAGCACTCAAAGCTTCCAGCTGTTTAAATCACCTTTAGGTCAAAGGATTTTCAAAATGCCCTTGTAACAACAGAAAACTGTCCAGTTATTCTAGCAACACTGCGATGAACATGAAATTGAATGTAGTAATTAGCTGTTTTATGTTTTAGCAGGTATGTTGGTTAAATATTTCAAAAAATATCTGCAACTAAATTCAACTTTCAAAAGAAATCAAGCTTCCCCCAAACTTTTGACGGGCAAAAAGTAATCCATTACAAATTACTTAGTACTTCATTCAAAATATAATGAGATTGCTTTACTGATTACTACCTGAAAGAAATAATCTTACTACTCACTACATTATTTCTAAGTTACTCAGATACTGTTACAACTGGAAAGTGCATAAGAAAACCCAGTAGTTCTTTCAGTACATTATTTAGAAAGAAATAGCCAATCACAGTAAAGACATTTAGTCAGTTATGCTTAATTAAATTTATTAATTGCCAATGCTATTTTAAACCCAAAAACTAACCACTAGAAACAGTCCAAAAACAGCAGCCTTGAATTAAAACCTTTCTTGTTTCTGAAAGAAAATCTTGTCTGCATAGGTGAGGATTAAACTCTCTATTCAGCACAGTGATCATTATCCATAAGTTTTATATCTGCAAGAGTAGATGCTTCAATAGGTTGCTTGTTGAGTTTACGTTATATATTGTAAATATATTATTACTGTATAATATATTGTTAATGTTGTTGTCTTACAGACATGAGTAAAGCTCTAATGTGATTACAAGAATTTAAATGTTACCCTACCTTGTCACGGGACAAAATAAAGACATCACTGTAAGGAGTTACTTCACACTGCATTAGCCCCAACAATGATAACTACTCACCAATCACATCATTTAGATCCTGTGTAGCTGTAACTGTGCATAAAATATGTGTAAGACCTCAGTCCCCATTACTGTGTTACTTCCATACACTGCTATACTGTGCAATAGTTCTGTACAGCACTGTGGAACTAGGGCTGTATCATATAGCTGAACCTCTGCTGTTTTACAGTTTAACTGCAGGATAAGCTCTAGTGACTCACAGCACAGCCACATCATTACCCACATTTTACAGAGTGTACCTTTGTGCAGTTTTGCAGCCTGCTAATTTCATTGTGAAGAGATATTTCTTTCACAAATCAGTAACACGCAAGATATAATTTATTAGACAGTGTAGTACAGAACAATGTGGGTCCAAAAACACAGACCAGTCCATTATCTGCAATGCACACATACTCTTATTCTTGTGACTTTGACAGTTCCAGTTTCACTTACAAGCATACATCATGTCCATCTACAGTAGGACTGCATAACATTTAATTTGCTATATATAATCATTGTTTTGGCTTTTGCAATACAGCAAAATGCAAATGAGCCCCCTAACAGTTTTACTGTGTGCTATGAGCATTTTTGACCAACCTCAGATGTTTTGAAGATTAAAGCTGTTCAGGTGATCTAACAATGATTAATATTCAAAATCATGCAAAATAATGCAGGTCTATGTTTACCCATTTCACATTAAGCAACATTAAGAATAACTGCAATACATTACAGGTAGGAATGTGTGATCGGACTTGACCAAGAAGAAAATAGGCAGATTTTTGCTCCAAACTTCCAATCAAAAACAACTAATTTGCTACTTTTTTGAACTAATGAGTGGCACCTTGGTGCTGGCCCTATTGTGGTGTGATCGCAAGTTTAATCCGCAGCGATGCCATAGTCATCTTTGGCCGGTGTAACAAAAAGAGATGCGGTCAAATGCTTTCAAAAGTTGACTCATTCAGTAGAGGTTTGTGCATGCACAGTGTACATATGTCTAAACTTACATAAAAATTCAGTGCTAGCCTGTGTAGCAATGTGTCTAATTACGCTCTGTTAAGGCTGGGGAGGAAGACGTTATCCTAAGGCAGGGGTGTCCAGTCTTATTCACAAAGGGCCGGTGTAGCTGAAGATTTCACTACAACAAAGCAGGAGATCATCTGATGAGATGTTTGAAGACTAAGACCAACTGATTAAACAAGTGGAGTCAGGTGTGCTCCAGCTTGTTTACAGTGAAAACCTGCAACCACACCGGTCCTTTGCAGATAAGATTGGATACCCCTATCTTCGGGGAAAGAATTAGCTAGCTGTCACAGAACCAAAAAAAAGACCACTCAAATAACCCCTTAAATGGCCAAGGCCTGCCAGCGGTCCCAAAGTTTATTACAAACTTCTATTACCTAAGAATAGCTCAATCAGTTTCCATTGAAGTCCCTGTAGTTACAGGATAATAAGCCTTTGCATGTAATAAGCCTGGCATTGTATGAGGTTAACTTATTTAGGTACAGTTTACATTCAACCACTGAGAATCAACCAAATACTCAACAAATTCGGTAGAATAACAAAGCAGACAGAGGTTTATAAACTTTTTTTTTTTAACTGCCTCAGTCATTTAAAAGTGAAAGGAGATCTTTTAGCCACTTTTCCATTAAATCAGGACATGAGCTAATGCTGGAACAGTTTTAAGGTTTGATGAGAGGCAGTCATCGTCTTCTACACAAGGTAAACTGTTTTCTACTCAGTGGACGATGTGGAAACATGTTGGCTTGTCGATATAACACTGAGAAGAGAGAAATATATATAACTTCTAACTTCAGCTATCATAGTCAGCCTAGTTTCACTAAGTTCCTTCAGACTTCTGAATCACATTAAGGTGCCCATGTTTTGTAGTAACCTAGTAAAGCAAAGTTAATATACAGTAATAAGACATTTCACTGAGTGAAAAGGCACAGAGCTGCTGGTTTTTAAGGTACACCAGTTTTGTACCTTTTATTGCTGAATTAAATAAAAGATTGCTACCCTAAACAGACGTACAGTGTCAATTTCTTCAGCAATAACTTTTAACATTCACAGTTCTACACGTGAGAAGCTGATCTGACAAGAATCTCACGTCAACTTTTGACAGCATCAACTATTTTCGTTACACCGGGATTGCAAGACAGCGTAACTAGATTCGCTCTCCCTGGGTTGGTAGGGGGGCCCTCCATCTACCCCCCCATCACTCAGCACAATGCCAGCCAACATGGGCGTCTATTAGCTGACATAACAGAATTAGCAATTAGCATTTTCATCCAAGTGTGTTGAGTTATCCAATGAGAACGCTTTTGCGGCAGTGTCAAGATGTGGTGGCGCTTAACGTGTCTCGGAGGAAGCACATGCTAGCCTTCATCTCCCAAGCTTGCTAGCATTGTGTGAGAGGGAATGCTACACCTGTACTAAAATACGGTACCTTAATTACGTATGCCTAATTGTGCTAAACAGCCACATCTTACTTCTCACTGCTTCTTACTTTCAATATGGCATTTTATTAAATTCATGCAATTTAAACACGCAACAAATTTAAAATGCCAGTTTGAAGCACTAAAAGGCAAATAAAGTTGTTTATATTTCAAATTTGGCTAATAACAGTACTAGAAATTAACTAATGTGTTGTGTTCACACAGTGTGAGCTTGATATTAAAAATGGCTAATAAAAATTTGCCAAAATTTGCATATCAGTTTATTTAGTATAAAGAAATCAGAAACAGAAACGGCTCTGTGCCCTGATCGCGAGCCACATCACTCACGTAATATGGTACTTTGTCCATATCATCCAGCCCTAATCCACGGCTTCTAAAACATCAAGCCATATGGTTTCCATGGATCATTAAAAAGACTGATAGAACAACTCAGTACTGCTACAAACCACTAACATGCCTGTCAGCATACACAAGAATACATACATAACAAACAGCAGCAGAAAAACAATCTCCTGCTACAGCGATTTGATGTTAACAGGCCAGACCAGCATACATCAGCATATCTCAGCATCCTACCTGTCCTCTGCTACTGTGATGGTGCCATGAGTGCACAGCTGCCATGTCACACAGCTAACTGCTGGGACTCTCGGGAGTTACTCTTACTGTACTGAACTCCCGAGAGAACAACTGGCCAAATGAGTTCAATATTATTGACAGTAGCAGCACGCTGTTGGAGGATCTGACTGTTAAATCATCATGTCCTCGTCATAGCCAGGATGGGAATCCCCTCGGGGGCAATGCACTGAAGCTTCTGTTACATAAGACACACACAGCTAATTATTGATTGAGCCTTTTTAATGTAATATAAGACAGCTGCAGTAAAAAAGAACAATGGGTTAAAGTGCTAGTGTTGGGTGCTCCTGTCCAAATGCAAATGAATGTCTGCTTTTCTTTCTTTTTTCCCTTTGTTTCTTTACCATGCAGAATCTCATGCATGGCACACAAGCTTTATCTCTGCAGCATGTAGAGCAGATAACACTCAGCATGCTTGTGTCTTTCATTCCAGCTTAATTAAGTCTTTTTATCTTTTGTCTTATGGAATGATGAGAGAGACAAACTATTAATAATAGAGCAGCGAAAGCAGAATTATATCAACCCATTTTCAGTCTGTCTGCTGAAATCTGCTTTTTCAAATAAATATGATCTCAATGTCAGACTCTATGTTAGTATGACTAATACCTGTTAGAGCTTCTTATGCAAGCCAATTATAATTTCACAGCTACAGTTTTAATTAATGTTACTGTTAGATCTAACAGCAGGATAGTGTTACCATAAAAATTAAGCAACCAGGCTGCCTCAAATTTTTACTTTTATTGAATTTTACAAAGTAGCTTAACAGAATGTGATCCACAGTCAGATTATTGTTCTGTTAACTCACTGCTGATGTTCAATGAACTCACTGATTTTAAGATAGACATTTTGTTTACTTTTTAAAACAGAAATTTCAACGATTTTCAATATTTTTGCATATTAAATGGTTAAGGTGTAGACAAAGTCATTCAGAGTGGTTTGATGTGTAATCTTTTGTTCTAGAGAAACGTATCGAGTCAGAATGGTTCTCAGCGGTGATGACAGGAACAAGATGTCCAATGAGTTTTTACCTCTAAAAGCTTCTTCACAGAGTTACCCATCTGATGCCTTAGACAAGTTTTGTGATATACTTTTGGCCAAAAACACATTTCATAAAATTCATTCATGGTGGAGGAATACATGCAGGTCATCACAATGCAAAATAGCCCCCAAAGAAAGTATATGTTTCAGATTTACCACTATTTTACCATCATCAGAATTATATATAAACACTGAAAAGACAGGTGTGGGTTCACCAGTCATTTTGAATAGGAAATAAAACGACCATATTCTTGTTGTAGACATTGCGACCCCTGGTTCTTATTACTACCACTGTACAGAAAATAGTATGTTTCTCTATCATGAACCATTTCACATTAAACCACTGACACTGCTGAGTTGAATCATACGTGTCTGAGCAGGAAAATCATCATGCAGTGCTGGCTAGGAGCTGATGTAAATATTTATCTGGAAGGACATAAAACCCACACATGACTTTTGGTCACTTACTATTCAGCCACGTCTAGAGAAAAAGCTGGCAATTAAGGTCACTGGATTTAATTAGTTGGGTGGAATTATTGATTTTTGAACAAATCATTCACAGACTGAGGCTAAACTACTCATTGTCTTGTCTCTTGTACCGGATCCCCAGGGATGTCCTCTCTCTCCCCTCCTTTTTACTTTGTACACAAACAAGGGTCATAGTATATACAAGGACGTTATAAATTGTGCAAATGGTATTATAAATCTTCTTCAGAACAATGAAAATTGTCATGGTCCTGTTGCTGAGACTAATCCATGTTGAGAAAGCTAATTTTAAAGCTTCATGTTACTAAAACCAAGGACATAGTGACAGTCAACAAGGGTAGAGCGTGTGATAAATAACAATAAGTATCTTGGAGGAAATCATTAATGACAGATCAGAACAAAATTCTTCAAGGAATCGTCAAAACAAGTAGTGAGTTGACTGGACTCCAACAATTGTGTCTAAATTATTGCATGGGCAGGAAAAGATGACTCTGAAATTATTCTTTAGGCACTACTCCTAAGACCATTTAATCAGTATTGTAAAATACATACTTTTTTAAATTGTTTTACTACAATGATTTTTAGTTTTTTTATTTCCTTCATCAAATCAAAAATAATTAAATATGGCAGGCCTACATAAAGGAACATATGACATTTTTATAAAAAAAAATACCAAAGTGCAAAAAAAATTACGTTTTTTACAGGCGTTAAATAGCGCATCAGTCTTGGTAAACCAGAGTGGGTGCTTCATTATAATAATCACTCCTCCACCACCAAGCATTTTGTATATGTAATGAGGCAAAAGCGCAAAAGAGCAGCAACAATCCCTTTGATATTATTATATGCGCTAAAGAGTCGATGTGCCTATTTAGTAAATCGCAGCAGCTACATGTTAATTCTAAAACAGGATTTGTGATGGTGGAAAATGTTAGTAAATCTGCCCCAAACAGCCTTCTCCAATAGATAAGGGTAACAGAATGAAACATTCTCTTATTCACATTGAAATCATGCTAATCAATAATAAGGATCTATTTAAGTACACTAACGGTTGGTAAATTATATATAGGCATTTTTATTACTAGTAATTTTTGTCATCTACAGCCAAATTAAAAGGAGAGTTTTTATGTCTTATAACTTTTAGATTGTCTGCAAAGCAATTTTCTCCTAGGCAGACAATAAAGATAAAACTACAAACAAAAAGCATTAGCAGTAAACCACTAAATAACACACACAGCCTTCAACTATGACTTATTACTTATTATTAGTTATTACTACAGCTATTACAGCTTGACAGCTTTCTGCACTGATGACTCACCTGTCCCAAAGAGTGGGCAGCTCATCCTGAAGATCCACGTTCAGATCATCAAACACCTTCTGGGCTTTTTTCAAGTCTTCCTCTGCCTGTGTGAAAACAAAGTTTGTGGTTTCAGGAGAGAACACTGCAAGCTCCACACATTCATTCAAGTTGTGTGCTTTGAATACAATACTAACTTCAATCCACCATATAGACTGTAAAGTGAATCAAGCATGTTCTTCTGTACCTTTGCAATCTTTTTTTCATTCCTCACAGTGGAAGTCTGCAGGGTCTCGAGATGGTGCCGTGCACTGTCATAGTCAATTAACTTTCTGCTTCGCTTTGCTACTCGAACCTAGAAAAAAGAAAGAACATTATTAGACCTTTGCCATACCATTCTAGTTGGCCTCTGCTAAGCAGCAGAGATTAGCTATACAGTTCTCCTTTGACCACAGAGCTAATGTGGAGAATCTAATATTAACTAAACATGAACTATAAAACATTATAATAATTACAGGATACCTTGATATCAGGGAACTGGGCCAAATATGTGTCCAGTGCGATAATTGTGGAGTCCACCAGCTTCTGATGGAAGTCTTCCCATAATTCATCACAGTTCTAGAGGAGAGTGAAGAGTGCTGCTTTTGAGTGAAAACCATTTTAAAAGAAACGATTAGTGATGGCACCATTTTAATACCCAGTATCAGTTTGAGTCCGACGCCTAAAGAAAATACTTTATCAGATAGTAGAGAAAAGAATGAATAAGTCCAATTCTATAAGACAAATCTATCACAGAATTACTTGTAGCTAGAGATGGCACCAATCCAATACCAGGTACTGGTATCATGCCAAAAAAAAGACAAGAAAAAAATGCAAGAAAAAAATGATCCGATCCAAACCTGTAAGAAATCTATCCTGAAATAGCACAGGTCCAAGCTGTGAGATGTGACATTGTTAGTTGTGTAGTTTTTCCTGTGGGTTAGTAGAGTGTTTGGGTAGTTTAATCATAATAGTCTACTTTTAGATCTTCATCTGAAGTGAAGTGATTCAGTTAATAATAACTTATTTGAAAGCATAATAGTTTTTAAAGAAGAAAGATTAGATCAGTATCAGTATTTGCCAAGACCCATAGTAGTTGTAATGTGAACATATATATCTCTTCCATGTGTCTATACTCGCTGGATTAATTTCTCACTTAATAATCTGTTGCATGATTTGCCTTAACGCAGGGCAGTCAGCAGTAGCACAGCAGAGCTCACAGAGATGCTATGAGAGAAGGCACACTAAAAAGTATCTCTTGAGAAATGTATGAGTGCATTTGGTCCATATGCTTGGAATTGAGTTCAAGAAAGAACATTACAGTAGCCATGAATGATGTTAATAGAAGAATAACAAGTAGCTATTATACTACTGTACCAGAATTATAATTCCTTTATTTTAAATAGTCATCCACATATTTGCACTGTAAATGATGTTCCTGCTTATTTTCCTAGTTTGATTGGGGTTTTGTACAGGACATGTTCATGGTTATGCATTTCTTGCTGTATGGTGGTAGAGTGTTTGAGTAGTTTGAGCATGGTACTTTTAGATGGCCAAGACATGTGCTTCAATTAAACATTTTAGTTCAATTAGTTCATTTTAGTGGTCTTCGAAGAAAAAATATCAGATTGGCATCAGTACCAGTATCAGTAATACTGAAGGTTTCAGTATCACAAAAGAAAAGGTACCATGCTTGAAATAGGACTTTTCTGGTACCATTTTTTTTACAAACAGAAAGCTTAAACCAGAAACGAGAGTAGGTTTATTATAATGACAGATGACGCAGGTCTCAAAAGACGTTGGGCTACTCAGTATCATATTATTTAATATATGAGTTTTATTAAAGATTTGCATTAAAACAGTTAATGTAAGAAAAGCAGGTTATAGCTGCCGCAGACCACATGTATTTTTTGTGATATTATCAATAATTGTGATATTTTACCAGAAAATATCATACTAATTATTTTTAGATATTGTCCAGGCCTAAACGAGAATACGTGGGAGTATTTACTGATCCCAATGAACAGATTTTTAACTTTTTTTTGCAATTTTCATGTCTATCGGCTCATATTGGCTCACAAATGCTGATAAGACTGACTATTATGGTACTGAAACTTGATATTGAATGACATGGAATTATTCAGTACTCAGTAGTATTTAAGTAATTCTGTTGGTACCATAAAAATATTGAATGTCAATACCCAGAATGATTTCAGCCTATTCTGCCTAGCAGTCAGCATTAAAGAAACTGCCAACCTTAATCAAGCTTTTTTCCAGAACTTGATTGTTTCCCCTTGTTTTTTAGCCTAAACTACTAGTGGTGTGGGATGTATGACTCACAAAACAATAAAATCAACATTTAATTACACTTCTTTTACATAAGCAAGGATTGTTGAAAATAAGGCTTTGAATACAGCATCCACTCTACTCCTCCTCAGGGGCTTGAAAGCAAATATTACAGACGCAAATAACAAAAATGATGATGCTTTGGGTAAATGAAAGCAGAATACTCGGAGGGCAGTGCTTAGTCATATCTGAGCTCTTAAGAGAACACGTTTCAACAGACGCTATCAATAGCTGTCTGCTTCCATCAGCATCATCTGGGGGTTAGCAGACAGAGGGAGAGATGGCATAGTTTGATTTTTCCAGGATTATCAGTGCATTGACCTCTTCCCAACAGTTTATTTTCATCCCATAATTACAGATTTGTGCATGCAAATCAAACTATCACTGAATAATACAATCAGTCTCATTTGTGAGCTGATTTTGGGATAAGTAGTACATTGAATTTACTTGATCCCAACGTGTACATCATTTCCACATTATTGCATCAACAATTATCATTACACTGACCTGATGTATATTAAACAGATCAGATTATTCTTGTACATTACAACTAAATTTGATATTGGAGGATCTGTAAAGATGAACAATGAATGGAAAAAAAAAACAGTAAAAACTGAAAAAACTTTTTTCTTCTAGGTGTGTCATGTACCAATATGTTAGTTTATCAGAGAAATATATATCGACTGTTTCTGGACCTAGCTAACACCAGCTAGAAGAACATATTTAGCCACATTAGCAATAATGTCACACTATCTCTGCCTTCTCAGTAACACCCTTAATGCTGCATTTGCATACAGTAATGCAAGATGATTTTCGATTCATTTCTCATTCATTTCTATGGAGACAGACGGCAGTTGTGCATTGGGGATTATGGGAGCAAGAGTGACACCAAGCACATGGAGAGAGCATCCAAAGGCTGAGCTTTTCTCAACTTTCTGTAGATGAGAAGCCAATTATATTGTTAAAATGTTTCGCAATGAATAACATCATGCGCCACGTCCACATTCAAACTATATGCTGAAGTCAGTGTTGATATATATATATATATATATATATATTTACGTACACATTGCAGGTTCAAAAGACCCCTTTCACCCTATTCTTCAATGGTCAGGACCGCCACAGGACCACCACAGAGCAGGGGTATCATTCAAAGTGCTGCAGTGACACTGACGTGGTGGTGGTGTTTTAGTGTGTGTGATGGTATGTTAGTGTGTGTTAGTGGATCAGACACAGCGCAGTGCTGCTGGAATTTTTAAACACTTCATTTTCACTGCTGGACTGAGAATAGTCCACCAACCCAAAAATATCCAGCCAACAGTATTCTGTGGGCAGGGTTCTATGACCACTGAAGAAGGATTAAAGGATGATTAACACAAAGTGAGGAGCAAACAGATGAGCTGTTGTCTCTGACTTGTCTCCACTCTTATGTATCTGCTCTGTGGGGGTCCTGACCATTGAAAAACATCATGTATATAATAATAATGTATGCAGAGAAACAGACAGACTACAGTCTGCAATTGTACAACTAGAAAGTGTACCTATATGGTAAGTGGAGCTGATAAATTGGACAATGAGTGGAGATACAAGGAGGTATACTTAATGATGTGGCAAAACAGTCTATATACCTTCTCCCAAATACGAGCAAACTTTTTAAAGTACTGTAAACACATAAAATAAGTATTTCACTAAAGCGTACATCACAAACATCTGAATAGTGATTTCAATATTTGAATTGTGGCACCTTTAACTGTTATCTGAGTACTTGAGAGCAGATCGGATATCGGCCTAATAAGAGATACTGTTTGTTAGGCATGGTTGTAATATTTGTAATATTGTAAAATTTGAACAGCACAGATTTATGAGCCTTCAAGAACAAAATAATAGAAAATGTCACAATTAGATAGTACTGTGTTTTTGTGCTTTGCTATAAAATACAAGCTCTGGCATCAAAAATGTTACTTTTCATTGGCAGATATTCAGATATTGTAATTGGTACTAGAAGAGGAAAGGCTGGATTGATACATCCCTAATCAATAAATTTTGTCATTTACTTTATTTTTTAGCAATAAATCTGTTGATTTTTATATTATATTTATATTTATATTATTTTTATATTATGTTTTAGTTATGTTGAATTAATTCAGACATTTGAATCAAGTAAATTCAATGCATTATGTTTTCAGTGTGAAGCAAAGCAATGTCACGTTGCACTATATTCTGTGCTGGAGAACAGCTTACTGAAGCTGCGGGCTATAATATATGCTATTAAAATCCCAGTATGTGGTTGGATTAAACCAACGGGCATGAATCCCTTTGAGCCCACTCTGCTGACACCCCTATCGGTGATGCACAAGTCATTCTCACACTATAGCGTCTTTTATGACTCAGTGACCTTACCTGCATTTCACTGAAAGCCACAACATTAAGGCTTTGGCTCAGGCAGAAAGAACAAATCGTCCTGTCCTCTATTGACCGAGGCAAGCCTGCCAAGCCTGCCTACTCTTCTCTGAACAGCTCTATTTTTGGCTTAAAACTAACACTAGAGATGTTTTCTCACTTTTTTCCAGAAGAATGTAGATCTCAGGCTACATTAAGAACAAGCATGCAATTTTCTCTCAGCGGATGACTAAGTCCTTGTGCATACACAACGTGCATGGGGAAATTCAATAGCGCCTCACCTTGATCTTTCGGCAGCTCCTTTTCTTAGGCACGTTTGAAATGCAAAGCCTAAGGGCCTCCCTCAAGTCATTCACAGGCAGGTTTCTCATGGCCCAGTAAGTTGACACCAATATCTGAGATGTGGCTGACTAGTTAGCAAAGCCTTTCTCAGGGACCAAGACATTTCTCTCTATCACTTCCAACTGTGTGGTATCCACTGCCAGCAAATGCACTTACTGCGCATTAAGTGTTGATTTAAAGGGCTTGTGTCGTAGAAAAACAGATTGTTTTCTTTGCCATTTTGAAAAAGAGGCTGATGCAAACTTTATTAAAGTTCCAAAAGTAGCTGTACATTGCCTAGACCATTACAGTCTATATATGAAAACTAACCTGCAAAAACAACCTGCTTTGAATTCATGATGGTTGTGATGTCAAAAACAAGCCAGTAGCCGCAGGACCCAAAAAGAAGATGAGTTATTCTGGAGAAACACTACTGATATGGTTGCCAGGAGTCAGAATTGACTTGATGGCACTTAATATAAATAAGGATGTCAAAACCATAAGCATATTTCCATTTCACTGCCATTCAGCCTATAACAGGTTAGTCCCACCCATTCACGTTGAAGTGATAAGGAGAGTCTGTGTAAAAGTTCCTGACTGTAAAGATGTGGGGAAAACGATTAAACGTTGTGCTGTTCCTGGCTGTCAGGAGGCACATGTATCACTGCAAGGACTCAAACATTTGAAGCAAGTGACTGACATCTCTGAGAATTTCAATGATAATAACTGTTAATAGGGCTGTACAATATGACAACGTTTATTGTTATTCGACAATATGCTTTTCTAAACATGTTGCGGATATCAACACTACTTATCAACTGCATGTTTGATTACAAAGAGAGCACAATTAATCCTGTTTAAACCCTTAAATGGCCAGGGCCCATGGGTGGGCCCGAAGTTTTATTACACACTTCTATAACCTAAGAATAGCTCAGCGAGTTTGTACTGAAGTCCCCGTATTTACTGAATAATAAGCCTTAATATGTAATTTCAAGGAATCATTGAATCATTAAAAAATTGAATTTAGTGCAGAATGGTACGTAAAATGTTAAATCATTGGATTCATAATTGTTGAAATTATCTTCTTAACGTGGCATAAACATGTCGTGTTTTGTGAATTTTTGCAATGTTGCCCACCTCTAACAGTTACTTTTTGAATGAGGCACAATACAGGGCAGCCAAGTTCCGAGGCCATTTACATATATCAGTATGCAACGTATCAGCAACAAAACCATCAAGTTTAATAGTAAGAGATAAAGAGATGCTGAAAGATAGTGATGTAAGAATGAACAATAACTGTTTTGAGTATATAAACCACATAAACATTATCATAAAAAAGAAAATACAACAAAGATGCAAAATACAGCCCCCAACATTTCCAACTGTACTGATAGTTTTAACAACTGAAATGACACTAACCTTTCCAATGGACATAACATCATCCTTGCCATGCCAGTCAGGCTCATAGACTTCATGGAGCGATTCTGTCAGATTCATGGAGGCCTGCTGCATTCCTGCAGTATTAACACAGAGAGGAGTCAGCTAAACCCCTCCCACCCATCACTCCAGCATATTCAGCTGCATGTGTATGTGTGTGTGTTAGGATGAGTCACCTTTCACAGCTGCTATATAAGCCTTCATCTCTCTCTGTAGCCTGGCACCCTCTGACTGTGGAGACAAAAGAAAATGAGCCTCAGAACACAAAGCACCTGCAGATCAATAATTACATATGACTTGTCAAGCAGTGGACAGAAGCCATGCTGCTTATCAAATTTGGCACCAACAGACTGCATTTTTATTAACAAGCACTTGAGTGACTTACATTCGGAGCTACCGATTCAATAATGAAAGCCTGAGAGAATAACATTAAAACTGTGCAGTCAGTTGATTTTATCCACCAAATGAATGTCAACATCCAGGTTTACGATTAGACAGCCTCTGGCGACTTTGGACTGCATGGGAAATTGAAGTGCTTGCTTGCCAGCATGATGACAGCAAGTCAGTGAATGATTGCTGTCCCTGGTGCTGAACTGTTGCTTCCACAGCAAGAGGCCCTAACAAGAACACTGCGCTGTAAAAGGCAGTCATTAAATTCAGATGCTAAACATTTTGCATGGAGGGTTTTTGTGGTGAAATACAATGTTTGATTCGTAGCACAGTCAAAAATGTATTGAAGAGTCAAAATGATACACTCATCCATAATGACAGCTTTATGTATCATACATAAAAGCTCAAAAATGGTAGATTGAAATTAGTGCTGTGCAGTAGCATCCCTACAAGTAGTTAAGCTATTAGTTTAACTATATTTTCCAGTAGCCTGATAGTAGTGTCTCTACTATCACAGCATCAAATCAACTACATGTTCAGTGAATAATGTGGGGTAGCGCTGACAAACTATACTGTTTCAATTCCGTGTACATTACATAAAAACATATATTTTAATCAATCAAGTCATGCATTCTGAGTCGTCTGATTGGATCTGACCCTTCGCTAAGCCCCACTCCCTTGGTTACAGTTGCTAACAAGGTTTCATTCCTGGCATTTCCTACCTTGCAAAGTCAGAAGACAATTTTCCCCGTTTCTGTGGAGTAACTGGTAGCTCAGCTTGTTATATTTTTAGGAAGCTTTCTCAACACTGATTGTTATGTTCTGTGTGTTATTATATTCTGAAAGTGGTGACAGCTACTATTATAGGAAATGTACTAAGCACCTGTGGTGTGTCAGGTGTTTGTGGAGGTTTGCAGGAAAAATTCTTTGTCATTTTAGGACAAATTACTTGTTCTATCACCTCCAAGCTTGATTTCTTAGGTCTAATGTTAGTCTAAATGCTGTAGTGTCTAAACGCTGTAGTGTCATTTGGATAGTATTAGCACTTTCTTAGTCTATGCTACAAGTACACCGCATCACACCATACACTGTCAGAATAAAAGGGGACTGTACAGGTTACACTTCTGTTGAACAAGATACAAACAATGTAGATGTATCCTCAAAGGTACAACAATGCTCTTAAGGTCCAACTGTGTGCCTTAAATAAGTTTTTCCGAGGAATAAGGGGCATTTTTGTGCTTTTTCATAACCTTTTATTTTAAAACAGAACAAGAAAATAAAAATCTGGCTCGAGACAAGGTCTATGTGCTCAATGCAACTTAAAAAGTACTGCAATGAAATATGGTACAATTCTGTTCCCTAACTAAAAATACTAAAGGCATACTCTTGAGGGTACCACTACTGTGGCAGTTTAGTACCTTTTTCTCTGAGATTGTAGCATATAAAAGACAATATAGCTTCTCTGTAATCTCTGATTCAAGTACAACGACTTTTGGCCCCTCTAAACACCCTCTGACACTTGATTATGTTACCATGCAACACAGGCAGGCAAAAATTATATTAACCAATAATATCATAGCATGTTTTTCCCTGCTCCTATTCCTCCTGCATACTACCATGATTTTGTCCTCTCTCCCAATGTCAGCAGTAATATCAGTAATATCATTACTATAATATATGATTATAATTTTTTTTTTGCCCAAATATCCTGTTTCATTCTGAAACGCATCACATTAAGGAAGGAAAATGCATTCTTATTTCCAGTGCATGTTAATGGGAAACTCGATTGAGTGTGATTGTACTGGGGAGTGGGGATGAGACAGTTACCAGGTTTAATGATACCCTGCAATATAAAACCCAGTGATAATCACACTATTGCAAATATCTCCAATAACCGCGTATTACTGTCATCTTTTTAACAAGTCACAGCAGAAGTAAGTAGCCTACAGCCTCCCTGCAAAGCACGTATCAGAACAATGGAGGCAGAACAATATGTGTTAGGTGTTTACTAACTTGCTAGTTTGTAAAAAACAGGGCAGATGGAGTTGTTTTCTTATCTTTTGTATTTGATTTTTGGTGTTAAAAATATATGATACCTGTGATGAAACAACAAGGTGTATTAGTGATTCTTAAAGCCCCAGGAAACCTAAATCCATGTTCTGTTCCTAAGTAGGTTAAACCCTCAAACCTCCAAAATGGTAACTTTACAGAGGAAGGAAAAAAACTTTATAACTTTGAATAGAAGTTAATGGAAAATATTTTTTCCAAGTAATTTTAGAGCTTTTCTATGAAATTTTAACACAGTGTAAAGGCCTATTTTCAAATTCAATCATTAAAATAGTAAAATATAAAAAAACAAAAACAAAAATGGAGATACAAGGTTTTGTTCAGACAGTGACGATATGTAAAGTCCATTTCATTCATTTCTTTCTGTTTGTGTTTAGTTCTGCTTCAGTAACATAGCAGACTGAGTGTTGGACTAAGGGCTGTCAATCAGGTGAGCTCATCAGAACATTAGCCATGCCTGGCCATGTTTTATTATATTTGTGTACTGTCCTTTTCATTCAAGTGCTGCTGGAAGCTTAATTTTACACCTAATTTTAGTATCATACACACATTTTTAATATTTTATAGTGTTCCCTGGGACTTGATAACATTGAAAACTATGATCATTTTGGTCACTGATATCATGACAGCAAACTTTCACAACATTCCATCTACACTGTTTTTTTTTCATCCACATCAGTGTGGCTTAGCCTATCTCTGTTCTTCTAGGCTGTTCTAAAAGTGTGGGTGGTTGCTGCTTCACTGGGGGGTATTTAGTGTGAGCCAGGCTGGTGCACTAGCTGGCGCGTAGGACGTGTTTTTGGCTGCGACAGGGATCCTCTTGCAGCAGTGGCAGCAGCAGCAGTGACAGACTCTGACTCAGCAGATTTTAGGCTTGGTCTCCTTCATCCTGATTTTGTACAGGATGCAGCAGTGGCAGGGACTGCGGAGGACTCAGCAACAGTGCACAATGAAGGACAGTGATTCATAATGGAGTGGAGAACAGGAGAGGAGAGGAGACATTTTGCTCTAAGCCCTAGCAGGCTGGTGCATAAAGCACTCTAATCAGGATTAGTGAGGACAGGTGGAGAAGGCGGGATTAGACTGCTGCATTTTCTCCACCATATACACCATCACCAAGAAACACACTTTCTCTTTCCTTCTCTTTCCTCATTTCTTTACCTCTTTGAATCAAAATGAATCACATTTTTCCACATCTTGAAATTTATGAGTTCTTAGTAAAAGACTATACAAGGCTCTATGTGAGGCTACAGTTCAGCCACCCTTACATATAGCACTGTGCAAAAGTGTAAGACCAGCCTTCATTAGTTTGATTTCCACTCAAAACAGCCATTAAGTACAAGCAATTCATTCTTCAGAATATATTGTTAAGATTAGATATAAAATAACCACTTGAATGAAGTGCAATAAGTGAGAAAACAGGTGTTTACAAAACTGGAGTTCAAAAAATGATTAAAAGATATAGAGAAAATGGAACTCTGAACAATCATGCAAGACCTGGTAGAACACCAAAACTACCACCATCAGATAAACAAAGGTTTTCAGGAGAAAATCAAGCTCCGCTCTTTCTTCTGATCTGAAAAAATCCACAAATGGTTGTGTTCAACCTTCCACTGTGAGAAGATAACTTAACGCTATGAGTCTCAAAGGACGTGTGGCTTTCAAGAAGCCTTTATTGTGAAAAGGAAATAGATGGTCAGAGCTCAGACTGAATGCGTTTGGGACTACTTGGATTGTAAGATGCATGAAATGCAGTCAACTTCTAAAACTGAATTTTGTAGTGTGGAAAAAATATCCCTGCAGATTTATTTAAAAAACAAGTCTCATGAAAAGAATAGGAGCTGTAATAAAAGCAAAAAGTGGATACAAGAAATCCTGAAAAAAAATATATATATAATATTGAGTTGTTGAGGCTTCTATGTCATTTTCTAGTAAATATATGTTTTCTGCTGACACTGAAAACTGAATAACCTGTACCAAATGGCAGTTTAGATTTGAAATTAAATAAATGAACAGGTGGATCTCTGACTTTCGCACAGTACTGTATATGAATATGATGAACATGTGTTGGGTTCAAACTGCCTCTTTAATCTTCCCATGTGGCACTGAGAGAGAATCTTATCCCTGGCGTCGTTAACTGAGCAGTGTGGCACTAATGCTGTGTCAAAGCTACAGCAGAGCCATTTGGAAAGCTTTCAGAGTGAAGAGAAAAGAAGCAGGAATATGGCTGCACCTGAAAAGACATGGCTCCATGTATGCTCATCTTATTTTCTGATGAGCATTTACACATTACACACTTATTTTGAGGATGGGGAAGATGTTACTGTGCATTTAAAGTTAACACATGAGTTAACAGAATTTAAGAATATTTCCCATTTAAAATTAAGATCAATGTATTGAAACATTAACTCAGCATTACCCCACAAACAACTACAGAACCAGGCTTATTATTCATTACACACTATGAAACTAATATGCAAGTTATGCAGTTATGAGAGTAAGGAATTGACATGCTGGCCCACAGAAATACAATAAACACAGCTTAAAATATGCTGAAATGCCTGGACATGGCCTATTATTCAAACAAGCACAGCTGACTGACATCCCTTAGTCCAACTCTCACAGCCTGCTATGCCACTCATACTGAAGTATATAAATTGCATGAGCAGGGAGAAATAAGTGAAACAAGCACTACATTGCATTTTAGACCTCCCTTCCTATGGTGTGGGCAGGACATGCCACATCAGCCTAGTGATTGGTGAGTATAAGGATTGCAGAAGTTTTACCCAAGTTTAGGGAAAGGGAGCACGTTCGGCAAAATATATTGGTAAGTTAATGGCCACTGGACCAGAATTCATTAGACATGGTTTGTACATGTATATTGTTCACCTACAAGATTTAGATCGAAAGAAAATGCAGATTAAGGTTCCCAACATTTTAAAGGGATACAAGTACATTGCATATCAAATTGTTAAACATATATCATATTTCTACCCATTTAAAAAAAATTTGAAGCTTCACAAGGATGAGAGACTCATACATCAGGTACCCAGATGTGTCCAAATTTACAGTGTCAGAGAAGTGCCAGTCATAAAACTGCTATTGTCTGTTCTTGTCCTGCAGAGTGTATAAAAACAGCTGGTAGGCTGTAGGGCACCCTATTGGAACAAAAAGGCTCAGAAATGGATCTCAATCAACATCTTTGACAGTACTAACAAAAATGCCAGATAAAAACTGAGGCACTCAACAGATAAGACCATGTATTTTTTTAGATGCATTTACTTCATAGTATGCACCTTCACAGGTGAAAAATACATCACGCACGCTAAAAGAAGGCACAGATATATAAATTAATCAAAAAAGTATTTTAATATTTGTATGAAATGGACATGGTCTTGTAAATGAAAACCTGTTTGTTTTTGTAACAGCCGAGTGCAATCAGTCAAAAAATCAATCATAAAAAAAGTTACTGTTATAAATTTTGTTGTTTGTTGATGCTTTAGAGCCAGTGTCTCCCCCCACCCAGTGCCAAAGTACATTTCAAATCTGCAGGAAACACTGTATATGTTTGGATATGAGCTGTACCTCCTGTCGTTTGAAGTTCTGCACACACTGTTCAAACTGCTCATCTTTCGTCTCGTCAGCCTTCCCCAACTTCTGCAGCACCTGGAAGAAGGAGAGAACATCAATCACTACACTAATAAACTGACACTACTTCACGACAACAAGGTAATGCTTTAATGTTCTATTAAACCAGTGTCTGTTATGTCCCTGTCATCCACAATAAAGCTGATAGCGTCCAGAACATTTGACAAATGGCCTTAGGATCATCACCTCCACCGCAAAGCACACAAGGACAAGTAAATATATTACAGTGAAGAGAAAATAAATATAGGTTTTGAAATGACTGCATTAAATCATTTTGTCCTAAAAACAAATAGCATAGTAGCTGGTGTCTCATAGGAAAGTGAATCACTGGAGAGAAAACAAAAAGCATATGGCAGAGAGCCAATGACACGTGGAGTAAATCCTCTTAGAAAGTGTGCTTTACTGCTTTTGCACCAGCCAGCCCTCTAAGCAATAATATAAAAGAAACAGTTGAATGGTTAAGGGATAGCAGAGCTGAGAAATCCTTGACTTGACTTGTGCACTATCACTACATAATAACACTACATCATAATTAAATAAGCAAATGGTTAGTTTATACACAACACATAGGTAATTTAAATAAGAACAATGCTAACCCCATAAACCCTAAGAGCCCACACGTGGCTCCATTTCCTCACTCTCACAACTACGTACTGTATATCTTAGCCTCACAGAGTTAGTGAATGACTGATAGTAGTTACTGAACAATAAATCAGGTTAATAACTTAATAATAATCTTTTAAATGGTTAAAGGCCGATTATAGTTCATTAAATATTTAACGTAAGCATTTTTTGTCCTATAGTGTAGTTCTGTATAGTTATGTAATGTAACATATATTTATAATACATGTGGGTGGAGCCCATATTTGTCCTAGTTTGGCAGTTTTATTGCAAAACTCTGTTTTGTGTGCTCACGCCTAGGGGGTAGGGTGTGATGATTTTTGTTGAGATAGAGAGGTAGGACAAAGTGTAAGGGCTATCTGGCCCTTCAAACAGAGATTTTTCAGAGGCGAAGGAGTGTTATGAGAAAGAAAAGGAAAGCTGAGTATTTTCTCTGCTAACATTCACAATAACCATTGTATTATCTTAGTTTAGTGTCGTTTCAATGGATTTTGGTCCTTTTCTTCATAACAAGCATAAAAAAACGCTAGTACTATGATGTCTCGGTAGTTAGTTAGCTTAAATGGTTTAAGGTGAAACGTGTAAATACGAACAAGAAGCTGGTGAACAGCTGACTAATAAATAATTATCGCACCCCTCCATGAAGGCATATGATGCCCTAAATGTAACCAAAGCCCAGCAGCGAGGTGCTGAACTTTACCCTCCTCTGCCATCACTGCAGACCGGAAGGGTTGCCTACAGAGCACAGCTAGTAGCCTGTTAATAATGTTCTTTTTTATTTGAGGGTTATCCCTTTTCATAGGGAAAGATTTCAACCATTATCCCTTGTAACTCAGGGCAAGGTGACACTTAAAACCAAAAAAAAAAAAGGGTAGAGGTAAAAATAAGAAATGGGACTGGGCCAAACTGTTGGGTTCTACTGTAGGGCTGCTTGATATGGCCAAAATACTACTACTGCAATTATACTAAATTATACAACTTTTGTGAACATTAAAGAGTTGCCTGCATTATTTTGATCAAAACAATGTACTTTCATTGAATTACATGAACAACGTGTTGTGACTGGTCAAGATTCTCACTTGCTTAATCTCTATTTGCTGCACACAGTGAATAACCACAAACAATAATTCTGACCCGTCTCCCAGTGCTGGCTAAAAGAAAAGAAAATCGGTTAAGAAATATTTATAATAGATGCCAGCTGGCCAGTGCTGAAGCAGCTGCTCAGTGGCTTCTATTATAAGTGTGTTTACAGATGCAGAAGATAGAGAATAGATTGAAAAATGCTAGTGTTTCTTTAAAGGAGCGGCACGGCAAAAAAATAATTGTACGCAATTTTCCATTATCCCAGATGCAGTTGAAATTTGGTGTCCAAATTTTGCTTCTTTGTTTGTTATACTTGGAGCTACAAAGCTAGTGTTGCTAACAAACACTAGAAGTCAAAAGACACTCAAATCCTTTAAAATGCATCCTAACTTTTCTCAATCCATTAAAACCACATCCAGGTCTAATTAAAGACATACAGACTTGTCAGTGTGGTTGAGGACAGCATGACCTACTGTGAACTATAATAATGAACAAAGCTTCACCATTTAGACAATATTTTTTGACTGCCTGTCGTGTGTATGCACGTCACACAGGCATACAGATGCTACGGATTATGTTGTTTCTGTATATTCTGTTAATCATGAATGTCAGTAAAAAGATGTATATTTAAAAACAAAACAACATAAATCACACATCTAATCTGGAGTCAATTAGCCTGTGTAACGTGTGCCCACGCAAAGGGGAGTCAGACTCTGGAGAGAGTTAGAATTCGGCACAACACCTGTTGTCTAAAATGGCTTTTGGCTATGCAGTGGAGTTCTGTTCATTTTTATAGTTTACAGTAAATCGTACTGCATCTTAAACCACACTGACAAGTCTGCACGGTCTGGATTTGGTTTGTTAGTCTCGTAGCTCCAACGCTAAACTACAAAAGCTAAATTTGAACACCAAACACATCTTGGCTGATTGACATCTGGAGTGAGAGGAAAATTGTGTAGTCTGATTTTCTGCCAAACCATTCCTTTAACCCTGAAGGCTTCACTGACATGTTTTTATACTGTTACATGGTATATTCACCCACGGAAACACTCATTTAGAACTGCACACATTAAAAAACAAACTGTGATTGGTTTGAGGGCTCATTTGCACATTGCAGCCTGATAATATCAGTATTGCAGAGGCCAATAGTACAATAATAATTAAAGCACAATATATTCCATCCTATTCGAGAGAATGTCTGAGATACCAAACGCCCAGCCAATGGAGGCTTTCTACCTCTCATGAGCTCAACCATAGAATCAGTTCTGTTAGATTACACATCCTTAGACACAGCATGTCCTTCCCCTCCTGACACTAATGAATGGGCTGGTGTAAAAATGCTGTTTGTTGACTGATGTTGTGAGGTGTGAAAATATACAGCGACCAGGATGCAAAAGCTCGATACTAACCCCATCACACTCAGTCTGACTCAGTGGAACATTGAATTGGTATCAGGGAAGCACTCCACTGGAGAGTAAGGTGGCTGAGATGATACACTCTCTGTAGAGCATGACACATAGACACACAAAAGGGAGGCGGAAATCAGGCTTTCCAGTCTGTTATGTCCCTCAGCCAAGACGATGACCCTAGTTACAAGACCATTCCCCCTCCTCCCACTCTGACTAACACATGAAAATGGCTGCCACAAAGAAGACAACTGCTGCCATCACAGTGAATGATGCAGATTCTGTGGCATCTGTGGGTTCTGATATTCTAAGGCATTCATAAAAATCTGTCAAATGCTCCTGTCAAGGATACACAGTAAAGAACTGATGTAAATCTACTGTATTCAGGTCAAGTTTCATGTTTGAGAGGTTAAAATGATGGATTTCACTGTAATTAGCTGTTATTTGCAGAGTTTATTGGGAAAGTGGTCTGTACTTTGTGCAGTCTTGAGCAAGGGGGAGGAGCATCCCAACATTCATTGTGGTTTAGTTAGTTTTTAATTTCCTTTATCTTTTTCAGCTAAAGTTTCGCTCATATGGATTTGTTGTTTTTATATGTTATTCCTACCACAAAATTATGTCTGAATGCATTTCTTGAACGCATGTCTTGGTATTCATAGCATGATGGTGTTTTGTGTTTCAGTTAACAAGCTCATTCTGTTGTTACAATTATAAGATTTTTGGTTACTGGCAGCTTTGTGATTTTAATAAATGGTATTAGTGCAGTAACTGCTGCAATGTGATGTGCACTCCATGGTATGATTGATATATAGTCCTAGTTTGTTCTGACAAATATCACAATCATTCTCTTTACTATGCAACAGTATGCATGAACGTTCAAGCATTTGCTAGCAGAAGCTAGCTAGATAAATTTGTCCTGTTTGTCTACATCTTTACATGTTGTACTAAATAAAGCAGCAAAACCGAGGACCCTCAGACAGGTTCACATATGGTCTTTACATTAGAAATACAGGGGTGTTTATTGTGTAGTACAGTATGAATCCTGTAAATACACAGTAAACTACTGTCAGTAAATTACTCAGTCGGGGCTACATAATATACCATTTGTTAACTGTTATCACAGTGTTTTTTACTGTGTGCTGTGACCATCCCAACCAATCTCAAACATTCAAGATGACTTTTTTGTGTATATCAATGACTGAAGGCATTCATGTGATCCAACAAACATAAATAATCTGAATCCAAATAAGGCCAATCTTTAAAGGATTACTCCAGCATTTTTCAACCTAATCTCCATCTGCTACAGCTGTAGTGTAGGGTCTATTACTGCTGCAGTACTTGTGTCTGGTCTCAGACCCCAGACATTTTTTCTATTGTCTCTGACTTGGACTCCATCATATTTGTAACGGACTTGTCTCGGTCTCAGCCATTTGTTTTACCAAATGTAGTCTTCAGTCTTGACTGATACCAACTACATTTTACAAAAATTAGATTCATTTGTATGTTCCGTAACAGTTTGCTTGAACCCTGCAACATAACACTGGCATAACCATTCCGTAAACATGTCATGGAAGATGTCATATGCTGACTTGAGCTGTGACAGATGCCATAATGTTTGATGACATGACAGCTTGTGTCACATACTACTTTTTGCTGGGTACATACTCTAGTTAGCTATCATGGCATCAAACATTGTGATGTCTGTCATGACAGCGGTAATGGTAACATGACACTGATATATTACTGAATATAATCTGTTGTGGCAACTCATGACAGCATATGACATCTGCTATGCCATGTTTATGATATGGTTATGTCAATGCTATGTAGCAGGGTTCAAATGAAGTGTTACAGTATTTTTTTTAACTATCACCAATGAACACTGACCCGTACTCAAGCAACTCAAAA